GAATGTGTGTCTTTTTTTTTAAAAGCAAATCCAAGCCAAAAAGCAAACAAAAGTACCAGAAAAAATTTGCATTTTTTTTGTTGTGTGTTTCGCACGAGTTTTTCACTTGGCTCGTGATTTTTTCTGGCATTCGTTGGCCTCCTAATGCTCAAGTGAATAATGCTGAAAGGGACCTTTTGGCTTTGGTTAATGACTTACAAATACATTTTATCTACGCCGCACAAGACTAGGCCAGAAATGAAAAGTGGCAAAACAGTAGTCCGAGCATTGTTCCATATATCATTATTCAGCTTTGGTATCCTGAACATTTTCAAGATTTATGTTTACCGCACAGGAAATTTGCAGACCTCAGTAGGTTTAACAGTATTTCCCTTGTCTCAGATCTACTCTTTTGAATTCAGGTAAATATAAAGCTAACAATAATGATGAGACTTATGCGATTAGCCGTTTAACAGCCAATAATGATGAGACTTATGCGATTAGCCGTTTAACAGCCGTTTGTTAAAAACAAAAATTAAAAGAATAAAATCAATACTAATAATAATAATTGCACAATTTTGAAACTGGATATCATATCACAACTATAGATAGCGCACAATAAATCTGTTTATGGCTTTAAGACATCAGCAAAGCCCAAAATAGCATTCGAATCATATTCGATTTCTGTGCTCACAAATAACATTCAGTTACCTTTCGGAATCGGGGCAATCGTCAAGTATTTAGCGAGTTGCAATGCTTTTTCCACTTGACTGGCTGCCGAGCCAACAGCTAATTGCACTTTGAAGACTGGCTCCGTTCAAGTAAAAGTGTATGCCATGCCACATTCAACGGTAACGTGTGGTACCATAAATTAAAAATTGACTGCAATTGCCTGCCTCGAAAAATGTGCACAGAAACACGCGCTGTGCGAAACGCATTGTGTGTGTTGTGCATAAAATTGCGCATGCCGTAAACAAAAGTGAGAAACAGTAAAGATGCGATACGGCAACCCAACCTATCATCTCTCTCTCTCTCTCTCTCTCTCTCTCTCTCTCTCTCTCTATCTCTCTCTCTATCTCTCTCTCTCTCTCTATCTCTATCTCTCTCTCTCTCTGCAAAACACACACAAAAAATGGTGCTCACCTTTTCTTTGGGAACTTAAAACTGAGAGCCGTGCCACTCCGCACGCAGCATACAAAACTGATTTTCAATGACATCGTCAGAATAGTTGTCAAGGCAACTTGTGTTGCATGCTTAAGGGCGCAATCCAGCGCATTGCACACCATTTGCCGTAGTTCTTCTGTATAGACACTTTTTGGTGCACCATTGTTGTTCTTATACCCTTTACCTGTGCTCCTGTTGTGGGGTGAGTTAACGTGCTTGAATATCATTTATATATTTACAGAGGTTTTTTTTTGTGCCCATAAAGTTCTTCACATTCAAAAAGCATTACTATTTCAAATTTAAATCCTAAAATACAAATGCTAAAATTAAATTTTCATTTGAAAAATTTCAATCTTTAATGATTCAAAATATATTTTTCTCATTTTACATTCATAATATTCTGAATAGCAATTAGAAAAAGTATGAGACCATGGCGATATACAGGGAATCCACGTTTGACAACCCTTCACAGACTCAACAGTTTTGTCTTGCTGTGTTATTGTTACTGTTGTCACGCAACAACACGAAGCCATTAACGCCCGCCAGCAGCACCCAAGTCAGTGGCAGGGGCCGATTGGCGCAGTAGAATGCCAGTTTCTGTTGTTTGTTGTTTGTTGTTGTCTGTTGTTGCGCCGCTGCATTTCGCATACGTGTAAATCGTAAATATCCGGCACAAAACGATCTGAAAGTTGTGTGGCTGGGGCAAGCAACACTCGCATAAACCGGGCCTCAGTGCGGCAATAACAAAAGAGTGACGCCACTTGGGTGTGCGGCACCTCTGCATACATATGGGTTGGGCCATATATATGTGGCCATATCATTGTGGGGCAAACTTTATGGCGCATACGCAATTGTGTCAACAGAAGAAATGCAAATTGTATGCGACAATTGCGAACGGTAACGGATTCACTTAAACATAAATGCTACCGCATGAAGGCGAGGCAAGGCACACACCTGTGATTCAGCAAACTGCACTTGTGAATTGGCGTTTAGAAAACCAATTATTCAGTACTTAAGCAGAGCATTTAAAAAGCACTGGAAATCTTTAGGCGTTAAGTCTTAGGCCTCCATTAATGAAGCTGTCCCTTTAAAATATGATGTGCTAAAGTTAAAAGCTCCATAACATTTCTTCAGTTTTAGACCTCCTAACTCCTAGCTCAATGTCACTCTCAGTCAATATTTGCAGTACTGAAGTTAACTGCAACGGTAATAAAACGTACTTCTCACAAATCCCATTATCAGCAGCTTGCTAAAAACCCATCAGCAGCGTCATTATATGGCATTTGCATATTTGTCATGTGCTGGTTGACCAGGTAAAAATGAGAAAATATGCAATCCAAACATGTCACATACACATTTCACATCCATCGCTTGTACTCTATAGAGAAAGCGAACTGGAATCTTTTATGTCTGGCTCCGCAGATGATGCTGTGGCTGCCTTTTCTCCACGTGTATAATTTTCACACTGCTGCAGCTTGAGTTGGCCTTCAGCGATTTTTGCTTTCCGTTTCCTCTCGCATCTTTTTACTTATCCATTTGCATCTGCTTCTCTTCTGGCTGATTTGATTGCTCTGCGCGTTGGCTGGCATTTCTTTCATATATATATATATATATTTTTTTTTTTTTTGCTGGGATTTCTTTTATTATGAAGCTGCATTTCTGCTTCATGTTCTGAGAATGCATAAATATTTATGAAGCAGCTAGCTGCCCAAAACAAAGAGGTACTTCTGATCTATTGCTGTATAGCTGGCAACAGCTTCAACATTTTCAAAATCACAACCCCAAACGTGCCCAGTGGCAAATGTAATCTGGTAAAGTGCATATGAACCAATCGACTTGGAAAAACAATTAAAACCGCTTAGGCAAGTACAAAATTCATGGGCAGGAAAATTCTTTAAAAACGCAATAAAATGCCAGTGCTAAAAATCATTTTAAATTAGATATGGCTGCGTGAGCTAAGCTGATATAAAGTAAATACTTGATTATCTAAATGTATTCAAGCAAAAGTTAATTTTAGAAGGCAATAAGTTGAATTGCAATTACCAACTTAAATAGTGCTATAAATTACAGTTTTAGCGTGAGTTTATTGCGTGCGTATCACGATAGTTTAAAAAATCCTACAAGCTCATCTCGAAACTTTAAAACAAACATACAAAAATTGTAAAGGCCCAAAATTGTCTGATTGAAATTGCAGCTCTCAAAAATATGCAATTACCTTCCATGATACTGTGGATGTGTTATAGTTGAAGATGTGTGAATGAAATATACATAGGGCAATACCCGAAAATTGTTATTTTTTTATGTTGGATGAATCATAAATATTTGCATCTATCTACAGTGCCCGTTTGTGAGAGTGTGTGTGACTCTGCATCTGTGTATGTTGGCTTGTGTTAGCCTTTATACCACACCCAAAAGTTCCACAGTTCGAATGCCAATTTGATTAGTTGCAAAGAGTTTTTTGTGGTCTGCCACGAAAACTTTTTGTGTTTGTCAAAATTTTCAATTCAACATATTAAAAATACTTTGAATGCCCGACCTGTTAACTCAGAACTATCAGAAACTGCAACATTCAATACTTATTGACTTTGGTAAAATTTCAATAAAATGATAAACTAAAATAGAATCCAATTATTTAGTTCAATATTAGTTAAGAACTTTATCATAGCTTTGGCTAAAGTTTTTCAAACACAAATTTTAAAAGAAGATAAAGCTTTAGTTAAAGTTTCAGCACTTTTTCAAATTTTTAGTTACTTTTACAGACAACAGACAACATTGCGTATGCTCTATGTGTCCACAATCTCGATTTGTTGCATACATTTGGGGCGTGAATGCTCTTTGAAATAGCAAGCAACACATGTGGCCTGGTACCGGTTGCTCTTTAATTTTACAGTATTCTCCACTTTTCCCTTTTTGGTTGGTTTGCTTTTCTGGCAGTGCTTCCGAGAATTCGGCACGAATGACAACAGTTGTCGGAAACTTGGCAAGTCTTCCTCCTATTTTTTTTTGAATGTGCACAACAAGCAGCAACAACAGTAACAAATCGACTCTTTTTCACGCACTTCATTTTGCAGCTGCTGTCTGTTACAGTTTTTGTTGAACATTTTGATAGGAGTCTTAGACCTTCCATACCCTGTACTCGTAGAATACCCATGAAAAAGGTTGTCTAACGAATACAAATATATACCAATTAAAAACTTATAGTAATCATATATTCTACAAATTTACATAAATATTAAATACAAATCAAAATCAATTAATTACAAATAAAGCATAATTTTATACCACAATAATGAATTGCTGATTACAGGCTATCTTCTCGTCTCTATTCCTACTTGTGGCTTTTTTTTAGATATATTGTTGTTTTCTTGCTGTTGGTTGGTTGGTTGCCTGTCAGCGCGCAACTTTTGGTCTGACTTTAATAAAGTCAGAAAACTTAACGCTTGCAATAACAATAACAATAAGTGAGCCATCAAAAAGTCGCTTTCACTGCTGTCTGATGTACTCCATGTATCTGGTATAGCAATCATACATTTTGACTGCACAACCCTAAAATTGCAGCTGTAGTCGCCTTATTTCATAAATTATTTCATATTTCATTTCCTTTGCGTGCTGCAGTGCCACAAAAAAAAATACAAATAAAGAAGATGTATATACACTATATAAACATTGCGAGAAATGTGTCGGGGTAGCAGTCAAATGTATGCGATCTGTCTGGTAGACCCGAAGCGTTGCAATAACATTGTCCACTTTATTGTGCCTTTTTTGCCAAAGTAAATACAATATTACCAGTGGCAACTTCAATTTCTTTCTGTCTGCTTTAACTTTAACACACTTACACAACACAGGCAGTCATGTGAAATGAGGCACAAAAAGTTATGCGGAAAGTTGGTGACTACCTAAGTATATTATTTTCACTCATATTACTAACAACCATTAATTAATAGATTACAACCAGTTCCCGGTTCGCATTTTATAGCCTCTGCTTGATCAATTTGATCATAACTTGCTTAAATTATCTTTATTACGCTTACATTATCTTTATTATTAAATAGCAATTGTTTTCTCGGCAAAATGTTTCTTTGTTGGAAATTCTATTTGCAGTAATTTCACAATGTTTCAAAGTTGTAAAACGTTATCTCCATTATCAGTAATTCTATCTAATTACGTTTACAACAAACTTGCCGTGATCGCACAGGGAATGTACAAAATTACAAGTTACATACGATGGGATCGTGGACCTAATATTATTATATACGTATATTTTTAGTAATACAAATTAATTTTTATTTTTTTCGCACGTTGTGACAATTTCGGGCCAATTTGAAATGCATCAAATATTATTTGGGTGTTATTTTCTTTCCTGTTGCGCAGAAAAACCAATTATCTGGTGATTTAAAGCAAACACCGCCAACCTTTCTCTCTTCGTAGGCATCCTTGACGTAGTCGGGCACGTCATCTGGTCGCCCGGTTGGTAGAAAGTACCAAATATCATATGTGGGATTGTAGCCCAGCTTAACCACTTCGTTCGAAGTTGTACTAAAAATGTATTTTGACACTCGTAATTCAATTCACACTTTATTTTCTTAATTTGCCACTCACTCTTGCTTAGCATTGACTGTTGTCAACAGAACCAGCAGGCTAATTGCGATAATTATACGTTTCATGACAACTGTTGGCTGTTGGCTGTTAGCTGCTACTTGTTACCTGTATGCCTCACGTATTCCAACTGCCAATTTATGGAGCTGCTCTCTGATATATATATGCTCGCCTAGAGCCCGCAGCGTAAATAATAAGCGTTCAAAATGTGTTCAACTTTTGTGTTTTGATTCGCACAGCTTGCTTGCTGTCTTACATTTTCCGGCATAAATTAGCGAAAATTCTTTTATTTGGGATATCGGAAATGCAATACCCTTATTACTGAATACTTATAATGATTTAAATTTAAGTGAAAAATTTGACAAATAATTCGATGTATTTTTAAGTGAATTTGCAGTTTCTTCCAAGTTTATCATACAACTGACCAAAGTAATTAAAATTTTAATTGCAAATTGCTATTTATATCTGCCGCAACAACAATCTTGTAATTGCTGGGTTAATTACACTTTACCCTAAGCACTTGTCTTTTTTGTGGCTTATGAAGCTGTGGTTTTTGCCAAGCCCTTGTCCAATAATTATTTAAATATATATAGCCCATGATTTCCAAATATGTCAGTCAGCTTTTAAAAATAACTATTAAAAACTACAATTTGCCTTCACAGTTAAATTATAAAGCTTATCATCATTTGATAGAGACTTTGTGTATCAGCTGACGGGTTTTTAACTTGATTATTAGTTTGTATTCATAATTATAATTCAGATTTGCTGCTTTTAATTTTGAATATTGTTGAACAGCTATTTGAGTGCTTTTCATAATAAACATGATTAGCACGGATATTCTATATTATTTGTTTTTCAATAGCAATTTGTAGATTTTGTTAGCGCACGTCCGAAATGTGGCAATATGTATGTGGTTGACAATCACATTGTAGAAAACAAATAATAAATAGATATAATGTGCAAATTTATTGAATACTTACTTAAAACCTATATATTATATATTCACGTGAATCTAGTTGTTATTTTATTTGAACTGTTTGTTGTTTTTGATTTCAGGCCCATGCAGGGCCGTTCCGCCAATATCATCAGTTGTGTCGATAAAAGCTACACAAAAAAACATTTAGCAATAGTTAGTCAGATAAATTCCCCTTTAGGCTTCCCAGATGCGGGTGCATTTATTTATGTAATGGTATTTTACTTCAATGCGTCGCAGACCCCACTTCGTATATGTAATTTGTCAAGTAGCATTTCTGATGCGAGTCTGTGAGCAAAACACAACTGTGGACAAAGAGGAAAAAAGTTATTGGTTAAACACTTGCCATAAACACATTATGAACTAACACAGAAAGGCGCCATATAGTTGTGTAAATAAATAAACACAAAACGAGGCAAGTCAAACAAAGAGCACGTGCGTACGAGTGTGACTGTGTGAGTGTGACAGAGTGTGCAAGAGTGTGCCAGAGTGTGTGTGTGCGAGAGTGTGTGTATAACAATTGTTTGCACACCAACAAGAACATCAACAAAAGACGTCTATGGACAATATAATATGGCTGTTTTCAACTTTTTTCTTTTGTGTGCTATAAATAACACTGTACAAAATATGCATTTTAATTTAATAACTATATTTATCTAAAACTCTATTTATAATAATGAAATTCTGTTTAAACCAAGCCTTGAAATGATAATAAAATAACTTTAATGCTAAAGCGATTCAAAATTCTGATTGAAAAGATTTTAAGCTTATTTTATTTTATCAAATTTTATTATTTTATTAAATACAATAAAATACTTAAAAGTTGGAGTAACAGCTACAAGAAATGTGCGACTGAAACGAATTAGAATTATTACTTTCCTTATTTATTATTTATTTGCCTTATTTTCTTGAAGTAATAATTGTAAATCGTATTGGACTTTAATTAATCTTACTGTGTACACTTACGTGTTTATATAATACCACAAATACATATATATATATATATATATTTATATTTTAACATATTGTAACTTTCTTTAAGCTGTCATTTGTCATGATTTGCAGCGGCCTTGCATGCAATGGCATAATAAGCCAAGCGAGCACATTGACACAGAAGCTTGCCCCTCTCGGCCTTCCTTTGTCTGTAGAGTAGCTGCAGTAAACACTCATACGGCTCGTTGCACGGACTGGCTGCACGACTAGCCCCATTGTGTTGTGGCATTTTGTTGCACATGTAAAGCAGCAGTAACAAGAATAGTTGCAAACTGAATATTGAGAGTTCTGGTATGTAACTAAAATTGCTGCAGAATTTCGAGTGTGTGTGTGTCTTGGGTTAAAGACTCCTGTCTCTGTTTCTGGACATAGTAAATATGCATAGTGTTTCACAGTTTAATTAAATTATAATTTGAGTACTTTGCACACTTGATGCTGACCACATTGTGCAGCCAGAGAAACTGTAGTTCACAGATTCCGCACGCAACTTTGCATAGTATAAAAGCTCAATTAAGTCAACCCTAACAGGACAGTTATTTATACCCCTTTGTCGGTGAAGATAATGGAAAAACATTTTTGGCATTTGTTTCGAGTGTTCCAGCATTCTGTCAGGCCACAAAGCACAACAGCAACAAACACATGGCGTATACGTAACGCGTTAAGCGACTTTGTTCCCTCAAACACTAAGAAAACAAATCCTTAGGGGACCAACAACACCGTTGCGCTGCTGCCCAAAAGATTAGCTAGCATTTGATTAAAGTGCGAACATTTACAACAACAAAAACCAGCCAAGGACAATGGCTGGCCCATGAAATCAAATCAAATCGGCCAAGAAAAAAAGAAGCAAAACAGAAAGATAAATACACCAAAGCAAACAAAGGCAAAGCTAAAAAGCAGGCGCGTCGCCAAGGCGCGTCGCCAAGCCACAGCCTAGCAGCATTTTTTTCTTCCTTCATTTCAATCAGCATTTTTCAAGGCACCAAAAAAGAAACATAAAAAAAACATCAAGGAAATGACATTGTTAAAAAACATTTGACCATTTTTCCTGGCCATGTCACACTAAATTGAATTGTATCCAAGGAAACAAGACGACAAAAAGTCAAATTTAAAGCACCAAATTGTTTGCCTATTTTAAAGGATTATGCTTACGTAGCAGTTGTAGCAACTGAAAAAAATGTTGAATTTATAGCCTACTGGATTATTTTGACAGGATTTTTGGAAATCAAAAGCTGACTTAATACGTAACCGTATTCTCATTTAGACATTTTGAAAAACCTTATCTCAATTGATAATATCAATTTATATGTTAGTAAGGGGTATGCTTAGTCGAATACACTGTATTCTGGCTTTATAAAAGAATACCCTTGTCATTGTGTGCTATGACAGTTGACGGTAAACAAATACCTTTTTAAACTAAGTGACTCAGCCAAATCCTGTAGATTACCTTACTATGATTTACTTCTCAAGTAACAAAACCAAAAAGAAAGTCATTTTAACAACTTTTAGTTGCCCAAGGACGAAAGCGAAAACGAAATCACATTTTATTCAAATTTACGCGCCGAGTTGAGTGCAATAAAGGAAAATATGAAAACTTGAAGAAATAATAACCAACATAAAATGTCAAAAAAGTTGTCGACATTTTTGCGCGGAATTAAAATTCTTTAAAAACAAACGCAATGTCGCCGCCTGTGAGGTGACTTTAAGTTGTGGTTGGTCTTCTATACATATACACATATAGTACAGAATACTTTACACATTTTTATGGTCCTGACAGCAAAAACCAACAGGCAACAGCTCGGCACAGCGGTCGACAATTATGTCACACACACCCCACATCCCCCATCCCCCAAAAGCAGGCCGCCACAACAATTTCTTACACCAGTTTACGAGCATGGAAATGAATTTTGTGCTGTTAAAAAGGGCAATTAAAATGCTTTGGAGAGCACTTAAAAAAACACATTACAAAAAAAAAAATATAGATGCATAAGAATGCCGCAGAAACTACGTAAAGTCCTTGAGCGATGCAACATTTACTTAAATGTAATTTTGCAACCATGTAGAGAAAAAAAACTGTAGATGTGAAAGATGAAGATAAAAATGCTGGATCCATTGATTTGGTTTATCATCATGTTTCAAGCCATTTCACTTCATTTACTGCGATGTCAACTCACTGCAAAATCGAAACAATGCCAAATGACAATGCAATAAATGATAAATACATATAAAGCTCAAAAGTTCGGGAGATTGGGTGTCTAGGGTCCAGTTATCCAGTTGAGCTCGCCTCGTGTTTCCTAGCGTGACACGACGACGTGCATTTTTGTTGATATTTAAATATCGGATAAAGAACAATCAAATAGACGACTTAAGCAAAATATCTCCTTTTTTGTGTCGCCGAAAGCCTAAAGATTACCTATCTAACGTCGATAATATATAATAATTTAGTTGCTATTCAGATAATCTGATGTGTTTTTCAGTGCTGGGATTTTGTTAGAAATAAATATTTGTATAAGAAATGGTCTGAATATTTATATTCAGTTGTGTACCTCGGGTATTCTCTCCAAAATATTATTTCTCATAGTATCTTCATAAAAATTGAGCACGTGTCCATCTCTAATGGTGCGATTAAAGCACAAAGTCTTTTGGCTCATCATCAGCATTTGGTATCATTTATTGTATGTATTTGTTGTTTGTGGGATGCTGCTGCTGCTGCTGTTGCTGCTGTTGCTGCTGTTATCGCATGTTAACACTTCATAGGAAATGTGGCATGGTCCTTGCAATGACCTTTATATAACTGCGTGAGCTCAGTTTTGGCCCATTTACACCCCGAGATCTCTGGGGCCAATACGCTTAGTTAGCCTCCTTCTCTCTTGGGCCAAGCTCATCAACCGCTTTGCGTGCAAAATGTCAAAATATATTTTAGTTGAATTTATGGTCAGTGACCAAAAGCAAACGGACAGCGGAGGACTATCCAAAGCTATTCAGCTCTTATGGCCAAGGGATTTATCTACGTAGGTGTGTGCGTGTGTGTTGGTTGAGTATGGGTGGATGTTGCACGTTGTCTCTTTGCTTATTTTTGGGATTTACACGACGCTTATCACAAGCACACACACACACACACATCCACTTACTCGGAGACTAGTCGTGAATTTCAGCCAATGTCTAAACTAAAAATATTATGCTACATTTCGTTAGGACTCACTATCACACTAACACACACCCTCATTGTAACACACACATGGTCCTTGGCGGCGAGCTTGCCTAGAATGTTTAACAGCCACTTCAAATAGATTAGCTTTCAACGTTGTGCTTTAAAAAATAATAAATTGCTATCCCATAATTCGTTGTTGTTCTTTTATGTTTTCTCTTTTATTTGCTTTGTTACTATTTCAGTTTCAGTTTCTTCTGCTGCAAATAATATAATATCCATTGAAAGCATAAACAACTGTCAATGATTTAATGCCCCAAATCACAATCCACAGGACCCCAAGTTCCTTTTGATGAATGATATGACAAACACCCCACACATACACATACACAGCCATAATAAAATGAATACATCAATCGGTAGTGCTTAATATGCCCAAAATTGATGGTTTGCACATGACACAAAAGATTGACAACCAACATAACTTAATTTTCTTGATTGTTTTTCATTTATATAATTTTCTAATTCTTTAACCATTACCCTGTCTAACAGTAATATTAAAAGCAAACTAAAATCTACTTGTGTTTAAAACATTTATTTATTGAATTTTTTAAATATTTAATTCATCTGTTTGATGCTGGTGGTTGGCCATAATAAGCACAAGATTCATTCATATTATTCATATGAATATTTAATAAACTTCGTGTAACTCCGTCTAACTGTGGCCAAAGCTTATGAATAACTAAGCATATCTACTTAAGAGCAACAGTAATAATACAAATTTCCACGAATCTCACGATTATTTTCAGCAAAATGGCCAAAAGCATGCTATAAAATATTTATATACCTCCAGCTAATGGCGTGACTTTGGGGCAAGCGTCAAAAAAAGAAAACAATTCACATTTGCCGCGTAATAATCGCGTTGGCATGTTAAAATCACATAAGCGACCTTTTTATGCACAAAATTTATACAGTTTTCAATGTAAATTACAGAGCTCAATCCCCGTCCCATCTCCGTCTCCCGTTTCCGTCCACTTCTTGACCCATACGTAGCTCGATTCGTTTGTGTGTTTTTCTGCATTTTCATGTATTTGTTTAAATGATAATAAAATGCAGCACTGTAATGTAATTTATCACTCTGACAATGCGTGTGTGCATGTGTGTGTGTGTGTGTGTGTGTGTCTGTAGGTGTATCTGTATCTGTGTGGGAGTTTCCATATAGCCAGTGTTATATAAATTTAATATTTCCATTTTCATGCCAGCCAAACGGAGCATTGAGTTTTATGCGATTGTTCGAAATGCCCAAAACTTATTGTTCACCTGCCAGATTGTGTGTGTATATGTGCGAGGGCGTATGTGTGAGTGAGTGTGTGGGCATGGCATTTGTATAGTCCTGTCGTCCCTTTTGGCTGGCCATTTTGTGCGCTGTATTGTATATGGAATTTGTGTGCTTTCAAGTTGTCCATTGAATTGTTGGCCACTAAAATGGCATAGAACAGCATCAAATCGGCTGCTCTTAACTTGACTGATGGTAGCTTCAAATACTACAAACACATATGTGCCTTAGACCAACAATTGTCTGTACTTCAGTTCGTATACGTAATCGCATTGACATTGAAGTGCACAAAGGTGCACATCTCTTGTTATTGAGATTTGAATATTTTAAAGTTTTTCTCACTTCTCATAACCATAAAGACGAATATCAAAATCATATTTCGTACAATTTCTTTAATATCCTCTCATGTGCTTATATAGAATTGTTGTCTTTATCGAATATGTATTCAAGATATTTTCACAGTGTTGATGCCCAAGGTGCATTCACACATTTTAAGCTGCAACTTTGGCATAGGCTATTGACTTGCAAACTTGGCTAATTGCCATAACAAACAATTCGAATTGCTTAAAGAGCGTAAAGAGTCGGACCGTCAGGCACGTCTTTGTAGTGCTTTGGGCAGGTTGTTTTCGCTTGTTGCTGTGCGATTTTGTTATTTGCATTTGGAACGCGTCGAGCCTTAACGTTTCTGATCAGCTTGTTGGCAGCTGGCACTGCTGTGTCATTCCGCCAACGTATGTAAGCGGAAAATCCAAAGTCAACTTTTTGTTACCCTCTTGTCTGTGGCAACTCTCTTCACAGCTTGCGGCGAGTTTGCCCTGCCTTGAGCCGACTTCTTTGAAGCCCTATACTTTTAACGGCTGTGCCACGAAATGCCAACTGGGATGTGGCTGCCAAACTGACTATGTGTACGGCATTCCTTGAATTGTGTTTCCTTCTAGAAATGTAACGAAAATTTGAGGCGTTTGAAATATGATCAAATTCGATAAAGCCATTTAAGTATTAGGCGTGACTCTTTTGAAACTATAAATATTTTGAATATTTTGGTAGTTACTTGTGTTTTCAATCGTACTTTTTTTGCAATGTATGCCGGTCAGGTACAATTAATTTGCTGCTCATTCTATGCATTTGGCATTGGTCGAAGGCGTAGAATAAAGTCAATGTCGAAATTGGCGAAGTGAAGCTAAAAATTCGTGAGTTTCTAAAAAAAAAAACAAATAAGTTAAGTTTGTTTTTGTGTTGTTTTTTAACAGTGTTTTTAACAGTTTCTCCTCATGACATATTTGGACAAGTGACTGCGTGTTACAACAAATAATACACATTACATTTCTTGTCGTGAATACGTAATAAACCAAATTGTGAATGCGTCTACAATTTTGTAGATTCTTCAATTTACATTTGCGTACAATTTTATGGCTCTGGTAGTACGTATTTCTACAGTTTCCATTTACGGTTCTATTTCGCAACATTTTTTATGGCCGCTCACCATGATATCTGAGAAATGAAATTCTCTTCTTTTCAGCACAAAAAGTTTTATTGTTTACTTTCGGAGTGCTTGAAATTTACGAGTCTCGTAGAACATGTGTATGTTGCGCATACTAGCACAGTTTTAAGACGATATATATATATAGACATGTATATATATATGATTGTGTTCCTGCTTCGTAAAGCGTACAATCTTAAATCTTAAATCTCTGCCGCACACACTCGTAAATATTAATTTACTTTCCCGAAACTTGCTGCTCTTTTGTCTCTTATTTTATTTGTCTTTTGTTTCTTGGCAGCTTTTTGTGATTTTATGTACATAGATAACAAAATTATGACCGTCACAATCGTAAACCAAGTGGAGTATCTCATTTTCCACCTGTTTTCCATAACTTAACTGATTTGATGGCTATAATAGCTTTCGTTTACTTGGATTGCTTGCAAATTTGACACTTAAATTAATTGGCAATGTGAAAATTTGGAGAGATTACAAGACTGAGGTTGATGTTTTGATAGTAGGCAAAACTTATAACTTGGAGAATAACAATAATTTAGCACAAAAACAATAAATTAATTTGGTTCTTATATGGGAGGCGAAGTATATATGATATTCCGAATACTTACAGATATATGCGCTCTTCATCCAACAAATCTGATTTGTCTCCTGAATATAGAAATATAAAAATAGATAAATATGTAATTTGAAGAAGGTTATAAAATTTATGCAAGAGTTCCGAGAAATCTCTTAAAATATTAGGCGTGAAACAAAGAGAAGCAATTATTTAAATTCACTTAAATTATTAATGATTATTTTGCATTTGCTTGAATTACTAATAAAACGGACAACATAATATTTGACATTAATTGAGATAATGGTAATTTTCACACTTCAGCAAAAAAGTATTGCATACTGATTAAATGAAAATAGGTTTTTAATAGAATAAAGCTCTTTTAAATCATAAATAAACGTGATGCCTTAATTTAAATAAATAATTGTACTATGCAATCGATTAAGCTATAATTATATAAGCTGATTAAAGTCACAATATATAACAAGCATTTTTTTTTTGCGTAAGAATAGAATTTTACTGGGAAAGGAAATCAAAATTGTAAACAAAATCATCAATGCAAAAAATTATAAAACATAATTTTTTTATTATTTATAATTACCTCCTGCAAACTCAAGCATTAGCAAGTTAACGATAGTCCCATCTCTAACCTAGCCACTTGTTATTGCGTGCATTTATTGTTGTGGCCTAAACAGTAAAGAACATTGCAAAAGCTTTCACACATTTAATAAGTCCACAAAATGCCATTGTTGGTATCTGTATGTGTGTGTGTGTCTGTGAATGTTAGTGTGCATGGGAATTTTTGGTCGCGTGAACATCCAGCAAATTTGCGCACTAAATGATTACTACTATATTAATATTACGGACCGCTGCGACCATTACCAACCATGTGGCTTGGCTCGGCTCGGCTCCGACATTTTGGTGGATTTTTTGGATGTTGATTGTTCGTGGTTTTGCTCAGTGGCTATATTCTACGTTATTTTTTTTATGTCTGCCTATAAAAAGCAATTAAATTGCCAGCAAAGTGCTGCCTCTAACGAAAACACACACACACACACACAGTGAGTGAGAGGCATGCACATGCGTAAATGTTATTATTTTTACTATATATAATGTTGTTGCTGTTGACGCCACTTTAGTTGCGTAGCGCGGAAATAAAATTATATTGCTCATTTGTGTTAGATTTCGTTCATTTACGATCAAATTACATTTAATATGTTGTATATAAATTGTATTCATATATATTCATATCCTGCATCATGAAGTTGTTGAAGAGTATGTCCTAATGCATCTGTTTGTCAGAGACAGCAAGGGCTTTAAATTGTTTCCTTAGGATACCCTCAATTATTTGAATTTTTATGTACATGCTTGGGGCACACTTGATAAATGCATTGGCATAAAGTGCCACTGTTGCCAGGCGAAAATCGTAGACATTTAAAATCCTAAACCACTCCACAGTCACTAATAAATTGTAGCCTGAATGCGGCAGGGTCAGGACCTTGGGAGTTGTATACGAACAAAGCACAGAACAGTTGCACAGAAACCAAAAATCCCAAAGGGCTTCAGTTTGCAAAGTTGTAGCATTTTTCTAGCAGTTGTCTACCAGATAATCGAATTCTCTAGTTGTTGCTGTCATTGTTGTTGTTGTTCTTTTTGTTTCCCAAATAAATTCAAAAGTTTTGCACCTGCCCAGACGGTAAACCTTTGCCACATGCAGCTGCAAACGTAAAGCTCTTGTTTATTTCTACCCGTTTCGACGCCTTCTTCTCTCTGACAAAGTTAACACGCATTCATGCGCCTATAACGAGCTGCGTGCGGAACTTTAAGATAAGGCCTATAGCCACATACCCACACACACACACACACACACACACACACACACACACAGAGAGCACACAAAACCCCATAATACTTCTTTATTTTCTTGGGAAATCAGCCAGCACCACCCAGTCGAACCAGCAACCAAAACCAACTGCCAATTGTTTAATGAGCTGCTCAGTTGCCTCAATCGTTGCTATTGCTGTTATTGTTGTTGTTGTTGTTGTTGTTGTTGTTGGTGCTTGTTAGTTGTTCCGGCTTTCGTTTTGGCTTGTTGTGTGTGCTGTTCTCGCACGGCTTTTGGCCATAAGAAGCGGAAATGGTTAGATAAGAGAGGGAATTTCACAAAAAGTTGCTCATTTTAATCGAGAAACTTTTCTTCAGTTTTTGATGACGCAAATGCATCGCCTCTGAGTCTTGTCTTATTTTATCTTTGGCGGCCATTTGCTTTGTAGCAATGACAAAAACAATGATAGCAAAACAACAACAGCTTCAACAAAATCAAGTAGCATTTACTCATTTGCTAAACTTGTTTCCACTTCACACTTGTTGTTTTTAATTGGTTTTCTTATTTTAGTTCTTCAATTCAGAAGTAATGAATTTGTACAACACACAAAATAGATAGCTTCAAACTAGTTTCTGAGAGTAAAAGCTTAATATTTGCCATTTTCATCGAAGTAATGGAATTATTGTTAAAAGTGATTAAAATATTGTACTTTATAGAAATATATGTTTATGAAAGCTATATTGATCAGAAGGAGAATAGTTTAATCCTTATTCCGTTGAAACTACTTGTAAATAAGAAGTTGAGGATTTGTTGTAAAATTTAATATATATACTTGATTTTGAGATATTGATAAAATATTCTAAGAAGCTATAAATGTGGAAAAAAAAGTATGTAAATTGACCCAAATGAACATCATAAGCAATTCGACTATTAAGGGGCAAATTCCTTAAATGAGATATATTTCTTAATAATGGGAAATAAAGGAACTTAACACATGTTTCCAATTTACAATGCCAATTGGATTCATAGAAGAAGCCATCAGAGATCCTCTATTAATTTAAAATGCGCCGCTCAAAAGTATGCAATGGAAATTTGATTGCCAATTGCTTTTAATGCTGTGTTGAAATATCGGCAATTGTAAACTTAATATCTGTTGACTGAGTGCAATAAATAAAAATGTGCACCATTTCACACAGCAAATAATAATAAAACAAACATCAAAAGTGATAGAGTTACTTACCGGGCTGGCAGGACATTCGAGCAATGTTCAGCGCTGACACGCCTGAAGATATCACAGGCAGAAGAGCAGCTCATTGCACCAGAAAATATACATTTAATCCCGCTGTTCATTTAATTAATGTTGAATACAAATAAACACTCAACAATGCCCACACACACATGGAGGCACTTTATTATATTTTCTCTGGCAATAAATTGAATTTTAAGCCCCATGATGGCAATAACATTAAATCAAAATGTTATGAACAGAATAAATGACAGATAGATACCCTATGGACAATTGTCTCGTCTTTTGCATTCTTCAAATTCTACAAATATAATAATCTATATCTGGGAATTAATTCTATGGCTCTTATAGTCTCTAAGATTCCAAACTGATTTATGTCAGAGACATCACCAGCAAATATCTATAGTACATTTCAAATATATTCCACAAGTAGCAATTAAGTAATGAAATTACATATATGAACATTCGATGTTCGCATTTTTAATATTTGCACTTTTGCTCTCTGGCCACGAACCACAGGTATGCGCACTGTCCAAACGGGCCGTAATGCTCCAATCCTCGGAGATGATGGCCTACAATGAACTACAGCCGGTGGGCGGCAATACCGCAGTTGCGTCGAAAGCCTCGGCACCACAGAATATTATAGCCAATGCTGGACTCAGCTATGAGGATGTGCTCAACGATGACTTCCAGTTCGATATGGATGGACACGATGTAATGGTATTTTTGCACATACAAAAAACGGGCGGCACATCCTTCGGCAGGCATCTGGTGCGTGACTTGGACCTGAAGGTGAGCCACATAAATTATTATGTATTAAAATTCAATTTCTCATTAAATTTGTTTTGTTTTTTGTGGATATCTTTATCAATATTCTTGCTATCGAATGAATCTATTTCAGCGTCCTTGCGAGTGCCAAAGGCAGCGCAAACGTTGCTACTGCTTCCGTCCGCATCGCAACGAGAACTGGCTCTTCTCCAGATACTCAACGGGTTGGAAGTGCGGCTTGCACGCCGACTGGACCGAGCTGACCAGCTGCGTGGACGTCGAGCTGGACAAGAACGAGGGCGAGACGGCGAAGCGTCGCTACTTCTACATCTCACTGCTGCGCGAACCGATCTCACGCTACATGTCCGAGTATCGACACGTGCGGCGCGGCGCCACCTGGAAGGGATCGCGGCATTGGTGCCTGGGTCGTCAGGCCACCGCCAGCGAGTTACCGCCCTGCTACAAGGGCAAGGATTGGCTCAATGTCGATCTCGATCAGTTTGCCGGCTGTGAGTCGAACCTTGCCGCCAACAGGCAAACTCGGATGCTCGCCGATCTCGCACTCGTTGGCTGCTACAACAAATCCTCGATGCCGGCGCACGAACGCGATCGTGTCATGTTGGCCAGCGCTAAGCGCAATCTTGCCGCCATGGCGTACTTTGGACTGACGGAATATCAAAAGGTATGTCGTAAAATGACAAATCATCTTTTTTGGTCAAGTTCAACTAAAGAAACGTATATACCTTTGCTGCAGATGTCCCAATATATCTTCGAGGAGACCTTCAACCTGCGCTTCGCCATACCCTTCGAGCAGCACAACGCAACCATTTCGGCAGCTGCTGTCACGAATCTGCGTTCCGATCAGCGGCGACGCATCGAGAGACTTAATGGCCTCGACATTGAGCTCTATGCATTTGCCAAGAACTTGTTATTCCAACGGTGAGCACTCCTTAAGATATCTAAACAATAGTTTTACTCAGCTACTCAGGGCACTCCAGTGTTATATAAACATTTACAAAAGTTAACTTGAAAGACAGAGAAATGGATTAATAATAGATTATTAATTGTAAGAACTGTTCAAAGGCAGCATTTAAATTTAAGGGAGAGTTGGCATACTTATTCAGCAATTAAATTTGAACAATTGGCATATATTTCAAATTGTCAATTCACTTTCTCGAATTTGCCACAAATTCTTTCCTTTTGAATGCATAGTAATGCCAGATTTAAGGCTTATATATATATATGTTAGTAATTGGATACAGTGCAAATAGAATAATTTGTCTTGCGCATAAATACTCAATATAATTTGCTAGTTGTTTGCCACTATTCCCTATTCCTGCTCCTTACAACAAGTTTGTCCGGACGGAGAAACCTGATCCTTTTGTACATTTTGTTTGCCACTCCTGAGCTGGGGTCGATGACTCATTGTGTGTCTTATTATCTTATGGTCTTACTACGCGTAGAGGGTGCGAAACCCTTTTCTTTTTGTAGCGATCAGTTTGTATTGACACCGGGCTGGCTCAAAGGTTATTCTTTCCATACACAGACAGACCAAAAGAGTAGACTGAGAGAAACATGATCGCATAATGGCATTTTCTTATTTAATGGATCCCGTGTTGCCATCTCTTCTGTCTTTGCGCTACTTTTGGCGCATTGAATGCTAATTAAATTTGGTTATGCCTGATCAGGCATGGGAAATTGTCGGTGCTGTTGAATTTTCTCATGGGTTCGAGGTGCTGGCAGTTAATTAATGATCTTAAATTTGTGAAAATGCCAGCAGTTAAAAGTCAACACATTAAAGATAATGCAAAGTATATGTTTTTGAATTTTAAATTATTAGTTAATTAGTTTATCGAGTCATTTTCTTATTGATCCCACTTGAAATTTTCACCAGGAGTTAATCTTGAAACCTATATCAGCATACTTTATAGGAAAGAGTCTCCTGTCTTCAACTAAGGTTAACCTAATTATATACAAATTGTTTCACAAATATTAATCGATCCACCAAGTGATCTTAGATATGATGTACATATAACTTTAGTTTATGCCTTGTTACCATTTGAGGGGACGTTTTACAAACTGTTGAGAAACCAGCTGCCAGCTAAAGGAATGTGGTGTGTCTGAGATTGCTTGGGTCTGCTGCTTCAAAGGCAAAGGTAAACAATTTACTTTGAACAGGCCAAACTGGCTGTCACCTCCTTATCACGTCAAACAGTCAGATAGGGTAATATATATAATACATAATGACATATATGCATATATGCTATGTACACACATTCAAGCATTACTATTTGTATATAGAAACCTTCGGGATTCTTCTGTGCTACCCTAAGACGCACTTCCTTTTTTGCCGCACAACTCGGTAGTTTTGTCAGTTTTGTGGCATTTCCCGCTGGGTGTTTGACCTATAACTAAATGGATATGGTGAAGCATTAAGCGATTTGTATTTGCCGCAAGCGTAAGTCAACTTAACTAAAAACCATTTGCCAAGCAAATCAATTAAATTTGAGGCGCAGTTTTCCACGAGTTTTCCTTTAATTATGCGGGTCGTGTGTCAACTTTATGCTGGCTGCCAGCTGTGACTGCCTATTTTCCCTATATGCATTGCACTGGGGCGGGCACTAACGGTTATTTGAGTGCAGGCGAGTTCTTTGTGATTCTTAGACAGCTGTCTAGGCACACACACACACACAAGTACACTTAACACATACTCAGTCGCAGTTTTAATTATTCCTTTAAGGGATTCCGATGTTGTCTTTGACAATTGCAACATTTGCGCGCGCCAAAAGTAGAGTTTCTACAGTGCACATAAGATAGCGATAAGGAAGTGTGTGTGTGTGTGTGTGTATTTATATATGTGGCACGAACCACCACCGAAAGCGGCAAGCAGCAAGACACAACATAAGGCAACCGGCAACCGCTGCTCACCTTTTAGCTGTCCCTGACTGAAACGAGGGTTGTTTTCAATTTCTTTTTTTTTCTTTTCGATTTGGGATCGTTTCGCTGCCTGCATTTGCGCCGGCGCAGCTCGATGACGCTTCAGTTAGGTTTTGACAACGGAACGCATAGGAACACAGTGCTATTGCAGCTACAGCAAGCAGGGGCAAGCGGGTTACGGGAACAATTTTATAAAAATAACAACAACAACAACGGACTTAACAGTACAGCCACAAAATTCAACGGACATATTTGTTAAACAAGTTTAATAAACTAAAAAATGATTAATTGTTGTGTTTGGTAACTAAAAAATTGTTTTATTGAGTTTTTGTTATTGCACAACAAATTGTTATTAAAAAGTCAAGTTAAAGCAACAGCAAGTGAAAAAAGCAACAAAAAACAAATAAATAAATATCATAAAGCAAAAAGCAACCAAGAAAAACAAAAGCAACATGTCCTTTTCCAAAGCCAAATTGAAGCGGTTCAACGATGTGGATGTGGTTTGCGGCTCACCAGCTGGCTCCGCTTCCATTTCGAACTCCAACAGCTCGGCGGGCTCGGCAGGCAGTGCCACGCCCACAGCAGCTACCATCGTAGCGCCGCCACCCGAGCGCAAGGAGCAGATCGAAAAGTTTTTCAAGGATGCGGTGCGTTTTGCCTCCAGCTCGAAGGAGGCCAAAGAGTTTGCCATACCCAAGGAGGATAAAAAGTCGAAGGGATTGCGTCTGTTTCGCACACCATCGCTGCCGCAACGCTTGCGTTTTCGTCCGGCGTCCAGCCATACAGCGGATAGCACAGTCGGCAGTGGCGCCTCAACAGCAGCCTCAACGCCGCTGCACTCGGCCACAACGACGCCCGTGAAGGAGTCCAAGTCGGCGAATCGGCTCAAGGGGAAAGAGGCACTGCAGCAAGAGATACGCAACAAGAACGAGATCATTGAGAGCTATCTCAGCCAGCTGGATGTGGTGCGTCGTCATGTGGAGCAGCTCAAGGATGCAGAGCTCAAGATGCGCGAGGAGCACGAGCAGACAACGGCCAAGACAGATCAGCTGCTGCAGGCACTCAGCAGCGAGAATCTGCAGCACAAGGAGCGCAACGAGCAGTTGAACGTGGAGCAGACGCAGCTCCTCGAACGCTATGCCAGCTTGGAGCAGCAGCTGCAGCAGCAGCGTGAACAGCATGAGCAGCAAGTGGACCAACTGCTCGCCGAGAATGAGGCCTACAAGCTGGCCAATGAGCAGCTGCAGCAGGCCTGCGAGCGGCAGCAATCAGCGGAGCAGCAGCTACAACAACAACTGGATGCACTGCAACTGGAGCTGCAGCAGGCACGAGAGCAGTCCGAGCAAAAGGCCTCGCAGCAGGTGGAGCTCCTCGAGAACTTGCAGCTGAAGAATACGACGTTGCTGACAGATGTGTTGCAACTGCAGCGGCAGATCGAACAGGACGCGTTGTCGTATGCCCAGGAGGCAAAGTTCAGTCAGACGGAGCTGGAATGCCTGCGTGTGGAGCGTAACACCCTGAAGAATGACTTGGCCAACAAGTGCACGCTGATACGATCGCTGCAGGATGAGCTGCTCGACAAGAGCTGTGAGATCGATGCACATTGCGATACGATTCGTCAGCTGTGCCAGGAGCAGGCGAAGCACACCGAACAACAGCAAGTGCAGCAGCAGGTCGAGAACGATCTGGAGAGTGCGATCGAACGAGAGAAATCATACTGGCGCACCGAGCTGGACAAGCGCCAGAAGCTGGCCGAGAATGAGCTTATCAAGATCGAGCTGGAGAAACAGGATGTTATGGTGCTGCTGGAGACAACCAACGATATGCTGCGCCAGCGCGACGAGAAGCTACAGAAATGCGAAGAGCAGCTGCGCAACGGCATCGATTACTACATACAACTGAGCGATACTCTGCAACAGCAGCTGGTGCAGCTCAAGCAGGACATGGCCAAGATCATAACTGAGAAATACAACTATCAGTTGACTCTAAACAATACACGCGCCACCGTCAACATACTGATGGAACGGCTCAAGAAATCCGATGCCGATGTGGAGCAGTTCAAGGCCGAACTGGAGTCCGTGCAGCTGGCAAAGGGTGCACTGGAGCAGAGCTATTTGACGCTTCAATCGGATGCGGAACAATTGCGTCAGCAGCTCAACGAATCCCAGACGGCGCTTGGAACGTTGCGCAGCTCATCGCAGACCCTGCAGCAGGAGGTATCGTTGAAAGAGTCCATGCTGCATGAGTTGCTTGCTAGCGAATCTGACACAATGGCCAAATTCAATAAGATTGCTAACTCGTTCCAGGAGCGCATCGATGGCGATGCCCAGCTGGCCCACTACTGTGACATGTACAGCGATCTGAAACGAAAGGACGAGACCCGCGAACTCTACATGGCCGACATGAAGAAGGCGCTCGACGAGTTCGCCAATGTCCTCCAGTTCGCTCAGCTGGAGCTGGACAACAAGGAGCAGCTGTTGCTCAAGGTGCGCGAGGAGTGCGAACAGCTCAAGCTGGAGAATATTGCGCTCAAATCGAAGCAACAGCCATCGGTGGCACTTCAAACGCCCAGCAAGGCGAACAAACCGAATACCACTGATCTGGAGAAGATTGAGGATCTGCTCATCGATTCCGAACTGCGTGCGGAGTGTGACAAAATTACGTCCTGGCTGCTCAACTCGTCGGAGAAGAGCGTGCGTCAGGATAACAATGCAGAGCTTAGCGAACTGCTCTCTTGCAAATCCCCCAAAGCCCGCACTCCACGCACCCCTCACAGCCCGCGCACACCGCGCACACCGCGCACCCCCAAATCTGCGGCCAACACACCCAAGAAATCGCTGATCTTTGCCGGCAAGGAGAATGTGCCCAGTCCGCCGCAAAAGCAGGTGCTCAAGGCGCGAAATATGTAGAGCGTCTCGCTAGAGAGTTACACGCGCGAAATACAAAATACTATTGCATTTTAGGCTATATTTTTCCCAACACCTAATTTAAATTATTATAAACTAGTTAAGAACCCATCCAAAAACATATGTGAAATACATGATGTGCTTTGTTGCATACAAAACTCGTTTTGATTTCCTGCCCTGCTTTTTCCAGAAGAAAAAAAAAACAAAAAACAAAAAAAAACGACGAAAAACAAAGTTGATTGCTGAGACGCAGTCAATGGGAACTTTTCAGGCTTGCGACTTCCTTCTTGCCCACTTCCTCAGGCGTAACGGAAGTGCAGCTGCGCATGCGCTGCTTAAGGGTGGGCCCAGAACACCAACAACAACAGCAGCAGCAACAACCACAACGACGGTGACAACAACAAGCTCTGAAAAAAAGTGTTTTTTTTTTCTTTTCTCCAAACTGCAATGAGTCTTAAGTCCGTTGTTGAAATTTGAGGGGTTTTTCCTGAAGGTACTGTTTTTAAATCTGCTGCCTGTCGGGGCCTTTTGTGTTGGGTTTTTTCTTTCTTTTTCTTCTTTGGTTTTCGTTCAGGTTCTGCGTTGTACAATCACTCTGCTTATGACCTTTGACATTTTGCGCTAACAATGCCCCGGGGCCGGTGCTGAGGTACAGCGTCTTCTTACAGCTGCACTGAGCTGAGCGCAGCTGCAGCAACAATTGAATTTTGATTTGGTGCAAAGGTATTTGGATTTGCTTGCCAGCTTTGTGCAAAGAGGGTTGCTTGGGCTAAGAAAGTTTTCAGTCCTCAAATTCCTCCCTTTTTTGGCTTTGTTATTTCTGTAAGTGCAGAGAAATGTTTACAAGTATAAAATAATCAGCTTTCAAATTGAAGTACAGTATGTGCAGGAGCAGCTGTGTAAAAGGTAGCCACTATCTTCTAAATAGAAAAGCTCCCAGTTTTGTTGTTTTTTTTTTCAATTTACCTACCTTCACATTCAATGTGCACTGTCCCTAAAGATTCTTCTGCTTTCCACAAAATAGAGCCACGGTCCACACAGTTGAGTTCCATTAATGCTTAAGAGGAATGGAGATTACTGGGAAAAATGTTCAAGGGAAGTAAATCGCCTGCGAGCAGGCATAAAGCAGGTATTCATTAAATAGTCCTGCTTCTTCGGGCGGTCTTCTTATGAAAAATCCTTGCAGATTAAGCAAAAATATTTGTTTTCTTAAAAGTTAATTGTGTAGCTATCACAATATTCTACAAAGAATTTTCAAATACTTCTATATATATAAATATATGTTTAATTTATTGAGGAAAAACGACAACTCAATCAACATTTTTTTCAATTTCTTTCTCTATCTTACAGTTTTGAGCATTTGAAAGCGAAAGATGCAAATTTCGCGCAGCGCTTTGCGAATCTGGGCAACATCTTCTATAAGCAGGGCGTTACGGAATTCAATTGGGATAGCAACATTGAAGATGCCCTAAGCACGGATCATTGAACGGATCTTGGAAACCAAAAATTAGTTTGTAGCATTTAGCTTTTAAGAAGAGCCCCTCATAAACACTCGTAACAAAAGAAACGATGCAGCGAAACGTGAAAGAAAAGCATAAATGATGCATTAGGAAAACAAAACAAAGGACTTTAATCTAGGGTCTAAGCATAAGGTTAACACTTATAATAAAACTAAAAAAAAAATTGAATAACCACATATAACTCAATCAAATAACAAAGCAGCAACGCGATAATGCATAATTCAGCAAAAATATGAAACAATCTGCTCTCATAAATGTAACAAAAATCTCTGTGCGCATAAAAAAGGTATAAGATTGTAGGAATAACGCTGATAGATAATATCCTACTTATAAACAACTACTCACCTTGCTCCTAAGTCGCACTCCAGACAACTCTCGTATTGTAAATAAAATTCAGTATATATGCTACGTACATTATAAATTATAAATTATAAATTATAAATTATGTATAATATTATTATTTAAATACACCCAGCGCATATACTTCACGCCATAATTTAGTTTTAACATTAGTGTATATTTTTTTATAATATTATTAGTTTAATATTTGTTATGTAAAGTCTTTGCAAAAGCCAAATCTATATTTAGTGCATAGCTCTGAAAAAAAAATATTTTTTTATATCCAAAATCGCATTTATTTTATTTAGTTATGTAGCACAAACATGTAAATACCATAAAAAAAACACACTCTCACACCCTTAACGTAATTTAGAAATGCAGCAATCAAATAAAGTTCAATTACACTATTTTAGATTTATAATAAATTTTTACATGAATATTTCATTTGCAACTGTAGAAGTTTAAAGCGTTATATTGTTAGCTGGCATAATTATTTAAGACAATAATAAATTGAAAACAAACGAAAACACAAAATAAATTAGAATTGAGTGAATATGCGAAAAATTTAATAAACTTTGTTTAACAAAAACCAACGAATTATGAATAAACAAAATTAAATTTAAAACCAAAATCTCCCAAAGTTATATGAGTATAAACAAATACAGAAGTCAGCTTAGCGATGAATTGCATATAAACTAAGGTGGAAACTGAATTTTGTCATTTTATAGCAAAACACCAAAATATAACTAACAAAAAATTTCAACAAATTCATTATGATTTCACGATTTTCTAAACAAGACAAACAAATAGTGAGAGAACAGATAACAGAACTTGGGAATGAGAAAAACGATATAAACAACATTAAATGCAGGTCAAAATGAATAAACTCAATAAATTATAATATAGAAATGTGATTTTTCTTTTCTGAGAACGCTCTCGGCTTACAATAGTAAGTATATATATATATAAATATATATATATATATTTATATTATTTACCAATTATTATCTGATTATCACACTTTTCTTGAGGGTCGAGTGGACGTAATCTTTGTTACATTTCCAATTAATAGACTGCTTCATTCAAGTCCTGTCTTTATTTTCGCACTAAAAATGTGTTTGATTATTTCATTTGAACTTTCCATCCTGTAAATAGGAAAAATACTTATGTTATTTGTATAAAATCTTTTTTCAGCTTATATTATTAGCGCATTGCAAAGCAGCTCAGTAAACGTGTAAGTTTCAGCCGGAGATCATGGCGGCAACCGATTCGGACTATAAGCGTCGCATGTCAACGGCTCTGCCGCCCGGCGTTGATATTGTGCAGCATATTAACGGGAATTTTGGACGCTGGCAACTGCGCATCATACTGCTGATCTTTCTTTGCAAGATACCCACGGCCTGGTTCATGGCCGTCATCATCTATACGGCACCGAATCCGCAGCGTGGCGAGTTGATTTGTCGTCCGGCCACCTGGAATGGCAGTGCGCCGGCCAGTGAGCATGGCGAGAACCGCAATACGGATCGATTGTTCAGCGTGCAGGTGTGCAATGCCTATGCCCAGAGCTTGTCGGAGAGTTTTGTGCAGCGCTATGGGCACAGCTGGAATGCGACACACGCGTCGCTGCCCTGCGAGCGAGTGGAGCACAATTCGGACTACAAATCACTCATCACGCAGTTCGATTTGATATGTTCGCGACGAGTCCTGGTCGCCGTCACACAATCCTTTCATGCTCTGGGCACATTAATGGGAGGTCTATTGGCATATCAGCTGCTGCGACAGTAAGCCTGCCTCTTATATAATCATGAATACGCAATACTTTATTTATCTTTGCTATTCATTCACACACAGCTTTAGTCCGCGTCGTTTGATGCTGCTGGGCATGCTGGGTCAGATATTTTGTGGAAATCTCACTGGACTGGTGGACACCTATCAGTTGCACGTATATTTCCGTTGCCTCACCTCCGTCTGCTGCACTCTCATGTATTCCGCAGGACACATCATATGTGAGTAAAACAAAAGACTTATGACACAAACTTGCTCAGCTCTGGTTACGCTCCCCACTAGTAATGGACATTACGGCGGGTAAGGCGCGAATTTTAGTGGTCACTCTGTCGGAGCTGTTCTGGTCGATTGGCCTGGTACTGCTGCCTGCTATTTCGATATACTTTGATGACTGGAGTTATCTCTATGTGGCCATATCCTCATCCCTGATTGTGCTCGTCTGGCTGCATCGTTGGATATCGGACGCGCCACGTTGGCTGCTGCGACATCAGCAAATAGAGCCCGCTTTGCGTTTGCTACTCGAATCTGCCACGCACAACAATCGCATGGTGCCCCTCACTCTGGACGTCCAGTTGAAAATCTATGCTAGCGAGTTGAATGCCCAGAAGCGTCAGCGCTATTGCCAGATTTGGGATAAGGAGACAAAGCGCCGTCAGCTCGTTTACATACATGTGATCTGGGGCTGTTCTCAGATCCTGTACAACATTATATTGCTCATGATACGCAGCCTGAGCGAGGCACACGTGCATGTGAATACCGCTGCTCTGGGCTTTGCCGAAATGATTGGCGTTTTTGTTGGACTCTATTTTATACTCTACACACGTCGCTATTGGCGATGGGCTGGCAATCTGATGATCATTGCGGGACTGTGCACTTACTTGGTCTGGCTGTTGCCGGAACCTGGTAAGTTTTGAGATGCGTTCTTCATTTGGATTTTTTCTAGTTGGATATTTATATATATTAATTGTGAATTAACGTCATTTTCCATCCACACAGATCGCAACCCGAGACGTGTTGGCTTGGAGCTCATACTTTGGATGCTATTGAAGTGTGCCCACGCTGCTTCGATAGCTGTGCTCACCACCTGCACAGGTGAAATGGTTTCCCCAGAGAAGCGTGTCCTGCTCATGTTCTCAGTGGTTAGTTTTGCACGCCTGTGCTTGGTCTTCTCACCAATGGTGAGCACTTTGATTGTGGTGCATCGCCTGTTGCCCATAACCATAATTGCCACTGTGGGTTGGATATATGGCTTGATCATGTGTTTCCTCAATCGCTACTACTGGAACACCGAACAGCAGCACGTGGTTCAAGTTCCGACACCCAATACATATGGCCGCAATTCAGCTGTTATATTGCGATATTGCAGCACCTCCAGCTCCGATGTGAGCGGATATAGTAATGATATGCAGCGGAACTTTGTGCCGAATGTAACCGTCAGCATTTCTGATTTGTGGCACATCAATTTTCATACGATCCCCGAATGTGATAGCATTAAGAAAGCCACCGAAGGCGTCATAAAATCGCAGAGTATGCATAGCATTTGAATTTTGGTCAGCTGCCAAAAAGTATGCAGCACTTTTCGGACGAACAGAATCTTAGACCTAATGTGATCAGTGAAGCAGCCATAAAACTTATGATCATTTAAGTTTTAAAATATATATAATATACACATAAGATATACAAAATACATAACTAGATACATTCTAATAATAATAATAATAATATAAAAAGTCGCGCCCTGCATTTTTATTGAGATCAGTCTGTGAAGTAATTCCGGACTTTTTGGAGCTCAAATTATTTTTATTTTATTTATTTTTAGCACCAATTCGAGTATTGCAATATATTCATATTAATGTTTTATTTGTATATAAATGTAAACAAATATAAACAGATGAATAACACAACAAATGTAATAACAACTGACAATAGTAAATAAGTGTGTACCAAACTTTTCTGAATGGGATGTCCAAATTGTATTTTTCTCATCAAGTTAAATCTAAACTACGTTTCATTGTAACCAAGTAATTAAAAGGATTTTTGATTTGTTATTTCTTTAAACTTTGCCCAGCACTGCGGAAGTGTGTGTACATGTGTACAATTGCAGCCACATTTATTAGTATTTGTAATAATGGGATTTGTCTTGCTTTGACCTGCCTCAACAGGTTTGGGCACTTTTCCATATTTTATAATATTTATTTAATTTAATTGTGCCAGGAACCACCCTGCAGCCAACTCGTACTCATACTGTACAAATTAGTATCATATTTATGTATACCTTAGTTATTGGCTACATTTTATTACATACACTTGTTTTTTTACACAATTTTAGATTTTTGATCAATTTTTACATGAATATTTCATTTGCAACTGTAGAAGTTTAAAGCGTTATATTGTTAGCTGGCATAATTATTTAAGACAATAATAAATTGAAAACAAACGAGAACACAAAATAAATTAGTATTGAGTGAATATGCGAAAAATTTAATAAACTTTGTTTAACAAAAACCAACGAATTATGAATAAACAAAATTAAATTTAAAACCAAAATCTCCCAAAGTTATATGAGTATAAATAAATACAGAAGTCAGCTTAGCGATGAATTGCATATAAACTAAGGTGGAAACTGAATTTTGTCATTTTATAGCAAAACACCAAAATATAACTAACAAAAAATTTCAACAAATTCATTATGATTTCACGATTTTCTAAACAAGACAAACAAATAGTGAGAGAACAGATAACAGAACTTGGGAATGAGAAAAACGATATAAACAACATTAAATGCAGGTCAAAATGAATAAACTCAATAAATTATAATATAGAAATGTGATTTTTCTTTTCTGAGAACGCTCTCGGCTTACAATAGTAAGTATATATATATATATAAATATATATATATATTTATATTATTTACCAATTATTATCTGATTATCACACCTTTCTTGAGGGTCGAGGGGACGTAATCTTTGTTACATTTCCAATTAATAGACTGCTTCATTCAAGTCCTGTCTTTATTTTCGCACTAAAAATGTGTTTGATTATTTCATTTGAACTTTCCATCCTGTAAATAGGAAAAATACTTATGTTATTTGTATAAAATCTTTTTTCAGCTTATATTATTAGCGCATTGCTTTACGTTGTTTCCGTAATAACAAAAGAAAACAATGAAAGCAAAAAAAAAACTAATTCGCACCCAATTTGTGGCCTCTTGAGCTAACAGCAAAAACAAACTTAAAATAATATCATATCGAATAATATCGTCGATGAAAATTTTCGCCAAAGCAGCTCAGTACGCGTGTAAGTTTCAGCCGGAGATCATGGCGGCAACCGATTCGGACTATAAGCGTCGCATGTCAACGGCTCTGCCGCCCGGCGTTGATATTGTGCAGCATATTAACGGGAATTTTGGACGCTGGCAACTGCGCATCATACTGCTGATCTTTCTTTGCAAGATACCCACGGCCTGGTTCATGGCCGTCATCATCTATACGGCACCGTATCCGCAGCGTGGCGAGTTGATTTGTCGTCCGGCCACCTGGAATGGCAGTGCGCCGGCCAGTGAGCATGGCGAGAACCGCAATACGGATCGATTGTTCAGCGTGCAGGTGTGCAATGCCTATGCCCAGAGCTTGTCGGAGAGTTTTGTGCAGCGCTATGGGCACAGCTGGAATGCGACACACGCGTCGCTGCCCTGCGAGCGAGTGGAGCACAATTCGGACTACAAATCACTCATCACGCAGTTCGATTTGATATGTTCGCGACGAGTCCTGGTCGCCGTCACACAATCCTTTCATGCTCTGGGCGCATTACTGGGAGGTCTATTGGCATATCAGCTGCTGCGACAGTAAGCCTGCCTCTTATATAATCATGAATGCGCAATACTTTATTTATCTTTGCTATTCATTCACACACAGCTTTAGTCCGCGTCGTTTGATGCTGCTGGGCATGTTGGGTCAAATATTTTGTGGAAATCTCACTGGACTGGTGGACACCTATCAGTTGCACGTATATTTCCGTTGCCTCACCTCCGTCTGCTGCACTCTCATGTATTCCGCAGGACACATCATATGTGAGTAAAACAAAAGACTTATGACACAAACTTGCTCAGCTCTGGTTACGCTCCCCACTAGTAATGGACATTACGGCGGGTAAGGCGCGAATTTTAGTGGTCACTCTGTCGGAGCTGTTCTGGTCGATTGGCCTGGTACTGCTGCCTGCTATTTCGATATACTTTGATGACTGGAGTTATCTCTATGTGGCCATATCCTCATCCCTGATTGTGCTCGTCTGGCTGCATCGTTGGATATCGGACGCGCCACGTTGGCTGCTGCGACATCAGCGAATAGAGCCCGCTTTGCGTTTGCTACTCGAATCTGCCACGCACAACAATCGCATGGTGCCCCTCACTCTGGACGTCCAGTTGACAATCTATGCTAGCGAGTTGAATGCCCAGAAGCGTCAGCGCTATTGCCAGATTTGGGATAAGGAGACAAAGCGCCGTCAGCTCGTTTATATACATGTGATCTGGGGCTGTGCTCAGGTCCTGTACAACATTATATTGCTCATGATACGCAGCCTGAGCGAATCACAGGTGCATGTGAACACCGCTGCTCTGGGCTTTGCCGAAATGATTGGCGTTTTTGTTGGACTCTATTTTATACTCTACACACGTCGCTATTGGCGATGGGCTGGCAATCTGATGATCATTGCGGGACTGTGCACTTACTTGGTCTGGCTGTTGCCGGAAACTGGTAAGTTTTGAGATGCGTTCTTCATTTGGATTTTTTCTAGTTGGATATTTATATATATTAATTGTGAATTAACGTCATTTTGCATCCACACAGATCGCAACCCGAGACGTGTTGGCTTGGAGCTCATATTTTGGATGCTATTGAAGTTTGCCAATGCTGCTTCGATAGCTGTGCTCACCACCTGCACAGGTGAAATGGTTTCCCCAGAGAAGCGTGTCCTGCTCATGCTCTCAGTGGTTAGTTTTGGACGCCTGTGCTTGGTCTTCTCACCATTGCTGAGCACTTTGACTGTGGTGCATCGCCTGTTGCCCATAACCATAATTGCCACTGTGGGTTGGATATATGGCTTGATCATGCGTTTCCTCAATCGCTACTACTGGAACACCGAACAGCAGCATATGGTTCAAGTGCCGACACCCAATACATATCGCCGCAATTCGGCCGTTATATTGCGACGTTGCAGCACCGCCAGCTCCGATGTGAGCGGATATAGTAATGATATGCAGCGGAACTTTGAGCCGAATGTAACCGTCAGCATTTCTGATTTGTGGCACATCAATTTTCATACGATCCCCGAATGTGATAGCATTAAGGAAGCCACCGAAGGCGTCATAAAATCGCAGAGTATGCATAGCATTTGAATTTTGGTCAGCTGCCAAAAAGTATGCAGCACTTTTCGGACGAACAGAATCTTAGACCTAATGTGATCAGTGAAGCAGCCATAAAACTTATGATCATTTAAGTTTTAAAATATATATAATATACACATAAGATATACAAAATACATAACTAGATACATTCTAATAATAATAATAATAATATAAAAAGTCGCGCCCATCATTTTTATTGAGATCAGTCAGTGAAGTAATTCCGGACTTTTTTTGGCAATTAAACCCTTGCTAATTAAATTAAGTTAATAAATTAATGTGTGGATATATGTATGAAAAAGTGTCAAGACACGTGGAGCTCAAATTATTTTTATTTTATTTATTTTTAGCACCAATTCGGGTATTGCAATATATTCATATTAATGTTATATTTGTATATAAATGTAAACAAATATAAACAGATGAATAACACAACAAATGTAATAACAACTGACAATAGTAAATAAGTGCGTACCAAACTTTTCTAAACTACGTTTCATTGTAACCAAGTAATTAAAAGGATTTGTAAGGCTCTTGGACAACTCATCTAAAGTTAAATATCATTTTATAACGCGATTATTATCAAGTAATCAAAGCTCGACTGGGAGCATTAAGCAGGCAACAAACAGAGATTAAGAATTTACTGCATTAGAGATCATTGTGATCCCAAAGCTAATTCACGCTAATTCTTCTGATCACCGTGAACGAGGCCAGGAGCCGATGCTCATTCCGCTGCTTCTGCTTATGCCTATTTTTGATTTGTTATTTCTTTAAACTTTGCCCAGCACTGCGGAAGTGTGTGTGTGTGTGTGTACATGTGTATAATTGCAAGCACATTTATTAGTATTTGTAATAATGGGATTTGTCTTGCTTTGACCTGCCTCAACAGGTTTAGGCACTTTTCCATATTTTATAATATTTATTTAATTTAATTGTGCCAGGAACCACCCTGCAGCCAACTCGTACTCATTCTATACGAATTAGTATCATATTTATGAGTACCTTATTTATTGGCTACATTTTATTACATACACTTGTTTTTTTGCTTTGTATAAATAATTTATGGCGAATGAACTTTGCACAGTACTCTCAGAAGCAGCTAAAATTGATACGAATTTAACAATTTTTCTGCTTAGTTTGGGATTTTTGGGTAATTCCACATTGCATTTTTCAGATATAAAAGTGGGTCTTGTTTGTAAAACTGTAATTCTGTCAGCAAATCGAAAATAAATGCCGATGCGTCACTTGGCAAAATCGAGAACAAATGCGACAGGTACAATGATATAGATTAAAATAGAAATCAAACAGCAGACACAGCAAATAAAAAAGTGTTCTTATCAGTCAGAATACTCCTGAGATGTATCAAGTGGTCTTTTCTTAATGTCAATTGTATTAATGGCACTTGTCTGTTGCATTAACAAGTGGGGTTATCTGCTCGGGCAATGTGGACAAGATACAAGTACTCTGCACCTATCAGATGCATTAATAAAACAATGTAATTTATTGATTAAGTGCGCAGATGGAAATAAAAAGAGACTACTTGTAATAATATCCTGGTAAAAAGGCTGAGCCTTGAAAGGCTGACAAGGAAATTGTGAAATCGACCAGTTTCAACGGAAGCACTTCGCACATATTCTCCGCAATGTGTTTTAATTATTTGCTCAAATTCATTAAGAAAATTATCGCGTCGATTGACGAGTTTGGCCGGACTTCGTCTGCGTCTTCGATATAGCGGCTCGTGTGCCACTGGCTTCAGTTGGATTCCGTTTCTCGGCCGATTGAGACGCTAGCGCGCTGTTCTGGGACCGCGTCTCGGAAAAAGACAGACAAGAGAGTTGAGAAAAACCCGCGTGTTGTATCAAACCAGAAGCGAACATAATATGTACGATATCCAATAATGTTTATTGCCGCTAAATAAGTTGATATTCATTTGTAGGCTGTCAAATAAATAAACAAAAGAGACTTTGCCATACGCAGAAGGTGCTGAAAATCCAGAGAATGCGCAACTAACCAACAGAAATAAAGCGATTCAAATTTCCAAATATCGGGTGTTAATTGCCACCAAAAAAAAAAACGTGTATAAAAAGTGAGCTTTGTTTGTTAAATATATAAATTGTATTCGTATATATCCGACGAAATCAAATCAGCAACTAATTTAAAAGTCAGGCTCAAAATGCCCATAGACAGAAAGTAGTTTTCCATTGACAATAAATAACCGGAACGGGATTATTTGATGAATTAGACTATATGTGAACAACGCTAATAAAATTGTAATTCAATTTCACAATTAAGAACTTATATTTCACTAATTTCTGGAGGATATCGAAGGGGTTCTATATATTTTTCATGTGACAAATTGAACACTCTGTCGTAAATCTTAACTTGAATAATCCAGTATTGAAACAGATCAGTTCCATACATTGTTTTGTTTGCCATGTCGAAATTAATTTTCTACTAGTTTATCATGTTTTTCATAACCTTGTAATGAGATGCATTAACATCAGCTAAGAGCTGATATTGTAAATGACCTTATATTGTACATTATATGATTACAAAAACGCAATTCAGCAACTATGTTAATATCACTAGACAATACTCTAGTTATGGAAATTTAATGATTAGCAATCTAGAATAAGCCATTAGTAAGTGACGCCCCCCTTATATGGGACAAGGTATTAGTAATTTTGCATTTGCATGACGAGTAATTCAACTAATTATAAAAACCGACAAGTGTCAATTGGAATTCTTATGGAAAAATCAAACATGAAATATTGGGGAACCAGTTTCGTACAATAGTCTGGCGCGCACTGCAATTAACACTGCCACTTAAATTTGAAATTAAAATATTTGCCGCCCATTGCAAAAGGTGACAGATGTCCGCATTGGGGCATTGTTCGATACTATTATGCTCCACATGAAAATTGGCAGCTCATGCTGCTGGCTCAATTGAAATTAGCATCTGGGGAGATGTCTGTGAAATTAAGTTGCAAAGTTGCTAAACTACGACTAAGCTGAATTTTATCTGATGAATAACTAATGCAAATATGATTTCAAGTTACCCAGTACACATCTAAATTGAGAGCTATCATATCATACTGTGTTAAGATATCTCACTTGTCTTTGACAAATATAGTTATAACCCAGATAATAACAATGTAACTGCCCGATAATCAATTAAAGAACGCAAAGGCTCTTTACGGTCTACCGTATCTTCAATTTGCTGTATTAATTGCAAATTGATAAAAATTATAAATGCTTTGTAAATGTTTTTTCCATTGTGGTAGATCCAGAACACATAAATGTAGAAGAGAAGCTAGCTCGGTGGTACCGAATATAAAATACTCTTATAAAAAAAATTGCAGTGCTATCAATGAATGTAAAAATAGTTTTGGCCCATTAGAGCTGAATAAAGTTGTCTAGTTTTTCAAATAAATTTTGACCATTTCACAAATCAGTTATACTAAAAATTAGTTTATTAACTGAACTTAGTTTGAAATTTGAACAACCTTTTTAACAGTATAAAAACTAGTTTCCATAGTGTGAAATAGTTCAACTAATTGTGTTAATTTATTTATTAGAAACTTGCAGAATTGAAGATGTACATAAATCTTTTTATATATATTATGTCACCTCAATCAATGTTGGCTTCTGAAATAGCCTTTACATACAATACTCGTATATCACAGACTTTTTGTCAAAGTCAGCCATTCACAAAATTGTTCACTCGACAAATCCCTCGCAACGAAATTGGATCAAATTTCGAACCACAGGCATTTGATGAATTTTGCATGACATTCAATGCCGCCGTTCGATTGGCGACTGTCGAGTCGCAGTCGTGGAAAGTTAACTGATTTTTAGCTGTAACCGTTTCAATTGATTTCAATTGAGCTGCACGTTTAGCAACGGGGCGGCGGGGCGGTGAGGACAAATGTTTTCTTTTTTTTTGGTTTTTGTATAGTGTATCGTGTGTTAATATTTATCCACAAATAGAATAAAATGACACGCACATCAACTGATGGAAATTGTTGTCATTCACAGAGTGTATCCATTGCCGCAAAATGTGCCACTAGGAAGACATTGGAAATGGTCAATCAAGCGTCAACAATTCAAGGTGGAGGTGGCAGGCACTCACCCGTGCCCAGTCCCCAACTATCACAGAGGAATATCTTGCGTGCTAGCCCCAAGTGCTCGAGCCTAGACGTGGTGGTGGCGACGCCAGCAGCTCCTGCTGCACCTGGCAACGACATCATTGGCGATGTCGTCGGCAACTTTGGCATCTGGCAGCTGCGCACCATTCTCATCATCTTTCTGTGCAAGATACCGGCCGCCTGGTTCATGGCCTGCATCATCTTCACCGCCCCCGAGCTCTATCCACGCACAGAGTTCACGTGCGACACGAGCTACCTGAACAGCAGCTCCAACTACAGCGTCACGGACAACCAGTGCTACGTGCAGGACGTGGAATCCGATAGTCGGAGTGAGTGCGAACAGTTCACGTATGTCTCCAGCTTCGATTCGCTGATCATGCAGTTCAATTTGGTGTGCCTGCGGGACATCTTCATTGCCTGGACACAGTACTGGCATCTGTTTGGCGTCCTCGTTGGCGGAGTATTGGGCACCAAAATGATGCTAGGCATCAGTCCACGCATCACCTACTGTGTGGGTGCAGTGGCGCAGATCTTTTGCGGGGTTGTCACTGGCTATGCGCGGGACTTCAGTCTACACTGTGCCTTCCGCTGCATATCGGCCGTGTGCTGCGCCATTATGTTCACCGCTGGACAGGCTATTTGTAAGTCAAGTCTTGTATATTTTCAACTATTTCCTTTATTTTTTCCACTCACCAATAGCAAGCCCTTTCAGTGACCTTCTTTAGCTGACTGGCAGAGGGTAAATGTCGGTTATTTATTTATTTATTAACCTCCAGAGGATTGATAGAAGTAACAATGCAAATAACCTGCTCGCTTTTTGTTTACTGGTCATTAATAAAAAACGAACCCTCAACCAGCAAGCTTAAGACTTTTGTCAAAATAGTTATAAACTGCAAATGTATTCATTGCTTTAATCTGTTTGCAGTTACTGACATAACGGCTGGCATGCATCGGATTGGGGCCATTATACTCTACGATACATTCTGGTCCATTGGTGTCATCATCTTGCCGACCTTGTCATCCTTCTTTAACAGCTGGTCCCTCATCTATGTGGGCATAACGTTCCCCACTGTGATGCTCCTCGTGCTGCTCTACTGGACTCCAGACTCACCACGCTGGCTGCTTCGGCATGCCGTCGATCGTCACTCCATTGCCAATGTGGAGCAAATAGTTCGCGAAGGCGCTGAGATCAATGATCGCTCCTTCAAAATACCACCGGACTTTCGACAGCAGCTGGAGCTGCTCAGTGAGAGACTTAAGGCGGCGCCAGCACCAGCACCCTGGACGCAGCTGTGGCAGGGCAAGCGGGCCAAGACTCACATGGTCGCAGCCCATTTGGCATTGGCCTTCTTTGTCATCAATTTCATGGGCATGTTGCTGAATATTAGATCCTTTGGTCGTAACTATCTGGTGCCGAATACCATAGCAATGGGTGAGTTTGAAGTTGTGTTTAGTTGATTCTATAGTTGATTCTATGTATTTCATTATTTCAGGTTTCTCTGAGATAATTGGCTGTTTTCTGGCGCTTCATTTTACTATGAAGCACAACAAATGGAAGTGGCAATGTGCCGGCACCTTCAACATTCTGGCTGGAATGCTGGGCTGTATGGGCTGGTTATTCACCGGCGCCGACTCCAGTAAGTGACACAATTATCTTAAGCCACTACAAAATTGGTAAAAAGAGTTTTGCAAAAGTATGTAACAAAGCAGACGGAAGCATCTCCAATCCCATAAAGTACAAATATTCTTGATACGGATCAATAATTGAATTAATATAATCATGTCTGTCAATGACTATGCCCGTTACGCAAAAATCGATACATATCGATACTAATCGACAGTTAGAATGTATCAATATCGGATAGGAAACACCCAAGTCATATTCTCATTTATGAGAAATTGATAGTATGGCAATCAATCAGAATTTTCACTACCGGCTCTGAAACCCTGTTTTACCTTTTTTATTAACTCTCATTACTAGTAGCTAATTTAACTGAAAGCTATTGCAAAGCGATATTTCTTTAATTTTCTATTTCTTATAGAATTATTATTATTATTTTTTTTTCTAGTTTCTTTCCATTCGATTGTTCTCTAGAACTATTATACAAAGATAACAAAGAACTTAAAGAAGAACATTTGTCCCTTTCTATGCCGGGCAGTAAACTTTTCCCTCCTTGTATTGCTAAAGAAAAATCATTTCACTTACATTTTCACTCACAGTGGATGCTGACTTAAAGGTCTCGCTGTGGATGATCATTGCGACGATACCCAAGGCTGGTGTGTCCTGTGCTCAGTCGATGCTCCTGGCCTGCATGAATGAGCTGGTGCCGGCGAACAAGAAGCAACTGTTTGTCTTCTCAGTGGTGACGTGGGCACGCATCTGGCTCCTCTCGGCACCGTTCTTCAATGTACTTAAGCGTATCGATACTGCTCTCTCTCTGACCTCGTACTGTGTCTTCAGCATACTTGGCGGCATCTGCACCTGCCTGCTCCTGACGCCGCGCACCAGTAGTGCTCCTGTGGTGCCCCAACCAGAGCCGCTGCAGGATAAGAAGGAGCAATCGCCCTTAAGTACTGCGATTTGGACAATCGAATCGGATGTGCATAATACACGCTTGTAGGCTGTACTGTTGTCTTACTAAAATTCCATATATATTATATTTAGCTAATAAAAACTCAATTCACTGTGATTAGTTAAAGCCAAAAACGGGTCGATAAATTTGACTTGAGCTTTAGTTTAATTACAACAATACATATACCAACAACAGAAGGAAGCACAAATGCCCAAATATCCACATCCAATAGATTCTGTAAGCATGCCGTGAGAGATTGTCAGAAATAGTTTACTTGGTCTAATAGATGTACCTGGATAGATCTTACCTGGTCACCTGCATTTTGTTCGCATCCACCGTAAATTGTTCACGATGTAAATATTTATTAATGCCTATCATATGACACCTGACATAGTCATCATAGTTCAGCTCATCCAGATTCCAATAGAGCATCGGAAATGTGTCGTTCTCAATTAAATGCTTGAAGTAGAAGCGACTGCGATTCTTAAAGATCCACTCATTGAGCGAGAAGAAGCTGCCTACAAATAAGAAATGATGTCTCAACTAAACTTTAATGTGAATTTGAATTTGAAATTACCCACCTGCCAGGCAGGCCTGTCGAAACTTTTTGGCAATGGGCGTGACAAAGCGTTTCTTGGGGCCCAGCAGCAAAGTGCGCAGATCAATAAAAAGAGCAGGCACAAAATGTAGCATCCACACAGCCAGCTCATGCATCATGGCGCCACGGCGATATTTGAAGTTGGGAAACATAATCATGCGCTTTGTGGGATATATGCGGGACCACTTCATGGTCAGCTCACCCAGTCTCTGCCAGCTAATGGGATTCGTTACGCCCGATGTGGCATTGCAAATGCTGATGCTGCAACAGACAGCAGACAGCGAGAAAATAGTGTTTAGAAGCAACTTATACAAATTGATTATTTTTTATTAGTTTCACCTGCCCAGCTGCGCCTTGTGCACCATCATGATCATTGCATTGACCACAAAATCCACTGGGATAATGTCACAGATGAGATTCTTATCGCCCAATATGCTGCTAATACCACCCTTGCCGATTTCCATCATAATCCCACTGATCGCCTGTATGTTATCGATCCAGCCCGGATACGGTTCGCGATAGGCAGCCGTCACAATCGAGGGACGCACTATGACAATGGGTATTATGTCCTTGTACGAGCTGACAATCTGTTCGGCTATCGACTTGGTGAACGTGTACGTATTCACATGTGGACCCTTTATATAGTCTGCCAACCGATTCAGATACTCTTCCGGTATTTTCTTGGTACATCTGAGAAAATGCTGCCAATCCACGGGCGGCAGTGTTGGATAGATGCACTCATCCACATATTTACGACCCGGATTACAGTAGGCGGTGGAAACGTACAGAAATCTCTGTGAAATAATCAAAGCTTATTTAGAAAAATGAGAAATGCAGCATTTTATAACTAGGAATTATCCTTTTAGATATATTCCAGTCTCAAAGCTAAACTTAACTTAATATTACTTATTTATTTCTTATAATCTGTTTTTAAAATTGAACTCAAGTTGTTAGTCAGTAGTAAATACCTTAAGCTGCCTCATATCGCTGCACATTTCGAGCAGATTGTATGTGGCCACCGAATTGACGCGTGCTGCCACACTGAGGCACTCATTGAAGCGCACCTGTAAACAATTAGTTAGCCACAGAGTCTATCCGCAATTCAAACTCGCACTCACCGTTGCGGCGCTGTGAAAAATAATATTAACCTGTGCACAAAGCTCGGATCTGTCTCGTTCATTCAAACCTGTTGACAATTGAAAGGAAAACAAACACAAAACAAAATAGCGTCAAAGTTGTTTTTCAATATTTTCACTCTTACCAAAGTTATCAGCCTCAATGTTGCCCGCAAAATATGCGATTTTCTTCAGGCGTTCCGGATGGGAGCTGCGCAAACGCAGAAAGATGCCATTTTTTAAAAAATTCTGGAAACGCTCTTCAGGTACAATCCCAGCTTTGGATCTAATGAGCATGTAGATGCGCTTGATCTGTGGAAAACTCCAGAGCAGCTTCTCCAGCAGGGCTTTGCCCACAAAACCTGTGGCGCCTATCGTGTAAAAGTCAAGTCAAAAAAAAGGTATAAAAATAAAGAGTAAGTGAATATTGGAGACTTACCCGTTATGAAAACGACTGCATCTTTATAGATATCCAACGGTGGCTCCATCTCACGTTGTTGCCACTTTGGTGGCATGAATGCAACTGTTTGCAATTGCATTTCTCTCAGCTTGCCAATGCACTTTACACTGCGCTTGAGCCAACTCCACTGGAGTTGCCTCCAATAACAAGTTTTTTTCGCAACGTAAACAACAATTGCGCAACAATTTCGCCGAATCTTACACAACCAAAGCAAATTGTGGGTGAAAAGACCTCGATCCTGAACTTAATCTAATCTGCCAGAACTTTATCTAAATTTTGCGCTTTTTTGTTTTGTTATAAAAAAACTACTAATTGTGAAAATAAACATTAACTTAAGCGCGAAGGAAAATGATCGGAAATCCGAGAATTCTGGTTTTCTCTGAAAGTACAAGGACGATTTGGATGATCTTTGGCCAATTCGTAGGCCTGGTAAACACAAAATTGTTGAGAAATGTCACGCCAGGTTCTGGCAGGATATGTCCTAAGTATGAACACCTTTCTTTTTTATTTAATTTTAGTATTTAGTAGTTTTATTCAAATTGACAGACAAAGTAGTATTTGTCTCAATGTAGGCCTAATATTCCTTAAAATGACCGAGTTAGGCGCGATTTTTATATTTATGTATTTTTCTCATGCCTGTAATTGTAAGTGTTTGCTGAATCCTGGAAATCTTTGAATGCTCATCGATAGCACTTTCTCTTGTGAGCTTGAAAAAATGTGATTCAACAACTTTTCCAGCCAATGCATCAGAATATAATATTATAAAGTACAATAATGGTTAACGGTACATTTGTACCAATATTTGACAGCCATGGTTGTTGCCAATAACAAGATTAACAGCTTGCCGCTAGATGGCGCGCTGAGTTGCAATGCGGGTTGGTGTCTCCACTAAGTCTAGCTAAGACTCCGATTTCTGTGTGTTTTTATATTCATTTTTATTATACTGATTATCAGACAGAAATTGATTTACGAGTATTCTTCTATGTTTATATGCTTAAAATATATCTATAAATACATAAAATCAATACATAAGTAATATATAAATATGTAAGAGTTCGAATTGCTTAAAAATTTATTAAAATAAAATAATAAGAGAATACAAAAAGAGAATTGATCAAAATCGATCTTCACAGATTATTTACAAATACAATACAAATAGTTTGTATATAATAATCAAAAATATCTCATCAATTCCATTAAATACAACGTCATTTCACATTTTGGTCTTTCACAGTGGCTGCAAAAAGTAAACATTCACGACAATATGAACCATAGCCCAATTGAAAAATTTGTTCGTTGCGGAAAAAAGGGAGAAAAAACCACTCCTCCTATTATTGACATAATCATTTAGGAACATTCGATATTCGGCTGCTTTAACAATTGAAATCATCTGATTTAATTTAGTGACAATTTAATTAGCAACGATTTCGTTGAGCAGCACCTCAATTCTCCTGGCAATGATCAGTGGCAGTTATGTTGAAGGCAGTCAACCCACAAGACGTGGCTACTAACTTATACATATGTAAGCTGCTGAAAGATGGTCGCCAGTTACAGCCCCAATGCGGGCTACAATACCAAGGATCGTCGTCCAACGCCAACGCCCGAAACAGTGCCTCAGATATCCTATTTGGCGCACGACAGCTGTCAGAATGCGGATGGAGATGAGGATGAGCTGCAAACACAAAATGAAACCGATGACATCATTAGCCAGGTGCTGGGCAACTTTGGCATCTGGCAGCTGCGATCTGTGCTGATCATCTTTCTGTGCAAAATACCCGCCGCTTGGTTCATGTCACTCCTCATCTTCACGGCGACGGAACTGAATCCGAATGAGGAGTACTGGTGTGATACGAGTGCTTTTGGGGATGCCGAGAACTGCAGCGTGTCGGAGGATCAGTGCTATGTGCTAGTCCCCTATGGCGATGCCAACTATGCGATACGCCAGTGCCAGAAGTTCCACTATGAGCACAACTTTCGATCGCTGATCATGGAGTTCGATCTGGTCTGTCTGTGTGACATATTTGTGGCCTGGTCTCAGTACTGGCATCTCTTTGGCATGTTCCTGGGCGGTGTGGTTGCCAGTCGGCTGATGCGTCTCCTCAGTCCACGCCGAGTGTATATCGTTGGCATATGGGGTCTGCTCGCCTGTGGCACAGCTACGGGTCTCGTCAACGATTTCAGTTTGCATTGCTCCTTTCGCTGCCTGTCTGCCGTCTGCTGCTGCTTCATGATGACTTCCGGACAGGTTATATGTGAGTATTCTAAGAAATAATAGGTATTCATATGAGAAAATGTATTCACACACTTTTCATACTTTGCGTGCGTCCATATTATAAATATTGATAGATATTTTCATTTACAGTCAGTGACATTACGGCGGGCAAATATCGCAAAGGGGTGCTGTTGCTCTATGAGACCTTCTGGTCAGTGGGTCTTATGCTACTGCCCGCCATTGCTACATTTGCTCAGAGCTGGCGTCAGGTGTATGGAGGCATAACATCACTACCATTTATCATAGTCCTGCTGCTGCCCTGGTTACCGGACTCGCCTCGCTGGCTGCTGCAACATGCCGAGCCCACTGCTGCAGTGGAGCATGTCATGGATCTGGTGCTGAGGGCAGCCCGCCTCAATGAGCACTGCTCGAGAGTGCCCATCGACCTGTACACGCAGCTGGAACTGCTTGGCGAGCGACTACGCGAAGAGTCGCCTCCAGCACGCTGGTTGGAACTCTGGCGTGGCCATAGCCATGCCAAGCTGCTCATGCTGGCCACACATATGGCCTTGGCCACATTTCTTATTAGCCACATTGGATTGCTGCTGAACACACGCTCCTTTGGCCGCGACTATCTGGCACCCAATACCATTTGTATGGGCCTGGCCGAAATTGTGGGCTGCCTGTTAGCCCTATACTTGAGCCAGAAACATGATTCATGGAAGTGGCAGTGGGCGGGTGGATTCTGCATTGTGGCTGGAGCTATTGGCTGCGTCTGCTGGCTATGCCAAGATGCTGAAAGTAGGTAAACTAACTACACCATCTATTACCAAGCTAATCTGTTCTCTGTTCATATCACCAGTGCCACCAGTCTATGAGAATGTCCTGTGGATGTTCTTTGCTGCTCTGCCCAAGGCAGCTGTGTCCTGTGGCCAAGCTTTGCTTATTGCTTGCATGTCTGAATCTCTGCCGGCCGAGAAACGTGGCCCGTTTGCCTTCTCTGTGATCACCTGGGCGCGTGTCTGGTTGCTCTCTGCGTCGTTTCTTACGGTGCTCAAGCAGATTAACATTGCGTTATCCTTGTCCACATTTTATGTTTTGGTCATTTTGGGCGGCATTTGTACCTGCTGCTTGCGTACGCCACAAGGAAAGCAGCCGGAGGAGAGGCACCAACAGCGGGAAAAGGAAGCTGACAGGTTCAGTACGCATTTGTAATATGTGATATCTTAGCTAATAGTGAAATTATCTTTTAAGTTATCAATCTGTGCATTTCTGACGTATGTATATATGCACATAGTTGAATCACTTTAGGTATACAAAAATTAAAGCTGTGCTTTAAACTAATAAAACTGTTTTGAAATATTCTAGTTTATTATCTTTTACAACCCAACCCGGTATTAATACGTATATCGAGCATATTTCTTATAATATACATTTTACTTTTGTGTGATTTTATAGATCATTAAATGACCTTTCCAAAAAATATAAACTTCAGCAATGCTGAATTATTATTGGGTAGTATTATCAATATAAATTAAATAAAATAATATATTCATTTTTTTCCAACAGTTTACAAAACAAATTATAATACAAATTGCAATTAAATTATTATAATTCATTTTCTCAAAAATATATATTTGGACTGCTCTGCTATTCAGAACTTTATTGGCACACCGGGGCAGAAATCACTCGACACCAGATCGTATTTAGTATGTGCCACCTGCAGTTGGTTTCCAAGTTTTCGCTCAGGCTGACACAATAATATAATAGGTATAGATATTTTAAGTACATCGCTGTACTGACTGCTGATTTGTGCTGGCCTGCTCTTTCACCTGCTGTCCCAGCCCCGAGCGAACCAGAATCGCAAATCAATAAGAACGAAACCATAAAATTGCAGCAAGTGTCCCAATTGATTGAGGCACCAAATGTGTTGTTTTGTCATTGTTGGCTTAGCACTGGCGTCGATGGGACGTGGCCAGGTGACAAGTTAAGGACAAGGAGAACAGTAGCTGGCTGTGCTCCATTTGGATGCCATGAAACCAAAGAAATCTGCCTTTGCCAATACTTCAACTGGCTACGGCAGGCACAAGCATAGCGGGCACGGCAAGGGTCACGCCCACGGCGGGCACAAGGACAAGACAGAAGGAGGCAAGAGCAAGGGGAACAAGGACGGCAAGGATCAGCAGCAGCATGAGCATAAGGAAGAGCAGGAGAAGGATTTGAACTCCGGCTTTGGTGATTACCTGCGCACGCCGGAGGGTCTGTAAATGCCTCAAAAATTGACCAAAAAATAAAACTAAAATATTTAAATCATAATCTATTCTCCTCCCGCAGCATTTGAGATGATGAAACTGTTTGTCTTTGCCAATACCATAATGTTGATTGTGACCATGGCCTGGCCGCACCTTAAGGAACAGTTCTATATGCTTAGTCAATGGTGGAGTAGCTATCGCGAACAACAATAATATATCTATAGCAGTTCTTGAGTAATAACTTTACACTAAAAACATGGTTGGTCCATTTATGCAGGGCTTGTTGCTGATAGGCATCATCTACTGGTAAAGCAAATCTATTACAAATATTGGTAAATGTATGTCTAATGAGTGTGCAACTTGACAGGTATTCCAAGAGCATGATATCCATGATTAATGATTATTATCGCAACGAATTTCAACGTCAGCTGCAATCAGCAGGCGACTCACAGCCTGCAGCGGAGTCACCTCTAAGTATGGACAACTTTATGGATTATGTGCGTGAGCTGGACACAAAAGAGCAGCCAAGTCTGGAAGAACTGCAAACCACTTCAGACAACACTAATAAACCTTTGACAGGACCCTCCCATATGTTGCTGTATTTCCTGCAAATCACAGGCGCCTACAAATCGCTTGATTTTTGTGGCTTACGTCCCAGCGCTGCAGACAGCTCCATAAGCTAGTTTATAACTATAGCAATAGTATGTTTATAATATACATAAATTATTATATAAAATTATTATACTTACATATTTTTCTGACATTCATAAAATACATCAAGCAAGTATGCTCCAAATGTGACGGGCGTTTTTATTTAAATTGTAGCAGAATATATATTTGAAATTTGTTAACATTTTCTGTTCGTTCCAGCTTTACTATAAATACTCTAAACGTGTTTAATTAATCCTTCTACGATATTTATATTGCTTAATTTGCTTGGTCTGTTTTCATAAATCGTAGTTAATTGCACTTTCTATAAACATTTTATAGTTATTGCTCACTTCATTTTTAAAGATAGCTTCTCTATACTTGGTTTCGATTCAAGTGGGAAAATATAATTTAATTAGATATGATAGATAGTGTAAGGTGTACGTTGCAAAATCTTTATGTGATAGATAAGCTTATACTTCTTCTTAGAACTGTTTGCTCAGGTATTCAATTCAATTATGGCACACATTTTCAGATTTTACGCTTGATCTTTTGAGGTTATTTGGAAGTTGGAAAATGTTTTTATAATATATCAGATAATAGCTTATAGTAGATGTGCCTTGTTCTTAACTAGTTCAGCTAGAAATGCAGTTTATAACGAAAGTTTGGGATAAATCTAAGAAAAAAGCAAGACAAAAGTAAAATATGACTCCACCAATATTTTTAATCCGGCGAAAATCGATCCCGCCAAATCCCTTTAGGTTGTTTTTAGATCTCAGAAATGACGACTAAAGACTTGCGCATAAAAACATTTATAACAATAAAAACAGTGATTGGAAGAAAATCATTTTTGACTTTGCAGAGCAATCAGAAAACCTGTTTTCGAACCTTTTTAACTTCATCAAGTTTACAAAATTTGTAGAAAAAAATGTACATTTTCCAATCACTGTTTTTATTTTTAAATATTTTTATAAAAGATTTTAGTATGCAGTTGGAATTAGTTGTTGCCATCCGGATTGAGATATATAAATCGTCATTACAAGTAGATAATCAGATATATACATTTTGTAACCGAGCTGATTTGACGCTCAACTCTTTTGCCATACACAACAAACTGATTTTCTCTTTTTAAGAATTATCATTTCAAATACAAATATCAAAAAAATATTTCATAAATTAGTTTAGAAAATCATAAATGACTTTTTAATGTATATTTTATATACACAACAAATCTTCATACATCATTTTATTATATATAAAATAAAAATAATAATAGTTGCATTACAAATTAATAAAGCAAAAATACAAAGTACATCAATTAAAATCAAATATGTACACAAAAACCGCTCGAGCGTTGCATTTTCTTCTTGAAATTACAAAAATCAAATTTAATATAATAGATTGGATATAGTTTTTGTTTATAACCCAAAGGGAAGTACAAAGCGCAACAAATTAAAAAGAAAAAAAAACAATTTATTTCAAGATTATTTTAACGATTCGTTTTCACTAAAAAAATCACACTAGAAATTGTCTTTGAGAAATTGAAACAGAGCAACGCAAAATTAAGGAAACACAAACCTATTATTTTTTTTCTGTGTATCACAACCTTTTAAATAAGGATAACAATATTCAAAAAACGAAATGAAATTTCGACGAATTGAGTTAATTCATGAATGCCTACTACAGACTATATATATATATGTATATGTATATGTATGTATATAATATATTTATATGTATATATGTGTATATCGTATATGGCTAAAAAACACATACAGTTTAATTGCAAACAATACAAATGCTGAATACAGAATTAAGTTGCACTAATGCTGCAACTTATTGAAAGGCTTCGTTTCAATAAATAAATTACTGTGCGTTCAAGTCTTACAAGTAACATATATATATATATATATATCTATATATGTATATATATATAAAGAAAGCGCCACCGGACTAAGGATTCGCCCCCACTAAACTAATCTACTAATCTGCCTGCTTGCGTATTGTGGGCGGCGGCGGCGCTGGCACCGTTGGCCTTTTGGGCGTTTGAAACGAATTCGGCGATATGGGCGTTGTGGGCGTGATCTGTTCCGCTATCACCAAACACTGTTGCGGCTGCTGTTCAGTGTTATTGTGATTCTCCTCCCTGCTCCCAGCTGCTGTTGTGGTTGCGGTGGTTGCTGTTGCTGTTATCCCTGCCGTGGCCATTGCCGCTTCTTCCCGGGTGCCATTTGTATCACAATGTTCCTGCCGGATCTTATCTAGAAACTTTTCGGTTGTGTAGCGCACACTGCCATTGCCATTGTCGATGTGCGCCTGCGGTAGTCTGGTGGCCTCATCATCGCTTTTACTCTCACCCTTGGGTCCAGAACCAGAACCAGGGCCACCTCCGCTGGTTATGGCCAGCACTATGGGACGCTTGGGCAGTTGCGGCTTTTGCGGCACATCTGGCTTCAATCGAAAGCTACCAATGCTGTCGATGCTCTTACGATCCGCTGTCGGCGAGGGCAGGTTATCCAGACCAAAGAACTGTGTTCGCGTCATGGGCACCGGCTTAGCGGGCGTCACTGGTGGCGGCGACAACGCCTCCAGCTGCGTGTATGTGGCAGGCTGCTGTAATTGCACCAAAGCCGGTAGAGGCGGTTTTGCCGGCTTTTCTTGCTTCTCATGCTTGTCATGTTTATCCTCTGGCTGTTGCGTAGGCTGTTGCTGCGGGAACAGCTCCTTGGCATGCGGGCGATGCGAAATCGAATGATTCGATCCACCGCCATTGGTGGTGGCTTCCAGTTTAGTGGGCGGAGAGGGCGCATTGGGCTTCTGGCGACGCAGCGTGCCATAGCGCGGACTCTCTATGACTTCTAAAAGAAAAAAAGAAAGAAGGAGAGTTCTTTGATCATTCGAAGATGAGAACACGTTGATTGCAACAATTGTGTTTCTAATCTGACCCAGTTTTGATCTTCGAGTTGTGCCCACAAAGTAAGGTAAATAAGAACTAATAATTATTGATTTTGATATGCCTGCTATCGAAAAAACAATAAAAATACTCGCTGAGATCGTCGTGCTACATTGACTGAACTTGTATTGATCAAGAATATGTTTACATATTTATATTATTATTATTATTAGGGGGGAAGCTGCACCGCGACCTATTTGATTTATTGTGCCCCCTTCTGAGCTTATAGCTCTTCCATCAGCTCCAACTCCCGCACGAATGTGAGGATCTTTGTTGGGTTGAGGTCTTCTATGTCTTTGCAATTCAAAACATGCGCCCCTAGGATATATACACATATTTATATTACTTGATATTATTATTATTGGAGTGCTTCATGCACTGCCACTGCTAGATCTACTGTGCCCCCTTTCCAGCAACCTTGCTTCTGATCAGGTTTCTATGTCTTCTTTAGGCAACATTGTCTTCTGGCTAAAGCAACTCGCTATTCGTTAAGATGCTACTGATGATGCCTAGCTTGGCCAGGTGAGCTCCTAGTGTACACTTTGCTAACAAGAGACCGGAAAGTATGCCAAGTCTGGTCTTAAAGAAAAGAGTTGAAGTTGAGTACTCAATATTTTATTTGTGCTAAATTATTATTTGTGTAAGTTATTGCTGCCATACCACATACCACTATATTCTAGTGATACTCACCACTATCATGCTTATTCAAATTCTCATTCGAGGAATTCGATTTGGCTTTGCCTTCGACAAAGAGTTTGTGCCGCTGCAGCGTCTGATAGAACTCGACTTCACCATCGAAGAAGTAATCCCACTGGCTAATCAGTAGCTCCACAATGATGTTGGCAGCCGAGGAGCTATTCACCTGGCCCATGTAATCGGCCGGTGCGTTGCTGCTCTTGTCGATGCGCGGCCAAAGCATGTTGGGTGACATTACAATGGCCAAGTTTTGGGAGCTCATCTTGTTGTGCACGGCACTCTGTTGCATCAGGGCCAAGAAGCGGGTGAGGTAGCGCAGATTTGCATAATTCTCTTTGGGCAGTTTGCCCATTACAGCTTTTATTGCCGTCTTGCGTTCAGCCTCAGTGTGCAGCTCCGCGATGCGTACGAAGTCCTTGTACAGGGCGTACGTGAGGAGCGGTTCGGGCAACTCGCGCAGATACAGCTTCAATATGGAACCAATGACATGCGGATCCTGGTACTCCAACGGCAAGGGGGTCTTCACGTGTTGCGCCTCAAGTGCGTGCTTCATGCGCCGCAGTTTGGTGCTGGCACAGCCTACACGGAGCAGACCCTCCTCCTCGAGGCCATGCTCCAGCAGACAACAGCAGCAGAGCTCTACAATGTATGAAATGTCGCGATGCGTCGACGTCAGATGATCCTTGAGCGAGGTGCCAAATCGCGTCTTCTCTGTGCTCTGTATGGTGTCCTGGATGCGAGCCAGCGATTCATTCACGTGCTGCAGCGCTCGCTCATGATAGTTTCTTTGGTTGAGCACATAGTCCCGAATGCAGTTGACGATTTCGTCCTCTTTGGCTATTAGCTCGAGCATTTGTGCCGCCCACGCATCCCGCTCCTTCTCCAGCTTCACTTCACACTCCTCCTGCTGGCTCTTGATGTGGTTCAACTTTGACGCTGGTTCTTCATTCCGTTTAGAGGCCTGAAGAATATAAGTTAAAAATAGTGAATAATTATTTCTGCAAGCTAAGAACAGATGTAAAATACTCTAAAACAGTAAATCATAATTGAAAAGTGAGATTAGATGGCATGAGTTGAGTTTAGTTTAGTTCATCTCTGGAAATACCGACCTAGATATATCGCATGAGTTCCGTGCCTAAAGTGAAAATATACCTTAAACTTTAGCTTTATACAAACGTAACCCGCCCCAAAATAAAATAATAATACCTAACCATTAAAGATGGAAGAGGCGTTTACCAGTTTAGTCAAACATTAAAGATAAGAAATTTCTCACTTTGCATTCTTTTGTTTGCACCCGCATCGCTACTGCCGTCATTTTCACACGCCGCGTTGACGGTTCCACACACCAGCATCCACATTCCCACCTTGCCCCTTATGGCCACAACACGCCTCCAAGTGGAATCAGTTTTGCGAGTGAAGAGCAGCTTTAAAAGAGACTGTGTTTGTTGTTTGCACTCTCAACTATACCTATATATATATATAAATAGATACCCTGACCAGCTATGCCAATCAACTTCATTGTTTCCCCGGTAAATGGAATCAATTTACAGGGTAAACAAACATGAAACTCTTACGGGTGTAGTGCTTAGTCTGACTAATATATATTTTTGCGGGGTAATTGAAATGTTGCGCGTTGCTCGGATTTCAGCTTTAAGTCACACCTTTGTCAACCCATTTGAAGTGTCTTAAGTGTACGACATATTGATAAGACAATTTCGAATTGTAACACAATAAATAAAGAAAATACAATTGAAATCAATATCGTGCAATGACATTTCTAAGCTAATTTTTACAAACGAGCAGTTGCAATATTAATATTAAATTGTTCGATTCAAAGGTAATTGTGACGTTAACTCAGAGTATCTAGCCAAATAAATTAAATACTCTTAAATAAACGACAACTTGATAAGAAAGTGTTTAATTGTAAATTGTACAATTAATAAGGAAAATAAATTTAAAATCTATATCGCGCCGAAAACTCTTATATTACACACAAATAATCCGAGATACCTTGAGCTAGATAAATCGGAATTATGACGAAACCATTGAAATAAGCCTCAAGAAACAACCAAACATTTGGAGAAATTCAAAATGCTCGTTTAACCACAAAACAATTAAGAAAAGGCGGAGAATTCCACTTTTCTCACTTCCACTGTCCGTTCTGAGGCATACTTTGTCTCTTTATTGGGACACAGAGCAACAAAAAGATATTTAAATGTTTCATAAAAATCCGCTATACTAACATGAAATGTCATCTTGAAAATTACTTTGCTCAAATGCAATAAAAATTATTTCGAAGATGGCAAAAATAACACAAGAAAATTTATACAAAAATATTCACATTGTGATTGAAAGCATCCATTGTATGATTAGTTTTAGCATTTAATCAATTGAATGAATCAATACTGTCTATACTGAATTTCTTATCTTCATAAAAAGGCAACTGCAACTGTCGTAAGCGTCGTATGCTAAAAATAAATGAAATCGTGACAAATTGAAGAACCTGCCCCCGCAGCACTCTCACATTCTGGTTCCGACTCATTGTGTGGCTGTCGTCTATCAGTGTGCAACTGTGAATGGGCAAACAACGCCATCCATCTAATTATAAACTAAACCCCTGTACGAAGGCAATTAACAGCACCAACATCTTTCAATGGCAGTCGCCCAGTGACTCACATCACATCACCTCATATAGATATACATATACATATACATGTACTTGTTTGTAACCTCTAATGACCTACATTAGAGTTGCAAGTGGGTATTTGAGACGTAAGCAAGCATTCCAGAGCCAGAGCCAAAGATAGCAAAGTGCAAGGTACATAGACGTAATAAATGTAAGTATGTCATATATATCGCATATATAGCTCAATTATAGCGCTCCCAATACGAAAAGTTAGACGATTATTAGCAGCACAGCGTTCGCATTATTCTTTTATAGAGTCCACAACTCAGAAACGGGCGATAAGATTATGGAGTGAGTGCTATACATATATAGATGCATATATATATATACAGAGTGGAGTCGGAAATTCTACTAAATTTGACATGACATACGAGTTGGGGACAATTAATAAGTTGATGTTGTTCAGTTGCTCGATTATGATGTCACTGGGGGTCCGGCGAGTCAATGAACGTCTTCCGACACCTTAAACAGCCACAACAACAATGCTCAAGTTGCGCTTGATTTGGTCGAGTCAACATATAAGGCATAAAGCGTGTCGTCGAGTTGTCTTGGCTTGTAAAACGGAAAGCACTGCCAAAATACAACACAAAAATAGAAGGTAATAAAAAAAAAATTAGAAAACTTGACTGGCTTAGTCACAAAATTTGTCGAGTAATCGTCCAAAAGTTAACGGGCAAAACACACATAAATACATCGTCAAAAATCTAGTCACTCTGAGTGAAAAATTGGAGCAGCACAACCAGAGCAAAAGTCATCCAGTCCTGTGTCCATTTCACTAACCCAAGCTACGCCAAGCGACAAATAAATCGAACAGCTTCGCCAAACAATACACAATAGCAATAACAACAAACCAAAAACAACAAAAAATGAATGAAAAAAACCATAAAATACACAATACAAAAAAAATCGTTTTGATTGCTTTCTTGACTGGCGCTTGTCAACCGATTGCCGCAAAAAACAACAGGAACACTGCTTAAAACGCAATTGGAAACGTATGTAAAATGTGTAGGAGATGATTATCTTTCATCGGCAATTAAGTAAACGAGAAAACCAACGATATTGGTATGTAATAAAGATAATAAATGCAGACCAATCTAAGCGAGAACTTTGAAACATTTTTATTAATGAAAACCTTTTAAAAATCGTAGTCTGCGGACAAATAAATAAAACAATTACGCTTTTGACACAACTTTAATAATCCTAAATTATTTTTAAATATGTTTAACGGAAGTACTATTAGATTCTGATAAGGAAATGCTAGACTTTTCAACCTAAAAGGTGTCAATTAAGTCGGAAGTGGGGAGATCTCTTTGCGATACTCGACATTTAAGCATAGTTAATCGCAGTTGAGATTAAATACATTTTTATAACGACTCATAGACATACCAAGGTTGTGAGCTACGGATATGCCAAGTAAATATATTTGGTATATAAACTGATTATGCTATCAAACCACTGTGCATTGTGGTTGCCTGCCAGTAAGTAAAAGGCACACAAACACGACAACAACTGCGACGTTGTATAAATATAATATTATTGACATTGTTATTGTTATTGTTGTTGTATTTTTTCTTTTCTTTTTTTGCTTTGTTTGTTATTCTCGCAGTTGGCCGTCGGATCTCCGCTCTCATCATAATCAAAGCGAATTCCTCAGTTTGGATAAGTGCTTGGTTGTTATCACAAAGTACTAATTGACCAGCTGCTCCTCATAATCTAAGTCGCTGCGAATATTTCATAATTAACTAGCCATGACAAAAAACACACGAGTGAAGCAATAGATTTGCTCAACATTAAATTCAGACAGAGATTAATGTGATGTGTTTTTTTTTTTTGGGTGTTCTCGGGGGTTTTGTGTGTTGGGGTTGGGAGAGGGGCTGGAGGGGGTTTCTCTTACCTCGTAGCTCTTTTTTAGTGAGGTGTATTCCTGAAGTGTGCGCGACACATTACGCTTAAGCGTTGAGATCTCTTGTATTTCTTTATCTAAGATGTTTTTTAAGCGCCGCACAACTTTGGTCTCCGTTTCCAGTTCGCTCTCGATGCTGCACTCGGCGATTGTCTTCTCCAGTTCGCCTGCAAATTGCGAAACAGTTTTTTAAATACATAAATAACAAAGCATTTAGTTGATGATGCAAAGTGTGCAAGTGTGTGTGCGAGTGTGTCTGTGTGTATTCCCGAGTTTCTAAAGTGAGGAAGTCAATGCTTATTTAAGACCTTATCACAAGCGAGCGGAGACTGTAGCCACCGTTGTTGTGCCGGTTCAAAGCTGTGGGCTGCCGATTGCCAGGGGGTGCAACGCGCGGCGCGGGGGCGTCACAATCCTCCTTTTACTGACAACGCTGAGTAAGCAAAATTGTGATAATTGTGTTGAGTGCAACGCTGCCAGCAAGTTGCAGCAAAAGCAGCCCGAGCAGCAGCAGCAGCAGCAGCTGAGCCTATAATAAAATGGGTACCCCAGCGCAGCCAAGGGGAGGCGGAGGGGAGAGAAGAAGGCGACAACGCCGCTAGAGTGTAAAATTGAAGATATGCTCGTTGTTTTTTGTTCATTGTGGCAAGAGATGAAGGCGAGACGATAGGGAGTCGTTGAATTGAAGCGCAACGTGGCTAAGAAATAAGTTGCAAAGGGCAAACTAGCAGACACATAGTGGTGCAAAGTTGTACGGAAAATAAATGAAACTAAAAAAATGGGAAATGATTCAATAAGTTCACGGCATTTTTAAGCTATTTACAATTTTATTACATTAATATGTAAGCAGCAAAAAGTACTCTGCGGTTCTAAGCTGAAATTCGAGTTAGCGAACACTTGAAATGTTTTGAAAAGCTTGTTAAATACAAATGCCCAAAACGAAAGTAAACTGAATAGATGTTAAGTAGTTGAGTAACTAAGTTATGTAAATAATAATATTTATTTGTATTCAGAGAGGTGCTGCTAAGCTTTGTGTACGTGCATTTCGTATGAATTAACATAAAGAGCTGATAGCTTAAAACATATATACAATACACGTACACAAATAAACAGCCGCAGATAGCATAATGCATGAATAGTTCACCTACTTTTTGGGTTAATACGAAACAAAGACATAAGTTTTACGTTATGTCGTAAGCAAATAAAACTTGAACCAAGGTAAAGCTATAGCTGCAAATGCTATTCCAGTGCTCTGCCTCTGCTGCAGCTGATGCTGTCGACGCTGGCAGCGCAGCAACTAAATTGCAATTGGTACACGCATCTGATGTGTAGTTGTATGTGTGTGCGCGTGTGTGTGTGCGCGCGTGTGTGTGTGCGCGCGTGTGGTTGCATGTGTGTGTGTGTGTGTGTGCTAAAAGTGTAAGTGGAGCCAATAATGAGTAATACAAAAAAGAGTGGGGAGAGCAAAAAAAAATAAGTAACTAAAGAAATAAAATAAGGTGTGGGGGTTGCGTTAAATATATCCATAAATATGTAGGAGTTTAAATGAATAATGTGTGAATGAGTTTTTCAATTTTGGCGCAACTTTTACTTTTTTTTTTCATAATTATTGCAGTTCACTTTTACTTGGGTTTTTTTCTTAACGAACTGTAAACGAAATGCACAATGGGTTTGAAGCGGAGGAGCATTATGAAGCGCAACATTAACGAGCCGGTGCTGTTGGAGCGGTGGGGGGGTTTGTATAATAAATACACATAAACACAATAATGATCAAAACAAAAAAAAGAACTGTAAAAATAGATAGACAAATAAAAATAAGAGCGGCAAACCGCAACAGCAACAACAACAGCGAATGACTGTTGAAAAGAAAGCGACGTTAAAAAGAAATATACATCATAAAAATTATTATAATGATTAAAAAACGCCAAAACAACAACAGCAACAAATCGACGTCGATGTTGAGAAATGTAAATGCCACAAGGCCAAGCGCACAGACAGACAGACAAGGCGAGGCCGCACACACACACACATACATATATATATATATATATATATGAATACACATACAGACACACATAAAGCGCACGCAAGCCGGTGACACATAGCATATGCAAAAGTATTTATGCCCCTATTCACAGACACAACCACACACACACACACAATCACATAACTGTGCACACCTTGCGCTTTTCATGCGGTTTCGTATTTTATTTTGTTGTTTTCCTACACTTTTCAGAAAGTGAATAAAAAAACTCAGCACAGTGGTCACTCTTTTAATGAATCTGTACTTATTTTATGGACCTTTTATTTATTTTTTGCAAATCATTTGCACACTTTTAGCACAACACATTCGATGATAAATCCATTGACTATAGTGGAAATAAAATTTTTTTTTATATATTTCAGTTTTTTTATGCTGGCACCCTTATCACACACAGTCTGCGAGACGCCTATCAACGCACACTTTCGCACACTACTTTCACATTCAGCCCACATGGGCTGTAAGCAAAAAAAAAAACTTACCGCAATTGGCAAGAACCTTTTGAAGCGGCATATCCCTAGGCAGCTCCTTGGCGGATTCATCGAGCGCCTGGGCGATCTTGAAATGGCTGTTCTTTTTGATGCGCTTGTCGTGTTCCTCGGTGGTGATGATGCCATTGTTGCTGCTTCCGCTGCTGCTCAACGCTGGCAATTTGCGGACAATTTTCTCGATGGTATCACGATATCGGTCCACCTGTTTCTCAATCGTCTCGAGCTCAGAATCTTTGCAATCCGATTTCGTTGATCTGTCACGAAGACGAAGCAAAAAAATATCAGCAAAAATATGCATGTATATCAGTGTTATATTTATATATGTATGTAAATGCCATTACACAAATGCCGTTAGGTCATCAGCGTAGCACAGCGCAGCTGACGAAGCGACGACGTAAGAAAACACGTATAAAAACGTAAACGCTGCGCTTTAATTTGACATTGATTTGTTGATGTTGTTGCCGCTGATGTTGTTGTTTTCGTTGTGATGAGGCAACACCTGCTTACTGCTCACTGCTCGCGCTTTTGTCATTGTCTGGAGTTTAGCTATTTGACGTAGTCGCGTCTTTATTTCTGCTGCCTGCCTGCCTCTTTGCCTGGCCTTTGAACTTACCTCAAGTTTTCTGCAGCAATTCTTATTTTTGCAATTTGTTTCTTCATTTTGTTGCAGCTTTACAAACACGCAGGCACACGCACACACTTCCGTTCGCCGATTTACGTTTTAAAAATGCACTTTGTTGTGGTTTTTTTGGTTGTGAGAAATTAGCTCGGCATTAAAAATATTTCTAAACACTGGCAAAAATTAGTCATTCTCGAACGACGAATTACGGAAAAATGATGTAAAACAGAGGTACAATGATATCGATCAAATATCGATAGTTGGCATTCGGCATGCACGACAAATGCATTTATCGATTATTGCAGCAAAAATCAGATTTGTCTTTAGTTGGCCGATAACCTATCGCATAACAGCGCAATGCGGGAAAAGTACCATTATAATTGAGTATACGATTATATATATCGTTTATAAAACTATTGAGAATTGTAGCTCACGATAGCTTATCATCTCTAATGAGCATTAGCTGCACGTGTGCGAGCTAAACATATTTTCTTTATAAAACATTGTTTTATTAACACAAAACCACCAAAATGAAACATAATGTCGCTACCAAAAGCGTCAACCGTAAAGATGGGGTGCAATCAAAGTCCAAGAAGAAGGAGAGCCCCTTTGAACAGATGGAAAGCTTCCGGCAACAAGTGCTCCATCTGCTCACAATACACAAGGTGCCATATTCCGCGAAAGAGGGTAAACAGAAAACTAATCAATGCTATTACTCGATAACTTTAAATATTCTCATTGTAGACGAAGACACCTACGAGGATTACTTGCTATCCGATGATGAAAATGCGACCAAAACAAAAGGCAAAAAACTGAAAAAACCAAGCAAACCAGCAAATGCAGCTGGCGACGAAGACGACGTCGACGAGCGAATTGCGTCCATAAAGAACAAGCTGCGCCAAAAGAAAAAACCAACAACGGAACGTCAACAGAAGCGAAGGGAGGCCAAGAAACTGAAGCACAGCAAAGGGGTGCAAAAGTTACTGCAATCCTCGGCGAAAACGTTGAAAAACGAGAATATTAAGCAACAGAAACTTAGGAATGGTCTCGTCAAAACAGAGCAAAATGCAAATGGAGAGCAAACTGACAGCAAATCGCTTATTCAACCGGTCAAAATGCAACCCGTCTTCAATGAGGAATCGAAAATTGTCTATTCCAAAATCGATTTTGCCGCCAATCCCGGCTCCAAAGCCAAGAAATCCCATCAGAACCCAAAGGAAATACTTAAAAAGCTGAAAGACACTCGTCAACATATAAACGAACTAAAGGAACAAGGCGAAGCGGGCAAAGCAGCCGAATTACAAAATGATATTGCCTGGAAAAAGGCGTTCGACAAGGTTGAGGGGAAAAAGGTAAAGGATGACACCAAACTGCTGCAGAAGGCGATCAAAAAGAAGAAGGTGGAGAAACGCGCTGCGAAAAAGAAGTGGGCGGACCGCAAGGAGAAGGTGGAATACGATAAGACGAAGCGTCAAAAGAAACGACAGGATAATCTTGATAAGCGCAGCAAGGATAAGAAGAAAACCAAATTGAAGAAGGCAAGCAAAAAGGGCCGAATTATAGCTGGCTACTAGGTGTCTGTTTGGCAAATTCACTTGTTTAACTACTCAAATAAAAAAATTGACACAACGAAGTGAAAACTGTTGTTTAAATTCACTTTTATTGAAAATTTCCCATTTTCTGGCCGTGATACAGTCAAAATTCTTTGTGTATATCTAAAATTCATTTGGTTGTTTTATGTGTTTAGTTTGTGTACCACGGTGCTTAGCACGGGCAAGAAGAAGAGCCACGCATAACAGCTGTTAATATCATCATCACGAAACAGCTGATCCGTGAGGATTGTCGCATTTCTGTATTTTGTCAATTACCATAAGAATAAGGAGTGCAACAATTGCAACCACAACCCGGACACTTTAATTGATTTGGTCTCTTCAAATTATTACAGACTTTGCAGCCATTCAATAAAAGCCGTCTGATGGGTCTACAGCAAATACAGCTACAAAAACAGAACTGCCAGTGAATAGCAAACAGAGCAAGAAGAAGCAGGAAACTGGCCAGCGCGCACGAAACATCGTGTGAGAAGAAATCTGAAAACACACCGACATAAAACACACACACACACACACGGAGAGGGACAAACAAGTGAAGAGATATAGCAAAGCGCCGAGCGCATTCTATTTTATTCACATTTTCCACACAAAAAAGGCCGCAGCATAGCAGCAGCAGTAGCGACAGCAACAGAAAAAGGCACAATTGCGTCGTATAACAAAAACAAGCACACACGAGATTTCTGAAAATTCAGTTTCAAGTGAAAATCAAACAATTGTGCGAAAATCTAAAATCGAATGACCAGCAGTATTTGCCTGTCAAAATAGTCGAGAACAAGCTGTCAGCAGCAACACCAACAACAACAGCATTATTACCAGCCCTCCCTCCCTCCGCACAGCATAGAAGAAGAAGAAATACGAGAGTGTGTGCGTGAGTGTGTGTGCGTGAGTGTGTGTGCGTGTGAGCGGAGTCGCCAGCTGAGATTCCCGTAATAGCAGCAGTGCATCATAATGAGCATGGTACGACGCATCTTTCTACTGGCTCCAAAATACAAAATTTGGACAAAGGGTAAGCGGAAATAACAATAACAAGTAACATAACAAGTAACATAACAAGTAACATAGCAAGAAGTTGCAATTCACACACATGCAAGCATGCGAAAAGCCTCAAACTGTATGCTTGTTGTGCAAAATTGTATACGTAACTGCGTCATTTGCAGAGAGTGATCGCGTCACGTAGCACGATCAGACCGATCAACAGCAGCCGTAAGCAAAAGCAATAACAACAAGAGCAGAGAGTCTAATTAGTATATTGTCCAGTTCGCTTATCAGAATTTCTCTGACTGCACATAAACTTTATTTATACACTGCCTCGCTGCCCCTATCTCTCTCTCTCTCTCTCTCTCTCTCTCTCTCTCTCTCTCTCTCTCTCTCTCTCTCTCTCTCTCTCTCTCTCTCTCTCTCTCTCTCTCTCTCTCTCTCTCTCTCTCTCTCTCTATCTCTCACGTGAAGGTTAATGCATCGACAACATTTGAATTCGTAATATGATTTAAATTCATGTCAAACAGCTTGTGGCGAAGGTCAACGTTGTACCGCTTAGTCGCCTACTCGTTACGTTATACCAATCAGACAACGTAACATATATCGTATTAGCCGTGATTGTTTGTTGTTGCCATTTTGATGGCTTGCTTACAGCGCGGCGAGCGCGTTTTTGAACTGAACTTGAATTGTCTCAAATTGTGGTCGAGGCTTAGTTATTGCGGTTGCCGCTTTGACGCAATGATCAGCCGGTCGAATAAATTTTTTTTCTTGTGTACAAATAGCAAAAACATATTTTTTCTTGCTGGTAATAAAAACTGGCTAGTAATAACATCTTTTTAAAAGCCCATAAGGAAAAACGTTTACGTAACTTTTATGAGGAAGTGTTTCTTTTTTATTATTCATATGTACGAAGGGAAATTAGATAAGCGCTATTTTAACTGAACTTGATTAGGTTTCATATTTTCGCTTTCCCAAGAGATCAGTTAATATAATACAATAATAGTATCAGTTTGTTAAGGTCTAATTGAATTCAGTCAACTTTTATTGCTTGACAACTTGCTAATTGGCATCCGATTTCATCAAACAACTGCAAAAACAATAAAGGGGAAAAAAAGTATAAGAACATTAAAAATGATTTCTAGAAGCCAAAACTGTAAACAATTGAATACTTATTTTTCCACTGATTATTCCTATGGTAACTGTATATATTTATTACTTTCTTCCTTCTCCGCAAGATTATAGGACAAATTTACAAGTTCTCCACCAAATCTTTTATAGATAATCTTCGAGTTTGTATATTATTTCATATATATATATAACGTATATGTGTATATATATAATGTATAATTCCCAATGCCATATTAAAAAGTTCAAAGAACTGTAGAAAAACAAATCAGTTAACAACACTTAAAACAGAGTTTAATTAGTATGTATTAATTACACTTTCCATTTTGTAGGCAACCAGGTGCAGCACACACCAAGATGCATATTACTGAGCACAGGCGGAACAGAAGGGAGCAGCCGAGCGATTCTCACCAGACAGTTCCATGTAGCCACACAATACTGTACCGCCAATGGGCATCTTGTGCTGGAGCCTCTGGTGGTCATACCCACCTACATTGACATAACCAATGGTGTCACTAGCATGTCCGATGGGAGCAACAGCAGCAGCAGTGGCACTGGTGCGGGCAACGGTGCAGTTGGCAGTGGTGGTGGTGGTGCGAAGACACCCAATTCCAGTGCTGGTGGCAGTGGTGCAAACACAACCGGCGGCAGTGGTCCTGGTGATAAATTTCTATCGTGTCCGAAATGCGGCAGTGCCTGCACCCAAGTGGAGACGTTCGTTAGCTCCACGCGATTTGTGAAGTGCGCCAAGTGCAACTATTTCTTTGTGGTGCTCTCCGACGTCGAGACGAAGCAGCGCATCAAGGAGGAGCCAAAGAATCAACGCAAACCGCCGCCGCCGCCGCAAAAGATCATGGAGTATCTGGACAAGCATGTGGTGGGTCAGGAGTTCGCCAAGAAAGTGCTCGCCGTTGCCGTCTACAATCATTACAAGCGCATCCATCACAATCTGCCACAACTGCAGCAGTCGTCCGGCCAGGGCTCTGGATCGGGCGGATTGGAAGGCATACCGCGCACAGATCTCCTCCATATCACCGGCATTGGTCACACACTGAATAGCACGCCGGGCAGCGAGTTGCCGCCGAAGCCAGCGCAAATGGGCATGGGTGGCGGACTGACGGGTTCCGGTCTTAGCAGCGGTCTACATACAGCCGGCAGCAGCATTGGCATGGGCTCGACCTCACGCGGTGATCACCGTCCCGGCTCCGAGATTCTCGACAACCAGAGCACCGACGTCAAATTGGAGAAGAGCAACATCATCATGCTGGGACCGACGGGCTCCGGCAAGACACTGATAGCCCAGACAATAGCACGCTGTCTGGATGTACCGTTTGCCATCTGTGATTGCACGACACTAACCCAGGCCGGCTACGTCGGCGAGGACATCGAGAGCGTCATCTCCAAGCTACTCCAGGATGCCAACTACAAGTGAGTCGCGTCCTAATCCATATACACATCTGGACAGCAAAAATAGGTGTGCAGACAATAACTTGGCTACAAGCTTGGTTACTGCTTTTTTAGTTAATTTAATACACAATTCTTTACATGAGAGAATGTTGTGTCATTTTTTCGCTTTTGGTGACTCAAAAGCACCATACCATTATCGGTTGCGGATGAAGTTTTGAAGATTCCTAAGCGCCCTTTAATATTTATATTTTTCTGAAATTGGCAAAGAAATTCTGAGGCTTTCCAATTGATAATTTTTCTTTGAGATTAAATTCTATCTTTTTGACCTATTTAGTATAATATAATAATTTGATAGCTCAGTTAAGCCCTTATAATAATGAATACATTCAAATCATCCTTCATGTGCCAAACAGTTTCAATTTATTAAGAAACAACGTCGACATATGATTTACATATTTGCATTGATTCGTTTTGAAAAATCACAAGTTAATGTCTTTGCACCTATTTTACTATCCCATTATTATTTACTATATTTTAAATTGAGCTCAAATGAGCTTTACACACACCTTCCAATTTTGAGGTCAAAATTTTGATCACCTGTTGTTTTACTCTATTGAAATTGCTGCGTGAAATCATAAAATTCAAAATATACTCCAGAGGCAAAGCGTTACAAACCAATATATATATATCGTATATATAAATATAGAACCATTATTTATAAACACACTTTTTCTCTCTTGTTTTTTTTCCGCTGCAGTGTGGAACGCGCTCAAACTGGCATAGTCTTTCTGGATGAGGTGGACAAAATTGGCGCTGTGCCCGGCATACATCAGTTGCGTGACGTGGGCGGCGAGGGTGTTCAACAGGGCATGCTGAAGATGCTCGAGGGCACCGTTGTCAACGTGCCCGAACGCAATTCACCACGCAAGCTGCGCGGCGAAACTGTCCAGGTGGATACCACCAACATACTGTTTGTTGCCTCTGGCGCCTATACGGGTCTCGATCGCCTTATTGGCCGGCGCCTCAACGAAAAGGTGACTATGCTAAATAGCCCATGTATAAAAACATATCTGAATTGCATCCCCTTTTTTTTATTATAGTATTTGGGCTTTGGCATGCCTTCGACAAGCGGTTCGGGTCGTAGAGCCGCCCAATCGGCTGCAGCTCCAATGGAGAACGATCAGGAGGAGCGTGATAAATGCCTGACCAAGGTACAGGCGCGTGATCTCGTTGAATTTGGCATGATACCGGTCAGTATATATATATATATTTATTATATATTCTTACTAGTTGATAAATAACTTTGTTGTTGGTGTTTCGAATGCAGGAGTTCGTTGGTCGCTTTCCGGTGATTGTGCCGTTCCACAGTTTGAATGTCAGCATGCTGGTGCGCATTCTAACCGAGCCGCGCAATGCGCTAGTGCCACAATACAAGGCTCTATTGGGCCTGGACGAGGTGGAGTTGTCATTCACCGAGGATGCAGTTGAATCAATTGCAGCATTAGCCATGGAAAGGCATACAGGTGCACGCGGTCTACGCTCCATAATGGTAAATTAAGGATCCATAAATTGTTGAGCTCTTTAATTAATATTCAATGCTTGCAGGAGCAATTGCTGCTGGATCCCATGTTCATAGTGCCGGGCTCGGACATCAGAAGCGTGCACATTACCGGAGACTATGTGCGCGGCACTGATCAGCCCGTTTACAGTCGCAGAACCGACGATGAGGAGAGCATCGATGCCACAGCTGAGTCCACAGACAACACGGAGCGAACCAACGATAATGATAAGAACTTTGAGGATAGTGAAAAAGTACGGCTCAAACAGTAAACCAAACACACTAAACAAATAACAAGCTAAGGCGCCGCCAACACAAAAAGCAATCGCAAACACAGCAGTTGCAACAATAGTTAATCGCAGGAAACAGTAGCAACAACAACAACAACACTGCATCGCTTTTCCATTTGGTCTTTCCAACTTCACCAAAAATGTCGCCAGTGCTTTTCATTTACTTTTAGAGTTTTAAATTTTTGTCTTATATACATTTGTTTGCTTACAATGCTTTAACTACTGACTTCAAAGCAAACTCTATTTAAACTTAGTTCCCATATCTACTATATGCATATACGTTAATGTGTTATATTATTTTTAGTCACGTTTTAATGATACTTTGAGTGGCACATAGCCCCACCTGCAAAACCACGGCCTCCTTTTTATTTTGAATGGCTCTTGCTCAATTTATTTACATATAATCGCAAATATCCCCCTCAATATGCACCTGTGATTCAGAAACTGGCAAGCAGCGTAGAAGATTTTTACCAATCGTTTGCATAATGAATGGATATTGTAAGAAAAATAAAAACATTATCACACAATAAAACAACAGATAGAATTGTAAAGCAACAAAAATATTAATTAAAAAAAGAAAAATTATAAAAAAATAATTAAGCTCGACTAATTGGAGAAAAAATAACAACACCAACAAGAACCTTAATTTTTGCCAGTTGGCGCTGCGTTAGTTTTCCTTCCTTTCTGCATACCCACACTACGATATATCTATTTCAATTATACCTGTAAAAATATATATATTTAAAACTAGGCAATAACAACTTGCATAGTTGAAGTGAGTTACAAATTTTTGAATAGCCTAATTAATGAAGAGAAGCAAAAATAATATTTTTAGCTAATTTAAGTTGTACAACAAAACGAAAAAAAATGCATAAGTAATTTAATAATAAAAAATAAATAAAAACAATCAAAAATATTTCTTTTAATAAAATAAAAATAACAATATTTTGAGAGACAAAACTAATAGACTTATTTTAAGTACATCAAGAAAGAGTTTTTAAGGTTGCTTGGAAGAAGTAATATCATGTAAGTGCTCCACAAAAATTAAAAAAAAATAGAACAAATAGAAAAGATTTTAAAAAATACATGGAAAATATGCGAATTATGATGCTTCAATTCCGGTCCATGTTGATGTAGTCAGGTACAAAGGCAAAGCAGCCAGGAAATTATATCAATTATACTTAAGAGATCACCCACATTCGAGCCATAGAAAACAGCATTGAACCAATTTATGATTATTTTTATTTAATTATCATATTCAACTAAACAAAATTTGCACAAATTAAATTGACTAAAATAAACTACTCAAAAAATTGACTCATGCAACTTTCATATTCGAAACTCTTTCGTGCGTTATTCGCTATTTAGTTTTGCGTTTAATTTGATTTATTTGTATTTTGTTTGGTTTTATTTTAATTAATGAATTAAACTGAATAACGAAATTGTCGCATTAATAAATAGTTTTTAAATTTATTGCACATCAGCACTTAAATATTTTCTTTTGTTTATTTTTTTTGGGTTTTTTGTAATAGTTTTTTTGTTTCACGTAGTGTAAAATTTGTATAAAAATTTGTAAGTAAATAAATATCTTTGTTGCGTGTGTGTGTGTTTGTTGGTTGTGTATTTTTGTTTGTTTGTGTGAGTGTTTGTGTATATATAAATAAGTAGTTAAATCCCGAATTTGGTAACGAGTTTTAATCATTCTCCTCAGATATAAGCAGCTCGTATTCCTGTGCCGCAAAGCGATCCCAATCGGTGTTCTGCAAAATGATATTAGTATGATTATGTGAAGTGAATTTAATTGAAGAAGTAGTTTTGAATATGGACATAAGTAGGACAGATTACTTACAGACTCATCCCGCTGTGCGGCAAATGGATCGCGCTGCTCGTGATCCAGATATTTCTCCAGATTGAAGAAGGTATCGAAGAAGACGTGCGTCATTTTGCAGCGCTTCAAGTCACCCAATGTAATGGAATCACGGTTCGCAGGCTTAATCATGTCTAGCATCTGTAAGGGTGTGAAAGATATATGTTGAATTTCGACAGTTGAACTAACTAGGATTCACTGGGATTGCACACCTGACACAGACAGTCCTCGAAGGGCAGACACTCAATGCCAATGCCCTCCATGCGCTGCTGCTGCTCCTCATAGAAGTATTCCAGCTCGTACATGGACAGAGCACCATCACCATCGATGTCCATGCAACGGAACCAGTACTCGATCGCTGTCGGCGTGCGTTTATCCTCCTCGGACAGTATGAACCATACAAAATCTGTATAGGACATTTTTGGCTCATCTTCAGATGATTTTTTGTTGTCGCTGCGCGTCACACAGCCGGAGAAGATGCGTTCAACGATGCGGGTGGAGAGGGCATTGTCGCTGTGCTTGGCCAGATCATCCTGGTTGATGAGCAGATCGTGATCTTTGTCCAATTCCCAGAACTTACAGTAGATCACATAGAAGTGCTCGTAGCTAAAGAAGGCCATTATCTGATTGATATCCTCCTCCTCCTCCAGCAGGCTAATCATCTGCACAACAAACGCTACAGTTGTGGCCATAACCTATCCATTTTGGATATATGTATATATATATAACAGTTGACTCACCTCCAGCAGATCGGAACGCTTTAGCTCCGATATGGTTATTTTGCCGCTCCAACTGCGATTCACCGAATAGAAGATGCGCGCGATGACTGTGTGCACGTATCTGGAATGGAACTCGGTGGCTTCTTTGAGAAACGCCAGACCCGGATGCGTATCGACCACGTCCTGCACCATCGGCACCAAATCCTCCGGCACAATATAGGAACGAAAGCGCTGTCCGCGCGACATTATATAAACGAATCGCGAGGCCGCCTCATGGCAATAAACATTCATCCTGGAAAAACGGAAAGCGTATAACTTTAATGACCCTCGAGGATGGAGTGCTGGGCTCAGCTTACTGCTTCCAGAACTCGACGAAACGCTGTCGCTCGACCAGACCGTTGCTGGTCGCCTGGCAGAAGGTCATGACCGGCATGCGCCAGTAGAAGGGCAGGCCGCACAGTTTCAGGATGCGCGGCAGCTCATCCTTCGTCACCTGGTTGTTGGGAAAGCTATCGAAGGCGGACAATATGCCGCGTATAACACGCTCCATGGCGATCGTTGGCTGTGGCTTGCCATGTGGAAAGTAGAATCTGACCAAATCAAAATGATATACATGTATATGCGAACTGGATTCGATTGGAGCACAGCATTTGCTCACCTGGGTATATAGACGCTCTTTGTGCTGCGTATCTCCTTTTGCAATAGGTCCTGTGTCTGTGGCGCCGGCGGTGTTGCATGCAGCTTCACCTTAAACGTGTACCAGATATAGTTACCATATATTATAGTTGCTTAACATAAGTTTCATGGACACCACACAGTTAATTTATTTGACTTTTTGAGGCAGTACATAAAATTTCCAAATTCTTGCAAACATTTTTTATTTTGTTTATATTTGCTCGCATTTTTCGCAGATGGGGAAACAAACCAAAAAAAAAAAAAGAAATTTTCAACTGCCACGCCCCAAGATTTGGCCCTTTTAATTTAGTATGAAATATGTTAGTGTATTTAAATAAACAAATTATTTTTGTTTTTGTTTTTGGCTAAAAATTATATTAATATATGTATGTGTTTTATGTTCGTGTCGGTGTCGAGCATAACTCAGCAAATACTTAAATACTTCGTGGAAATTACACTAAGCTCAGAGAAAATCAGAAAAGTAATGAGCAAGAAATAAATTCAAACACACACCCAATTTTGTGGTTGTTTTTATTTTTGTTGTTGTTGTTGTTGTGGTTGTGCTAAATACAGCAGCAAATAGAAGCTAAATTTACAATATCTTAATTGGCGCCAATGAAAATAATCTATTGAAAGAAATCTATAGAATTGAGATACGCTGTGCTTAGTCGATTTTTCTCTCTGTGTGCTTTGCTGGTGTGCGTGTCTGCCTTTGGGGCTCTTAAAAAGTGCTTAATTTAATTAAATGAGGCGGGATTGGAACAGTCAAGTTTAAAGGTTCGCTGCGAATAATTATAAATCAATTATCTTATTCTCAAGCAGTTCAAATGTGTTATTGCATTTAAATTTTGTAAATGACGATGTATAATTATTTTGTTTAAGATTATTATATGCTTATTTATTAAAAATTTGTGGGTATTTTATTTAAATTATAAAAAATAGTTTTATAATTCGATTGTCAAAAGTTCTGCTTCAAAATATTGTTTGATGTTATTCCCAAATTATGAACAGAAAGTATTTAGCTAATAAAATGTTGACTGGGGATCGTATCTTAATAAATGTAGATTCATTTTAATTTTCAATAATAATATATTGTAAATATATTATGCATACGTATTTTTCTAATTCCCAACAATTTTTCATTTTCCATATTCAGACTGATGCCGAAAATTGAGATATTTCTCGTGAGAGTTTTTGTATTTCCAAAAACTAAGCTGTGTATTGAGTAGTATCATTAAACAAAAGATCGATAATAGTAATTTATCAAAAATGAGTTGTTGTGGTATAAATAGTCATGGTTTACCTATCGAACGGCCCACGTGTTAAATGTTCAATTAGATTGCGTTGCCCCCACACGAAATCAACTTATTCCTTATACTAAAACAATCGCCTTTGTTGTGTGCCTTTGTATGCGTCTTGTACCAATGCCACCCCATATAAGCAGCATCATTTGCTTTTAGCCATCATTTTTTTACGTTCTATTCCGCATGGAAAGCTCCAAGTGGACTGGCAGAAACCACGCACTGGTCATTCATGATTTTAAAACTGTCAACGGCAGCATTAACATTAATCTTAACTCTACACGCAACAGTGAAAAGAAAAGAAAAGAAAACAACACACATACACACAAATAGACAAGCTGGCAGCTACTGACGCTATATTACGTATACGCACGGATACGCTCGATTGCTAGGCAAAATATTACGCATACGCATAGTTGTTAAACAAATAAGTCGAATAAATATCGAGGAGCAAGCCTTCAATTGCGTCTGCAAAGAGCAAATAGCACAAAATAATTGCCGACAGAGTTGTGAATTATTTATAGCAATTATTTACTTAGCATCAGCAGCAACAACAATAACAACAAAAACAAAAATGAAACGTGGCAAAGGGTGGGGAGTGAGTAAATTAAATATTATGAAGTCAGACACCATACCTCATTCATTCATATGCTCATATCCCGCACACTCGGCACACATCGTAATTAAATAATTAAACAATAAAATATATAAATACAAATATCTTCAACAAAAAATTCCCCAAAAAAGCAATGAAAGAGAGCTCGACTTGGATATACCCTGAGCATAGTTATTACAAATATTGAATCGATTCATTTGAAATTATACTCAATTGGAAGTCTATGTATTTAAAATTATTATCTTTTACTACAATCGGAAATCGATTTCGATATGGGCTGCTATCGATAACATGGAATAAGTTCGATATGTGTTGGGTAAACAACGAATTTACATTATTTGAAATCGACTTTTACATACAGACGGACATGCCCAGATTGAGTCTGATCAAACATATATATGCCATTTGAGGTGGCCGGTTAAATTGCATAGCTTTTTCCGAACTTCATTATACCCTTTTCGAACATTGTCAATGGGCGGAGTATAAAAAATGAACGCAATTCGTGTTGCTTAAATAATCATGCGCATGTATTGTATTTTGTATTTTGTATTTTTGCTTGTATTCAACTCGTCTCTTCGCTGTTTATATATGTAGAAACTTTTTCTAATCTCTTATTTTTTTTATTTTTTTTGCCTATGCACATTTGTGCTGATCGTAAATACTTGATTTGATTGTTTGTATACGAGAATATGCATGCTGAATAGGGGTACTCAATATTTGCTTGAACACGAACAAAAAAACTTTACACCTAACGAAACGATCTTTCTCGTAAATAAATTGATTATTCTTCTTAATTATAAATACATATTCTTTTTTTCTTTTGCTTAATTCAATAATAATATTACCGCAAATTATTCAGCTTATTTGGAATTCCTTAATAATATTTGTTAGCTTTCAAATAGCAAATTTAATAACATGATTTCGGCTCTGATTATGATGATTGAATTAATATTCTGTAGTCTAATGAAATAATTTTAGATCTAAAATTTCTTAGATAGTTTTGAATGTATCAGTGAAATATTAAATAGCTGGATACATGGATCACCTAAGCTGAACAACATAAAGAATATATTTATTATTGTGCCAACCTAGCAATATTATACTTTTAATTTCAGTTTTCTTTTAGTTGAGTTTAATATAAAAAAAAAGTTGCGAGAGTTGCAAATAAGTTACATCATTTTCGTAAAGATCGTTCAACGAAAAACGAAACGAATTATTACTCTTTACTATAACTCTATCTAAAACTGAATAAAATGTCTGAGTATACATATAAAAAACCTATAGTAAACTTAGAATATATACAGTAAGACTACAACAAAATTATTACTATCTAAATAGTGACTTCAGCTTAAGCTCTGATTAATTGAATTTAAGTATTGATTGTGTTATTTGTGTGTATCACAATAATTAAAGTGATTTGTGATATGTAATATGATAAGCATATATATAGTTTCCAAAGTATATAATTTGCTGCTACGCTTGAATATTTGTGCCTAGCTAAGCTCATGCATAAAATGCTTTTCGAAGCATATCTTTCCAAATGGGTAACCCTAATGGCTTATTGGCAATTGCAATGCTCTATGTCTATATACAAATCTGTTGTCCCGTCTCGCCTCATCTCTGTTGGCAAGCGATAGCAGCAGCAACATGTCTATGGCGTCTTGGGTTAACCTTAAATCAATCAATGATGCTAAAGCGGCCCGATAAGAGCAACACAGCAACAACGATATTTTATTTGTTTTCAATTGTCGGCGAGGGGGCGGAGGTGTCGCAGCGGATGGGGATGGGGATGGGCATAATATGTTGCTATTGTTGCTATTATTGCTGGTGTGCGGCTGTGGTGATTTTTCACTTGCTATTTGCAGTTGTTAGATAACAACTGAAATCTACACACTAAGAGCACTATCGCTGAGGTAATTTGCATAAATTTGGAAAGGGGGTTTGGGGTTGGTGCTGGGCACTGGGCACTGGGTATTTCTTCTCATACCTTGAGCAGAGTTTTGGGCGGCGCTTCCGCTGGCCGTTTGATATCGAGAAATGAGTTGCGTCCATCCGGTCGTTTCTCAAATAGCATCACGCGCTCGGCAACGGAGCCACGTGTCAGGATCGGTCTGCCCACTGCAATTGAATAAGATGAGCAATATGAATAATGCTGTAATTTGCCATTTGGCAATCTGTGATTGACTTATTACAATTCTTATCCTGGCCATTGGTGAGCGGTGCCCGGCTGCCGCTAGTCGGTTTGATTTTATTCAACGTTGGCATCGTTGTGTCCGCCAATGTTGCTGGCGACTCAGCGGCTGTTGCTGTTGCTGTTGCCGTTGCCGTTGCATTGGTCACAATGTTGCTGGCATTGTTGTTATCAGTGTTGCTGCGATTGCTGTTGCCGCTGCTGCTGCTGCTGCTGTTGATTAATTTGCGCGTGATTGTTGGCTTTTCTTTGGTTATGGTTGCTGCTGTTGCTGCTGTTGCTACTGTTGTTGTTGCCGGCTTCTGTTGTTCGCTGTTGTTCTCTTTGGTTTTGCTGACTTTGCGTGTGGCTATTGACGTCTCAGAGGCGCCTTTAGCTGTCGCATTCATTACTGCCACGCCCACATGCGGCGCATCGACAACATCGTTGCTGCTGATTGCTTTGCTCAGTTTCTTTGTGGGCTGCTGCTCTTTTGCTGCTGCTGCTGCTGCTGCTGTTCCTGTTGCTGCTAACTTGTTGCTGTTGTTGCTTAAACTGTTGCTGCTGTTGCCAGTTTTGCTGCTGCTGTTGTTGCTGCTCTGACGCTTTTTGGCAGGTGTTGTTGTTGCTGTTGCTGATTCCTTTTGCAGCAGCTCGCTGATTTTGACCAAATACTGCGTTTGCTGCTGCGACAAATTATTCACGTCCAACTGCAAATTGATGTCATAATTTAGATTCACATCGGGCAGCGTTTTGGCCGAAACAGCAGCAACCTTTTTTGGCGACTGCAGCGTCTCCACTTGACTTGTTTTGCCCGCCTTGCTTGTTGCTGTTGCTGTTGGCGTTGGTGTTGCAATTGTTGCTCCCGTTGCTGTTGCTGTTGTTGTTGCCGTTGCTGTTGCAGTTGCTGTTGCTGTTTTCTTTAGCTTTGTGCTGCCATTTGGCTGTGTTGCCGCGCCCATTTCCGACTTTTTGATGCCACTCTTGCCCCTTTGTTCTTTGTCTTTGTTCACAAAGCTGGTGACCATCTTTTGCAGGCCCTCGGCGTTGCTCAGATCGGTTGTTGTTGTTGCCGCGGCAACAGCAACATCCGCAAAATCACCGGTGGCCGCCGCATTTGTGTACATCTCGAGCAGCTGGGCGGGCGGCAGGCCGCGGCTCTTCCACGTGTGATAGATGGCATCGGCATGCTCGTTGATCTTCTTTGAAAGCTCCGCAATCTCGTCGTGCGCATCGCTGCTGATCACCGGCGCTGCTTTTGGGGACTTGGGACTCGCTGCAGCCGCTGAGGTAGCAGCAGCAGCAGCAGCAGCAGCTGTTGCCGGTTTGCGTGTCGTTGTTGTTGTTGTCGTTGTTTTGCTGCTACTCATTGCCGTTGAGCTGCCGGCGCTGTTGCTGAGCTTTTTTGTTTTTGTCGTTGTTGTTGTTGTCGTCGAAGACGCCTGCATTTTGACAAATTGTTTGAGTTAAATTAAATTTTTATCTTTTTTCTTTTTGCCTTTTGCTCTTCACTGAATTTTCCTCTTTTGATTTGTAATTCGCACAATTTGCTGTAGTTTTCACACAATATGTATTCACATTTTCAATTTGGTCAGTGTATTTGTCTATACACTTGAACAAAATGTGGCATTATTTAAACGAATTGAGACGGTTATTTCATCGAGTTAAATGTTTAGTTTGGTTTAGTCGCATTTCACACAATTCATTGGCCGCTGTGTGGCTTGTAATTCTGGTTGATTTTTACAAATTTCATGTGCGTTTCATTCACTTTTCACATTTTCACATTTTCCTCGTTTTAACTTTTCTCCGTATGGCGAAATCTATTAATAAAAACAAATACCAAAATTTCCTATTTCGTTGATTTCAGACGCCGCCGAAACACACACACACACACACACACACACACACACAGCCCGCACTCTGCGTCGACGGCGACGCACACACAAAAATATAACGTCGGCATTAGCATCGGGATCGGGGCATCATCTCAATACGTAAGGCGCACACACTGTGCACAGTGGCCGCATGGCGTTTCTAAAGTATTTTCCATTTGTTATTCTTCTAAAAATATGAAGTATTATGAAGAATTGCTAGATATCCAAATGAAATGTAGATATAAAACTGGTAAATCTTTCATTTAAATATGTTTTGGAAGGCATAATCTGCTTTGCGTGCAAAATTTTAAATGGAATTCCTTTATCTTTGGACCGGCTACAGTTAATGCTCTGGCATTTGATTGTTTACATACTTTGTAGTTATTCAAAGTGAATGTGATGCGTTAATCACTTAACAAATCGCTCAAGCTAAGCAGTAAATTTCTATTTCACACATGCGTGTGAGATATTTGGCACAAAATCACTTAACGCATATCGTAACGCAAAATGTGGCTGCCACTGAGATCAATTAGTCAATCAAATTATTTATCATATTCTGCACATGCAAATGCAGTGACACTGTGCAACCGTAAGAGAAGAGAAGAAGAAGAAGAGGAGGAGGAGAAAAAACAGCCCCTTTGCCCGTTCTGCGCGGCATTTTTGCCTTGTTTTTACGTTTAGCAGCGACTGCTGCTGCTGCTGCTGCTGCTGCTTCTTCAACTTTGTACTATTTATTCGAAAATAAATTTCGAAGTAGTTGCCGCTGCCGCTGCTGGTGTTGTTGCTTCCGTGCTGCTTGCCACACACTCTTCTATTGCACTTAACATACGTGAATAAATAGTGCATGTGTGTGTGTGTGTATGTGTGTGTGGATGCCTATAAGTCGGCGCTATCGAGTATATTTGTGATGCTTGTCTGGCTCTATTAATGATTTAATTGCATTTATGCCCCAAAGGCGTGCGCTGACGCTGACGACAGTCACGATGACGCGTTGGTTGGATTTCGTCATTAATTAATAAACCAAACGAAAGGTTAAATGAAATTTGCGAATTGACATTTCATTTGGGCCACACCACACACAATGAAAACAAGTTAACACGTTAACAACAAAAACAACGATCAAAGATCACGCCAATAAAAATACAAAAACAAAAACACACAAACCATTCCACATACATATGTATGTATATATATATATATATATACAATATGTAACAGTATTTACACAGAAAAACGCATCTGGCAAGTTGGCGGAAAAATCTTTCCGTTTTGGAATCGTTTGACCGGGCGCTAAATTTAACAAACTATTGCCGTGTTCAACACACAAAATTTTTACCGAGCGCACTGTGCACGCGGACGCGAGCGTTGCTGATTAGCTTCGTGTTGTTACTGTAAATCTTTGTCCGCTCTGCTCGCAGCTCAAAATAACATCAGCCTCAGTCACAGTCTCAGTCGCTGTCGCCGTTGGCGTCGTCGTCGTCGTTGTCGTCGTCGCAGTTGGCGAGTGCGAAGTGGAAGTGATCTCAGCTGTTGCAGCAGCTAATGACACTGAGAACACACGATTAGGGCGCTCCCACACACAGAGAGAGAGACACACACACACACACGCTCTCGCTGACTCGTTCGCTACGAATGAGAGCGCCAACATCGCAATTACTTTGGCGTTCTTTGAGCAGTAGCAGCAGCAGCCACACTCTCTCTCTCTCTCATGGCTCTCTCACTTACCCCCACACAACACGCACACTCAGACGCAGACGTAAACGCAGACGCAGACGCAGAACACTTGCCGTACCCACACACGACACAGCACAAAACGAAAAAAAAAAGAAAAAAAAAGCAAACAGCAGAAATCAAAGCAAAGGTGTTTGTTATTTATACGCTGTGCAACCGCATGGGATATATGGAAATTGTTATCTTCTTCGCTGTTGAAGCAAAATAAATACTTTAACTAAACACAAATAATGTATAATAATAATAATAATGCCAAGGCAGCTTATCGATACCATAAGCAATATAATAAACCAAAATTTGCATGCTTAATTTACAATTTGCATATAAGTTGAGTTTTGAAAGTGTTCAATATTTTCATAGGGTATGCAAAAGTCAACGATTGCAATTGGGGTGTACAATTAATTTTTTATGTGTCAGACACACGAAGAAGAATAAAACCTGAAACATTTATTTCGCTCTGCTAATGCTAAATAACTTATATCTGTCGTGCCTTTTTTTTTAACGATGTTTGTTGCAGTCAGTATTTTTTCGTTAGTTTTTTCTTTTGCGCATTTTTTGGTGATTTTGTTTATATTAATTTCGAAGGTGGGCGATCGTTTTTGTTTGTTTAAAGCAACTCGAAACGATGTTCGAGCGAATAGCGCGAATAGTCTGTCATATAAAAAGATCGTATGAGGCATCTTTGTTATTTACACGTTTGCTGTTAAATTTTACACATGCATACACAGAACAACAAACAAGCACACACACACACACACACATACACAGCGACAGGGCGACAGGTGGGTGGAAGGGTGGGTGGGCTAACCGCAAATAAGCCGCTGTAGCTACTGAGATGATGTTCACGATCGTGATCATGATGAGCTTCAGGCAGAGCAGCACAGCGCAGCGCAGCGCGGCGCCGCACAGCTCAGCTTCCGGTTTGCGTTTTGTTTGATCATTTCTATCTTTATTGCATGTTGTTTCTATTTCTGTTTCTATTTCTGTTGCTGTTTTGCGGTAATTGATTTCAACCAAAAGATCTTCACCTTTGAACATGTCGATTGTCTCATAAATTGACAGTTATTTAGTTTAGCTGCCAGATAACCAGCCAACGTTCAATAGCCATATAAGGGTTGACTACCCTGACCCCCGCCGCTTCCCTCCAGCTGAGAAGCGTCTCGGTATTCGGATTAGCTTTAGAGCTCTGACCCAATTTATGCGAATGTGTTGAGTTTTACTGTGCGCACATAAAACAAACAAAGATCATTATGCCACACAGCAGACTTGACAATACAGAAAAGGAACACCCACACCCCCTAGTAAGCCAAACACATACACACACACACACCCATACACAATATTTGTTTAGACGCTATCTGACATGAGAGACAGCGTGTAAACAATGCAACACGAGCGTCACAATCGAAGTGTGAATAGATCTTTTGATGGCACACTGTCTGAATAAGCAGCTTAAATTTAATTCAGCGGATTTGTTATTTAAATATGTGCATATTGTGGTTGTGCCAATGATTGATCTGACTCGGTGACACTAACAAAGAATCGCAAATCACAAATAAAACTTCAATTAAAATCCCAATTCACAAATGAAAATTAAGCAAGAACAAAAATGTTTTGTTGCATGCAACTTATCTAAATCTATATATAGATAAAACTTTCTGATTGGATTTCATCTCAAAATCGTACTTTTTTTAATGATTGATCATTGAACCAATTCAGATATAAAAGTTAAGTAACTTAAAATAATACAAAATACGAAACTTTTCTTTAACATATTTTAAGTGAGCTAGTTAAATAAATATGTCATTAGACAATATTATAAAAACTTATTCAAATTTAATATTTTAATTATTATTTTTACATAATTGAATTGAATTTTGAATATTGTTTACATAGTAAACATATTATATTTATATCTAATTTATTTTCCACAGTAAGGCTTAACTTTAGTATATAAATTGTATGTGTAAAATTTACAAATTAAAAATAAAAATAAATATTTGAGTTAAATTATAACTATATAATAATAAATTAAATCTTATTAAGCGCAATTTAAAGCAAGAGCTCCGCCACAGTGCGTATGCGCAATTGTATGCCAACTCATTACGCATACGCAGCGTAAAGTCAATGTGCCTTTGAACTGTTAATCTTCTGTGTGTTTATTGTGTGCTAAGTTTATTTATTGATTGCTTATGGTCTTCATATTTGCACATTGCATTGACACATTAAATCACTGACTTTCCACGCCATCTTTTGTGGCACAATGTCAGCGCATATGTTGTTGCCACGCCTGCCGGTGCAGCGTGGAAACCTGTAAAGTACAAGAACTATAACTATTGACATTGGACAGCGTTGTTCGTCAAATTGTATTTTATATTTTCTTGTGCATTTTGTTTGGTTTAACGTTTATGTTATAAGCCCTTAGCTGTTAACGCATATATATTTTTAGGCCTTTGAGTGCAGCAACTAATTCAATTTGTACTTTAAACGTTGGGAAAACTATAAAAGCGACGTCTGAGCCAGGCACAGACGCAGGTTTCCAACGACCAATCGCCGCGAATAGTCCGCTTCAGTGAAATATTCAGGGAATAACTAATTTTATGTAAAAAGTGTTGAAATTTAAAAAAATAAAAAATAAAACGTTTATTTGCTGCTTTTTATGTAAAACGCAGAAGTTAGTGAAAGCAAAAGCCGGGATATAGTGCTAATACCAATACGAGATTCGAAATGGAGAGGTAGGCTATGAGATTGATCAATTGTAGAGGATGATCCTTGTCTCATACATATATCCTTTTTGTGCAGCTTTGCAGCAGTAGCAACACAACTGGGGCCACACTTTGCCCCACTGTCCAATGGATCAGTAGTCGACAAGGTGAGACAGAGGCAGAGAGGAGCATGAGAGCACCGGAAAGGAGCTTGAGCTTGAATTGCAATTTTTGATTACAGGTCACACCCGATATGGCGCACTTAATTAGCCCATATTGGAATCAGTTCCCCGCCATGGATCCCATTTGGGCGAAAATTCTAACCGCCTACATGATCATGATTGGCAGCATTTCTTGGTGCGGAAACGGCGTGGTGATTTACATATTCGCCACTACCAAGTCGTTGAGGACACCTGCTAACCTTTTGGTCATTAATTTGGCCATATCCGACTTTGGCATCATGATCACCAATACGCCCATGATGGGCATCAATCTGTACTTTGAGACCTGGGTACTCGGCCCAATGATGTGTGACATTTATGCCGGTCTGGGCTCCGCCTTCGGCTGCAGCTCGATTTGGTCCATGTGCATGATCTCATTGGATCGCTACCAAGTCATTGTCAAGGGTATGGCCGGCCGTCCGATGACAATTCCATTGGCATTGGGCAAGATTGCCTACATATGGTTCATGTCCAGCATTTGGTGCCTGGCGCCCGTCTTCGGCTGGAGCAGGTAAGCTAATATTATGAAAATATATACAAAAACAAGACTTTGCTGACTTACTTAACTGAATCAAAACTATTAAAATGTGTCCTTAAACGGTGGAAAATTGATAAACCTTTGTAATGTTTTCAATTGCACTTTTAAAGAGCTTTGCGAAAATGTATTTAAAAAAGAGTTCAGCAATTTAAAAAATAACTTAATTCAGAATGGAAAATGGGTATCCGAAATGTAAAATTATTTATCCGATAATATATATATCCTGCTGCTTAGATATGTACCTGAGGGCAACCTGACATCGTGCGGCATTGACTACTTGGAGCGCGACTGGAATCCACGCTCATATCTGATCTTCTACTCGATCTTTGTCTACTATATTCCGCTGTTCTTGATCTGCTACTCCTACTGGTTCATCATTGCTGTAAGTTCTTCAGGCTAGCTGGTGTAGATAGCTTGAAATTGAATTTGTCACCACTCACACACAGGCCGTCTCTGCCCACGAGAAAGCCATGCGCGAGCAGGCCAAGAAGATGAATGTCAAATCTCTGCGCTCGTCCGAGGATGCCGAGAAGAGTGCTGAGGGCAAACTGGCCAAGGTCGCTCTGGTCACCATCTCGCTGTGGTTCATGGCGTGGACACCCTATCTGATCATCAACTGCATGGGCCTGTTCAAGTTCGAGGGCCTGACACCATTGAACACCATTTGGGGCGCTTGCTTCGCCAAGTCGGCTGCCTGCTACAATCCAATTGTATATGGCATCAGGTGAGATCTGCCACAATACTAACAGTATAACTGAACTTGATATATATTTATATATGAATTTTCGCATTTCAATAGCCATCCCAAATACCGCCTGGCTTTGAAAGAGAAATGCCCATGCTGTGTCTTTGGCAAGGTCGATGATGGCAAGTCCAGCGATGCTCAGTCCACAGCGACAGCTAGCGAGGCTGAGTCCAAGGCATAAGGGACCACAACAAGAACAACAACAACAACAACAATACCACCAACTTAATACAACAGCAACAGCAACAAATAGAACAACATCAATAACAACAAAACAACAACAACAACAGCAAGAACAACTGCAGCAACAGAACGAAACGCTTTCGAATAATAACAGTAATTTGTTACATAACATAATAATGTTAACTAACATTTATCAAAATCAAACTTCTGCAATGTCAATAAAGACTAAAAAAATCTAAAAAAAAAAAAAATAAATGCAAACGAACTAGAAAAGTTACAAAATTATTTCCTCTTATCGCAAATGGATTAATCATGTACATAACAGTATAACAAAATATTTACATATGTAGATCAAACAATGTTAACTTACATCATTTACATGCACTGCTAACACTACGTAACACCACTCTTCAACTAAGCTGTTAGCTAACAGTTAACGTAATATATTAACAGCCCCCCTTTTCGAAAGAAAACAATTCAATTAGTTAGCTCACTTCATTATGCATCAAACACTTTATCAATGTATGCAAAACGTTTCACAATTGTATTCAGGTTTTGATTTAAAGGCACTTAAATTCCATTTTATAAATTAACATGCAGATGAAAGCTAAAAACAATGCACACAGTAGCACACATATTAATTATGCGCCTGTGTAAAATTCATTTCAATGCGTTCATTTCAAAAAACTTTCTGCTTAAATCTAGGGTACTGCAACTCGGTTAGTAGTAGCACAAAAAATGACAAAATTTACAATTAAACAAAATCAGTTAAAACAACAACAATCTCTACGCTAAATCCACTTCATTCACGGGGCATTTTAGTCATTCGCTGCACGAGGCGTATTCGCTTTCGCTCTTCTTCACTTTGCCTTTGGCCAGGCTAATAATGTTTGCATCCGTTGCATTTGTTGTGATGTTGTTATTGTTGACCGGCTTGTGGTACGTGTCCTCCGCCGTACTGTCCACACTGACCGAGGTGCAGACACGTTCCTGTATGATCAGCTTCCACAAGCGCACTTCAATGCCAACGCTACACGATCGAAAAGATAAATTCAGTTAAGTTAAAAACTGGAATTAATTTATATTTTAGCTTACCGTAAGCCCAGGCGCATTAGATCCAACTTCTCCATATTGTAGATGAAATCCTCAAATGTAAAACCTTCATTCAGTATGAGCGTCTTAGAGAACTCATCGATATCATGCTGGGCTAGCCACTGCTCCAATTGCTCGTCTATCTCGTGCAGACCAAAATTGTGCTTGATTAATTGGCGGCGGGTGTTGGCATTCTGGGTTTGGCGTGCGCCAGTGTTGCCGGCACCGCTCGGGCTCATTCTATGGCACTTCTTGTTGAAGTTGTTGTTAAAGGTGCGTCTGCAATGGAAACTGAACGAGATGAGTGAAATGTCTACAAGTTATTTATAATCTGGCATTTGTCTTCAAAACTATTCCATCCTTGACAACAGTGGCTTCCATTTCTTTACTACTGCTCACCTCAAACGCTTGCGACCGCCCATATAAATATGGGCCAGTTCCTGACTGATGTTGTGCAATGCGCGCAGACTCTGTCGATTCTGCTCCATGATCTGCAACTGCAGCTGCTTCTGATTGTCGCGAATGTCGCGCAGGATGCGGACACACTCCACGGAACTGCCGACGCCATCGATTTGATCGGGGCTGACTGCGCTGCCGGGCAGCAGCTTGTCCAGTGAGTGCTGCTGCTGCTGCAGCTGTTTCTCCTGGCTATCAATCGATGTGTGCGGGGCACCACCAGCATTGTGAACGCTCTCATCATCGTTGCCGGACAAGTCCTTATCCGCCAGATTAGCGCCCAGTTCGGGTGAGAATATGGTAACAGCTGCCTGCACGGCTCGCTTCACCAGATTATCGAGCGCAAACATCCAGTGTGGCTTGATGCAGTGCAGTCTCAGGGCACAGACAACTGCATCCTGAAATGAGTATAATGCCAAATGCAAATGATCCAGCGCGACGGCATCGTTATCGAGTTTCTGTTTCAGTTCATTGATGGTCGCCTCCAGATGCTTCTCGTTCTCGTTTATAATGTAGTCGCGCAGGCCGCGTATCAGCATCTCCAGATCGCTCTTGCGTATGGCAATGGAGTTCTGATCCGCATTGATCTTCTTCTCCCAAATCTCACAGATCTTCGATTCGTCCAGTGCCAGCACCTTGGACAGAGTTGTGCGTCTCTGTGAGTCCTTCTTCAAGCGATAAAATCCATCCGATTCGCTCGTATCGCAAATGCTGGTTCGCAGCGACGGCGTCTGTGGCTCGATCTCTGGTGATAGCAGAAACCCGGACGAATTGCGCCGTTCGATTATGAAACTCTGCGTGGCAGTCATCTCATTCATGTCCACCGATGAGGTGCCGAGTGAGACGCTACAAAGGGGCAATTGAAATTCAATTAAGTAAAGTCGAGATTTGTGTATAATCAATAAATATATATACATATATATATTTGTAGAACATACTCTAGTTCTGGTGTGGTGGGTGTATTCGATGTAGTATTGTAGGTCAATGGCGGCGTTGTTTTGTGCACTAAGCGATCGGCGGGCACGGATATGCTACGTCCAAATTCCGAAGTGTTTATCGGCAAAGCGGGTCGCAGCTTTCGTGGTTTGCTGCTGAAGAAAATGATAAGAGACAAGAGATAAGCGATAAGGACTCAAAGTCAATGTTGAATAGCAAATCTCACTCACTCTGTGAGAAAAGGATCGTCGAGCAGCTGCAGTGCAGAGGGTCTGTCCTGCACGCTGATGGCAAAGCAGCGCAGAATAAAATTCCTGGCAAAGGAGGACATCTCTTCGGGTATGGTTGGATGCTTCTTGTAGAAACCGACCTTAAACATAGCTGCCTGCGGATTGCCCAATTCACTAAACGGCGGACTTCCAGTGGCCATTTCGACATTTGTACAGCCAAAGGACCAGATATCAGCTGGCGGTCCATAGCCACGCACGCCCTGATCTATCACCTCCGGCGCCATGTATTGTAGTGTGCCCGCGAAGGTGTCTGTCATTGGATTGATGCGAGCCAGACGCTTTGAGGTGCCAAAATCTGAGATTTTGACGACGCCGCTGTACGTGTTGACAAGAACGTTGTCGCCTTTGATGTCGCGATGAACGATGTCCTGTTCGTGTAGGTACTTGAGGCCCTGTAGTATCTGCTTGGAGTAGAAGGCCATGGTGGACTCGCTATCCTTGAGTGGACCCCATTTGGTCTTTAGCAGATCGGATAACGAGCCACCGGGCACCTGCTCCATGAAGATCTTAAAGAAGCCATCCTCGGAACGTGAGCCCAAATACTGTACAATATTGCGATGACGTAGCTGGGAGTGCAGCTTGATCTCCTCGTGCAGCGGCTGCACATCCTGCGAGTTCTTCTCCGGCACCTCCTTGATGGCAATGCGCACCTGCGTCTGTTTATCCCGCGCCGCATACACAGTGCCATATGTGCCCTTGCCCAGCGTAATCTTGCGGTTCTGATCATTGTAGTCGTACTCGTACTGCAGACAGACAGAACATTTGTTATGAATCGTTTTACAATTGAACTAAGCCAAATAGACAAAAATACGTACCTCAATTTGCGCCTGGTCAGTCTCCAGATTGACAAAGACCTCCTGATCCGCGGTCATTTCAAGTATGCGTTCGTAAAAATTTTGCCGGCACTCCGTGGACGGAAAATAGATTTGAAAATCATCCGAATTGTGATGCACATAAAGATACGCACAGAGATCGTCGCGTTTGTACAGGCTCACGGATTTTATTTTGGATGCTACAAATAGAAAATCATGCAGCTTCTTGCAATCATTCTTTGAGTGGGCCAAACAGATGTTTACGATTTGTATGGATTTCTCATCGGCATCCATATTCATTGTTACATAGCTGGGCATATAAATCTTCGTGGGTTCGAGTATCTGCAAAACAACAAACAACATTTATAGATTCATTTATAGATGCAGTGTGATAAATTTTGAATAGTTGCTTACCAATATGGGAAAACGTATGCTATTAATCTCTTTAATATTGATTGCCTCCAGAAAGAAGTCCATCCAGAATTGAAAGGCCTGTTCCTCGATGGGCAGCTGGCGATCCTCTGGCTTGCGACGAAAGCGATGTATCAGCGATATATTACCAATGGTCGATTTGAGCGACCAAATCGGTGGCTTCAATTTAAACATACACTCGGCTGCCTGAATGGCCTTCGCATAGTCCTCGGCCAGAACGGAAATCTCAAAGAACGTGGCCACATCCCAGTAGCCGCTGAGCGTCGATAGGCTGCCCTTCTTTCCAATCAGATTGTTCAGCGTCATGCCAATATGCTGCAGCTCCACTGTGTTGCTGAACTCCTTGCCCTCGATCACGAGCAGTGTGGCCAAATTGATGCCCGCATATTCATTTGGCTGCACCTCGAAACTCTGACGATACCATTTAATGGCATTCTCCAGGCTCTTCGTGTCCGTACAGTCCGACTCCACGAACATATCCTTGTAGATGCGTCCGCACAGGCACAACATGTCCGGGAAGTGATTCTCCTTCTTATCGAGCGCCTTGAGCGAGGATTCTAAGGCCTTCTCACGATCACCCGGCCGATTGCGTCGATTCAGCGCGAAGGCATACAGGAAACTCATGTTTCCCGTTTCCACATATTTGCGCGTATTTGGTATATTCTTCAAATCATTGACCAGTCGCACCATTGCATCATAGTCCTGCACATCCCGCAGCGAGCACATAAAACTGTGCAACACCTCGCCGGAGAGCACATGTGGATCATCCAGCCGTTTGCGCATCTAAAATTACAGGAAATCATTTAATTAGTACTAGAAGACTTCAAATTAAAGAGTAATAATGGATCTACATAGATATATATAATAATCATTAAAGTTTGCGATATTAGTCATTAGAAATAATGAAATTCGCTAAATAATATATAAAATACACTCATTACGACTCTAATCAATTAGCTTTGGAACCGACGCGTTTTAATGTTGAAGCATTCACTGTAACTATTTAGAAACTATATAGTATAAGTCAATTATCGTATTTGTATTTGAAACTGAAACATGTACACCGTGTCCGCACTTAAATAAAAGATCGGAATATTATTAAATTAAATCCGCGTTGCGTATTTGCTTTTTGTATGACAATTGCACAAACATAAATAATCTTTTATGTGTGGTTAGGGCTTACAATAATAATACGAGCAAGATACTTGTGCATATTTACATGCACAATTACAAACATAAGACATGTGATAAATGACTAGGCTAATCTTACCCCATGTAGAATGCTCTTCAACTTATCATCGCTGGGCGCGTAGGCGTCGCGCGCCGCTCGCATATCACTGAGAAACTTTTCGCGCATATGCGCCCTGCGGGTGGAAAAGCGAGAGGGATCATTTACCATGTAAATAACAATTGCGATTTACACAGAATTATGATTGTGTGTGTGAGTGTGTGTAACAAGTACTCACTTTGATTGTATTTCAACATCTTGTAACTTGCGCTTGAGACGCGACTGTAATGTGGCTGTCACGCGTCCTTCGGCGGGTGTTTCCTTGTTGCTTGCCTGGTTTGTTAGATTGCAGGTACTTGTCTCCGCGTTGCGCTTATAGCTAAGAAACAAATAGTTGGCACAAGAGAGCTGCAAGGCAATGGAAAACAAGAGGTTTTTATTTCAGCTAGACTAATTAAACGAGACGTTAGTCTAGCTATGGAAAACTAATTTAAGCTGGATATGTTTTTATGAACCCCACTGTAAGCGCCTACACGTAAGTGGCCCTTGTCAAACCCAAATAATTTAAGTTAGACAATTTTCAACAGACGCCACTGTGTTTGAAACTATGGAAAACTAATTTAAGTTTTGATGGACGCCACTGTAAACACCTACACACAAGTGGCCCTTGTAAGCCCACATAATTCAAGCAAGACAACTTGAACGTGACGCTAGAGTGCATGAAGTTTTATGGACGCCGCTGTAATTGCAGGCGCTTGTTTATGTGCGCTGTGCATGTGTGTGTGTGTGTCAGTGTGTGTGCGCAGCGTGCGTGTTGTTTTGTGTTTTGCGTTGGCGTCCGTGCACTTGATGTTGTTTTTATTATTTTCTTTTTTTTTTTGGTTTTTCGTGCTGCGACGGTTAAAACAAAAATACCGACTTTTTTTTTGTTGGTTTCACAGAACGGAAGCACAATAAAAACTAACAAAAACAACAAACAGAACTGGCTGCTGTATTAACAAAAAAATAAGAGAAAAACGCTTAAAACAAATGCTTTTTTTGCTGTGGAATTTATCTTATCGGCAAGACAGTGTCGATTATGCTTTGTTTTTGTTGTGCGTGTTGTTTTTGTTGCCCTGCAATTGCTGTTGATTTTCCTTCTTTTTTTCCCCTCTTTTTCGTTGCCAAAATCTTTGGCTAATCACACCTGTTTTTTTGCTTAGGATTTAGATAGAGTATTTTTTGTCATACGCACCTTAAGGCTGAGCGTCTGTTTGGACTCCAGATCATTGTAGATTAAAATGTTCTCCTTCATGCCGAAGCTTTCGCGCACACCATAATGATAGGAGAGCGGACGCTGTTGTGTTAATATGCTTAAATCTATGACGGCAACATCGGCATTATAGAATGTTTCCAGCACATTCGTCTCACCAAAATCCAATCTTTCGAACTGCACAATTTTTTTCAAACATATAAAATTGTATAACAATTTTTTTTTTGTTTTTTAATTCACCTGGACACGCTGAAAATTGGCACCTGCCGATTGGACGGCCTGTTTGATTTCCTCGAGCGCGCATAGACGATCCTCCAAATGATCGCCCACAACGGTATCAATTACACAAACAACATCCATTGCTCGTGTTGAGATTGAGATTACCTCTCTCCTAATGTTGGGGCTATGTTCCTAGCAGTGTACAACGCCTGGGGACGGAGACGAGGCGGAGTGTGTTGTGTTTGTGTGCTGCTAGCGTGCGTTTGGCTTGTTGTGCGCGTTTGGTTGTATTTTAAACAGCTTCATTACCACTCACTTGTTATAATTGTAACGCGCTAAATGTTTTATAACGTACAAATAATAATAAATACGGAACTTTGTCGAAATGTGCGCAAAGTAGATGTCGACGCCGATGTAAAATAGGCACGAGTGTGACCAACTGCAGCAAGCCTGCAAATAACTTACGTTTATTTTTAGTCTATGCAAGCCCTGTTATTTTAACAGTGTTCTTTGCGCGCCGTTTTCTTTTGCATTTGAATTTTATATTAAGTTATTAACTAATTCCTGCAACATTTTAAGAAAGAAAAGTTCTTACGCGTTAAGTTTTATTGATAGACATGTTAGCTGATACTTCTTCTCATATGTTTCTCACACAAAACTGTCATATTGTGTTAACAATAACGGCTAATATGTTAACACAGATAACGCAACGTAACGTAACATTTGATCAGAGCGCCAAAGTCGACAACAGTCGTTAATATTTATTTGACATATTCGTAATACATGTACATTTTTGAAAATTTAAACCAATTACTAAACGTTAAGCGAAACGAAACACAAATACAAATATTAGCCAGGATTAAGCAATAGCCATTATCATGTATCAGAATAAAGTGGTGTTGACGCGCGAACGACGCCGTTTTGGTCGCCAGTGCCTGTTCGAGGATCGTAACGAGGTGATGGTCAGCATCCATCCGAGCAGTCGCCTCCGTCAGAAGTATATCATGGGCAATCCGCAGAACTGCAAGACTCAACTGAGCGACGTGATGGCGGCCAGTGAAGCGAACACAGAGAATGCCACATTCGAAGATCGCGGAATGCTGCACCACGAGGGCGGTTGGCCCAAGGAGGTGAATATGAACGACGAAGAGCAGACGGTGCGCCACCGCAAGAAGGTTGAGCGTGACGATACCTGGGGCGTGGAGGTGAAGCAACTGATACGCTCAACAATGAATACGGCTCGTGAGAATAATGCTATCAATATCTATAATCATTACTTTGATGATCTGCCCTCTGATTTGGGACGCACAATTTGCATGCCGTTCAAGAGTCGCACGATAACGATCATCCACGATATGTGGAGGCCACAGCGCTATATGTCCACCATCAACTGGATGCCCAACAATGACAAACAGATCATGACCCAATACACAAATCTCTATACGCGGAACAATGAAAGTCAACGCATGTTGACACAAGATGACACAAACGGATCCACCCAAGCCTTCTATGTGTGGGGTATTAGGGATCCGGTTAAGCCCGCTTACTTTTATGACAGCAAAGAGGTGGTTCGTACTGCCAAGATCTGTCCCAAAGAGGAGAACCACATAGCGGGTGGCACATTGTCGGGCAAGGTGTGCATCTGGGACACCTTTGAGAGCGGCATGCCCACCAGCATTTGCCCCATGGAGGCGGCCCATCGGGAGCAAACCTCGTGCATTAGCTGGGTGCATTCGAAATCGAACACTGAATTCTACAGTGCATCTCTGGATGGTTCAATTAAATTCTGGGATATACGTGATCTTAAAATGCCATCGAACGAGATACTTTTGGATCCGAATCCAATTCTACGACAGAAGCGTCAGAATGCGCATGGATGCACAGCGCTAGATTTTGAATATACAATCCCCGTGCGTTTCGTTGCCGGCACCGATATGGGAAGCATTTTTGTGGGCTATCGCAAGGGTACCACTCCCATGGAAATGTTAATTGCCAACTATAAACTGTTTGCCGGCCCCATACGCACCATTCATCGGAATCCGTTCTTTGTGAAGAGCTTTCTGCTCGTTGGCGATTGGCAGGCGCGCATCTGGTGCGAGGAGATGAAGAATTCGCCCAGCACCTTTTACGTGTCGAAGCGAAATCAGTTGATGTGCGGCGCCTGGAGCAATGGGCGCGCCTCCCTCTTTGTCACCGGTGACATCGATGGCGTTGTTGACTTTTGGGATCTACTCTTGGATCAGCAACTGCCCATCTATAGTATCAATTTCCGTTCGACCATAACCGGCGTTGTGTTTCAGCCGAGTGGACATCTTTTGGCCATATCGATGGCCAATGGCGACACGCACATCATGAATCTCGATGAGGCCATGAAGCGGACAACCAGCAAGGAGAAGGCACTCATGGCTGACGTAAGCATAGCACACACACACACATCGCCCATTTTATATACCCATTTGTAAAACTCCATTTCGGGTCCTGATCCTAGATGTTTGAGCGTGAGATTACGCGCAGCAAGCTGTTGGAGGCGCGCGTCGATGAGATCAAGCTGAAGAAGCGCACCGCTCTTTTGGAACAGGAGGAGGAGGCGGAGCGCATTTCGAAGGCGTCCTTGGTGAAAGCGAATGCAATGCCCGATCTGGAGCTCGATCCCGATAATCCCGAACAGTTCATCCTGATGATCGAGTCCGATGAAGAGTTTCGCAGTGCTCTACGCGATTTCCACGAGACGCTCGCGGCAGTAGATCGCGAGCGTGCCGCCCAAAAGAAGGTCATGGAGATCACCGATTTCGAGCAACTCCACCGGGACAACCTGGCCGAGCAGGTGAGGCTCGAGGAGATGCGAAAGAAGCGTGCCGGCTCTGTTAGCTCCAAGGATGGTCGAGATGGCAAGAAGACAAAGGGCGCCAAAGGTGCGAAAAAGAAAACAATCAATTGAAATAAATATTTACATATAAAAATGTACATTAAAAATTAAGAAATCGGCAAACCAAGAATATATTCTCATCTGGAATAAATACTCATTCTAGAAATTGTAATTAAACAAATAAAATGCAAAACTTCTTCATCTTTTAAAATGCTCTATTTTGGAAAAGGTATAAAAATATAAATCTCAATAACAGATATATACATCTATATATATATATATATATATATATATATATATATAAAGATATGAACAATTTTAATTGCTGATCGCTCAATTCTACTAAATTGAAAATCTAAAAATAGAGAATCATAATTGATTTTGCATTTAGACTTTGTGCTTAAAATTAAAATTGAAAAAATTGGGTTGGTAGTGGGATTAACTGGCGTATTCCTTCAGTATGGAGCCCGCTATGACCAGGCGCTGAATCTCTGAGGTGCCTTCATAGATTTCCGTGATGCGTGCATCTCGATAATGTCGCTCGGCGGACATATCGGTGACATAGCCCATGCCGCCCAAGATTTGGATGCACTGATGGGCGCACAGTGTAGCCGCCTCAGAGGCAGCCAGTTTGGCCATTGCCGCCTCTTTGGTATATGACATCTTCTGATCCTTCAGCCAGGCGGCACGCCAGGTCAGCAATCGAGCTGATTCCACAGCCAACGACATGTCGGCAATCTTCTGTTGAATGGCCTGCAGCTTTGAGATGGGTTTGCCGAATGACTGACGCTTCTGGGCATAGTCAACGGCGACTTCCAGTGAGGCCTGGGCAATGCCCAGCGCTTGTCCAGCAATGCCAATGCGTCCCGCGTCCAGCGTTTTCATCGCAATCTTAAAGCCAAGGCCTGCCGTACCCAGCAAACTTTCCTTGGGTATTTCACAGTCTTCGAATATGAGCTGGCACGTGGAGGAGCCTCGTATGCCCAGCTTGTCCTCCTTCTTGCCAAGCGAGAAGCCCTTAATGCCCTTGGGCACTATAAAGGCAGAGATACCCTTGTGTTTCAGTTGCTTGTTGGTGGTGGCAAACACAATGCTTGCCTCCGCCTCGAAGGCGTTTGTTATCCACGCCTTGGTCCCGTTCAGCACATAGTGATCGCCCTTCTCCGTTGCCACCGTGGAAGCGGCGCCCGCATCAGAGCCATTTCCCGGCTCGGACAGTGCAAAGCAGCCCACCCGCTCGCCACTCACAAACGGCGTAATATATTCCGCCTTTTGGGCATCATTGGCAAAGCTCTGCAATGGGCCCAAATACAGGGAATTATTGACGGACATGATGACACCAGCTGAGGCGCAACCACGCGAGATTTCCTCCATGGCTATCGCATACGCCAGATAGTCCAGTCCAGTTCCGCCCAGCTCTTCAGGCACGGACACTGCCATCAAGCCCAATTCGCCCATTTGCTTAATCTGTTGCGCCGGATAAAGATGTTCCCGATCGAATCTGGCTGCATTCGCACCGACCAGCTCTGAGTTGGCAAAATCACGGCACGTCTTCTGCAGCATCTGGTGTGTATCCGGCAGCGCTGCAATCGATGCTATCTGCCGTAGATGCACCGATTGCCGGACTGCAACAGGTGATTCCAACCGGTGTGCAGATACAGATATGCTCAGTTATTTACATATATCAACAAGTCAAAGTCCATAAAGAAATGTTAACTTACCAATTTGGAGGCTCCTTCCAATAACGGACTGCATTCTTGTTTGTTTAAGCTATTAAGGGCTGAGCACACAAATGTTTTCGGTGTATTTTATTATTACGTAGTAATTATTACTACCGCTTATAAATTTTTAACTGTGCAACTGGAACCGCTGGCTAAGGCAGTATATTCGATAGTTGTTTTGCTATCGATATTTAATGTACAGCAACTATGTTTAAACATAGCGTTAACATACTGTTAAATGGTAATTCAAAATAAAGCGCGCGAAATGTGGAATTATCAAATTATACACTGCAAACGTTTTCTTTTTATCACTTCAAACATTTTAAAGTACAAGCTTAGAGATTGTAATAACTTTTAAAATAAAATATATATATTTTAACTTCGCAGCTTCCCAGAGGCACACATCGGACTGTTATCGAAAGAAATGCGCTTGCGCTGCCTGAACAGAAGAGGAAGAAGACCAGGACTTGAGCTCGCACGAACTTGTTTAACGTTTTTTTTATTGCACAATTACATTTAATTCCATAAAATCACGCACATACGGCACCATTTCATTTGAAGCGACAATAAGAACTAGTGTTTTTTAAGTGTATTGCACGTGTTTCAATTGGCACATTAATTGTTTATTGATTTGCAGTCGAGTTTGTTTTTTTTTCTTTCCATTCTCTGTCTTCTTGATTTCTCATATTTATGTTCTGCTGATTTATTTGCGCAACGGTTAATTGCTATATACGGCGGACAACTGGTGAACTCTCAGGTAATGAGCTTAAACATGTTCCGCATGTTCACAAAAACTGCATTTGTTTAGCTACAAATGCGGATTATTTCGAAAATTAAATAAACAAAATTACAAAAAACAGAAACGAGAACGCGAACGCCGCAGGGGGCAGCCTTTGCGAACAGTATGTAGCTGCAGCTGGTGCAGCCTTTTGGGGCAACTCGTGTAAATAAGCCATCGGTTTGGCTATGGTTTCGAATTGATGATTCCGAATTAATCCGACGTCTTATCAATCGCCACTCTCTCGATCGCAACGCGAATACGAAGTTGACGCCAGATAACACAATTCTCTCGATGGCTATAAATGGCGTGTCGGATGTGGTCAAGAGCCAAGTTAGTTTTTGTTAGCTGATCTGGACGCGACGCGCTGCTGTTAGCCGGTTTATTGTGAGTTCTACGCGATTCATCCTTGCCTCAAGTGTCAAGTAATTCAAACTGATCAAATTAATATAATTTCAAGTGTTTTATTGAAAGTGATTAAAAGGGATAAAAGTGGTCAAAGAAAGTAATATCTCTCTATATATATGTATATATATATCTCTGCTCTGCCAATGTGAAAAAGATTATTACGAACAACATAAAAGAATTAAGAATTTAATAACCAAATGACAAGCGAAAAAAGAAACGAGTAATAAACGAAACGATTTTAGTAAGTCATCATGATTTTGATAATTGCCTATAGACCAAGTTTATTATTGCACATTTAGTTCTATATTGGCTCTGAAAAGGCCTCCTGAAAGGAAATAATCGTGATTCGGTGACGTTGACAGCTGTGGAACACCCCTTGAGTCAAAATGTGTCTACATAGTAAATAAACATTCAATCTTATCAGCAATCCAAGACTATGTTAGCTATGCGAATAATTACGCGTTTGAATTTGACAATCTAAACGGCATGTCACATTAATATCTGTATTTGTATTTATTTGTTTCTCATTGATTTTTATAGTGACGCTTGTTATTGGTCAGATAAAAAACGAATAAACTCAACAAATGAAAAGTAATTGAGATATTGAAACGAACCGGATTGACACAAACAGGCCAAAATGCAGACCACGAACGCAGATGAGCTGCCGACGAATCCGCGCGAGACTTCGAATCCGTTGTCAACGCTTATGTTTTGGTGAGTCTTCAAGGGTATTCAAAACAAATCCGAATTGTTATATCTTTGATTATTTTATTTATTTTCCGCAGCTATACTATGCCCACATTTTTCAAGGGACGCAAAAAAACTCTAGACGAAAGTGATCTCTATAAGGCTTTAAACGAACACAAATCCGGTAAGTGATTGAGTACAACAAATTATTGTCAATTGTGAACTGTGAACTTTACTTGTGTAAAGCATATTTGAAAAAGTAAAAATGCAGTCTTAAATAATTGAATTAATTTGAATTATAAAGTGAAAGGACGAATTTTGTTAAGAATGACTAAGAATAAAAGACAGCTCATGCAGCTGTGCATTTAGCTATGATTGTCTATGGAGTCGAGTACAATGTTCAATGGGTTTCATGGGTTTCAATAAGCTGTGTGCACCTTCAAGCCTTCTGGGGCTCAACCCATTCAGTTAGTTATCTGTGATAAAGCAGAACTTCCCCATTCAACAATTGTCTTGTTTTAAGTAAAAGGAATACAATGCACATAATGTATTATCTATGAAAATGTTCACTCTTCAGACATTTTTTTGATGTACTTTGAAGTGGCTTATGTGAAAATCGGAAAGCGCTTCAATTTACGGGGTTTTCAACGATTAGATAGAATAGAACATGTGCACAGGTTTATTTTAATTTTTTTTTTCTATTTTTCCTATTTTTTTCGAAGAAACTTACAAATTAATTTACATTTTTATTTTCTAGAGAAGTTGCAATAAATAGTATCACCAACGCACATTGTGGCTATCTTATCTATTTTCATATTATCTCCTACATTTCCTCCGCATAAATCATATGCAGATACGACTTGAGGCAATCATTTAAGTTTAAAACACTTCAATGTCTTCCAATATCTACCTTATATATTGTATCCAATAAGCTGAAAGATTGCTGAAGCCTTCAAGCGTTTATCAGCTGGATTTAGTTAACAACCAACAAATAAAATAATATATCTGAACTTTGAGTTTTATAGAGAAGTATTAATAAAAATAAAAATCAGTTGCGTTACTGCCAAAATTTGTCTGATATCTTTGATAACTTTGACAATTGCCATTGCCGCAATTAATGAGTTTTTCATTTTTTGGGGACCGCTAGTGAAATGTGAGGTATACAATTAAATGACGACCGCTTATTTACTTAAAATAATTGAGTACATAGAGCTGACATGAAGTGGTCAGTGGACATTCTTATCTGGCAGACGACTTAAGTAAATATTTACTTAAGGTAATAATTGCAAATCAATTTTAAAGCCACTTTTGATTGACTAACTTCTCTGGGCAAACGTTGCGGAAGTGGCCCTGACTATATCTATACTTTGATCGACCAGTCAAAGTTAGTGCTGCACATGCAACTGGCCTGCCTGTCCAGGTGCGATTAGCCCTGCAACTGATAACTGATAAGGTTGTGCAATGCACAGCTGGCTAAGCCTTGGGTTTTTTGACGGTCCAAAGCAGGGGCACAATTCTCAACCAAAGCGGAGACAATGACAAATAAAAGTTTCACATTCTTAGTTAAGACCGATAAAAATCATAATCATCATTAAAATACTTGCAAAAATTGTAAAGCGATTTATTCGCCATTTCAGTAATTAATTCGAACAAACATGATTAAATAGAATTGATTGCACCAATCTTATCGAGTGGTTGATCAGATTTCCGGCTTCCATTTTTTTATGAGTGATAAAAATCGCAGTAAAGTAATAAATCATGTTTAAACATTAAAATTGTAATTATTATTATAATATAATCATTCTTGAACACAAATATATTTTTGATTTATTTATGACAAAATCACAGTAGAGTATTATCACTAAGCAGACAATGTATTATATTATTCAATGCGATGTAGAATGACTCTAATGATCTGGATTCATTCTAAGTTTGACAATCTTTCATTAACATCTTAATGAAATGATGCTGTTGTCTTCTTGCAGATAAACTTGGCAAGAAGCTGAGCGATGCCTGGGAAAAGGAGGTAGAGGAGAAGCGCAAGAAGAAGAAGGAGCCCAGCTTGCTTAAGGCATCGATGAACGTCTTTGGCTGGAACTTTGGCTGGCTCGGCTTCGTATTGCTCATATTGGAAATGGGCTTCCGGTATGCTCGAAACACGCCCAGCCTCACACACAACACACAATTTATGAACAATTATTTGTAAATAATAATATTTATTCAACGACAGAGTTACACAGCCGCTGTGCTTGGGCGGCTTGGTGGCCTTCTATGCGAACAATCAGGACACCGATGACCAGACCAAGGCATATCTGTATGCCGCCGGCGTGATCTTGTGCAGCGCATTCAATGTTATGTTCATGCACCCCTACATGCTCGGCATGTTCCACACGGGCATGAAGGTGCGCATTGCAATGTGCAGCATGATTTATCGCAAGGCGTTGCGCCTCAGTCGCACAGCGCTGGGCGACACAACAATTGGTCAGGTGGTTAATCTCATATCGAATGATGTGGGTCGCCTCGACGTTTCGGTTATTCACATGCATTATTTATGGCTCGGACCCGTCGAGATCGGTGTGGTCACCTGGCTTATGTACAGAGAGGTAAGTCTTTATTGTTCTTTGATCCGTTTTGCGATTTTTAATTACTGCAAAGCTATTGAATATAATCAATATTGTCATGTTTTCAAATTAAAAATGACTCAAATAATAATAGAAAATATTTGCAGAAATTTTAAAATTAAATTTGAACTATTTCTAAAATATATTTCAATATTGACACACAGATTGGCGTTTCGGCCTTCTTCGGAGTCGCTGTGATGTTGCTGTTTATTCCGTTGCAAGCATATCTTGGCAAGCGGACATCGGTGCTGCGTCTGAAGACCGCTTTGCGAACGGACGAGCGAGTGCGTATGATGAACGAGATCATATCGGGCATACAGGTGATCAAAATGTACGCCTGGGAGATACCGTTCAGCAAGATGATCAACAGTGTGCGTGGCAAGGAGATGAATGCCATACGAAAGGTGAACTACATTCGCGGCACACTACAAAGTTTCATCATGTATGTGACGCGAATTTCGGTGTTTGTCAGTCTGGTGGGCTTTGTGCTGCTGGGCAAGCTGCTCACGGCCGAGAAGGCCTTTGTAATTACGGCCTTCTACAACATTCTGCGCAACACAATGACTATTTACTTTCCCATGGGTATCGCGCAGGTAAATTGGTTTTATTTACTTATTTTAAGTTTAGTTTAAATTTTATATATTGCTTAACCCTTAAATGTTAAGGTGCTGTTGTTAAAATATTCTTTTAATGTTAACATACATAAATGTTGATGATCAAACCAGTATTTTTAACAGCGTTTGCTGTTAACCTAACATAACATAGAAATGTAAGTAATAGCGCGGCAGAATACCATTTTCAAAAATTGATTATAAGTGAAATTTATTATTCTTATTTTAATCGCGCTAAGAGTCGTGCACGTTTTTAACAAAAATCTTAAGTTTAATAGGAATTAATGTTATAAATTAGGTATTATCTTTACTTTGTTATTTTATATGCATTAATCTAGAAAATTTCCAATAACATTTTCAGTTTGCTGAGCTGCTCGTTTCCATAAAGCGCATACAAAAGTTTATGATGCATGAGGAAACAAAAGTGCGTGACAAGTCCGAAAATATGGATGATCAGAAGCAGAACAAAAAGCCCGGTCTCAGCCTGGTGCAGGAGACTGCCGCCTCCGCTACGGGTGTGCTCAAGCCGAACAGTCGCCGTTCTAGCGAGACTGAAATCGGGGTAACCATCAGTAAGCTGAAGTGCAAGTGGGATTCGAAGCTCAGCGAATATACGCTGGACAATGTGAGCCTGAAGTTCAAGCCGCGACAACTGGTCGCTGTTATTGGACCCGTCGGTGCCGGCAAGTCCAGTCTGATTCAAACCATTCTCGGCGAGCTGCCGCCAGAATCGGGCACGGTGCGTGTGAATGGCAGCCTGTCCTATGCCTCCCAAGAACCATGGCTCTTTACCGGCACAGTGCGCCAGAATATTCTGTTCGGGTTGCCGTTGGACAGGAGTCGCTATCGCCAGGTGGTGAAGAAGTGCGCTTTGGAACGTGATTTTGAGCTGCTGCCCTACGGCGATAAGACAATTGTGGGAGAGCGTGGCGCCTCCTTATCGGGTGGCCAGAAGGCGCGCATCAGTCTGGCCCGTGCTGTGTACCGCAAGGCGGATATCTATCTGCTCGATGATCCGCTCAGCGCCGTGGACACACATGTGGGCCGGCATCTGTTCGATCAGTGCATGCGCGGCTTTCTGCGAGAAGATATTGTTGTCCTGGTCACGCATCAGCTGCAGTTCCTGGAGCAGGCCGATATGATTGTGATACTGGACAAGGGCAAGGTGAGTGCCAAGGGCACCTATGAGTCCATGTGCAAGAGCGGCTTGGACTTTGCCCAAATGTTAACGGATCCCAGCAAGAAGGATGAGGGTGCTGGGGATGCGGCAGAGAAGCGTAAACTGTCCCAGGTCAGCAAACTGCGCAGCCGACAGAACAGTGTTTCATCCATGGGATCGGCAGCCGATTCAGTGGTCATGGAGTCGCCAATCCAGGTGCAGGAGACGCGCACCGAGGGAAACATCGGCATGGGACTGTACAAGAAATACTTTGCCGCCAACGGTTACTTCCTGTTTGTTGTCTTTGCCTTCTTCTGCATTGGCGCCCAGGTGCTGGGCTCCGGCGGCGATATGTTCTTGTCATACTGGTGAGTAGCAAAAGGGTACTTTATGGAGTTCTGGGTTCATCTGGAATCAATTTCAATCACTTCATCAAGTACAAAAACTAACTAAAACTATTTAAAAGTCAAATTATGTTAATGTAAAGCTAACAACAAACTTTTAACAGAGCTGTTTTCTGTGCGAATGTTAATAATTCAGCTTGAACAGACTTGGAATTGACATGTTCTTTTCCGTTATTAGTGCGTTTAAATTAATGGGTTACTCTTCAAATATTTATAAAAGTATTTTCGCTTATATCAATTTTCAGGGTCAACAAAAACGGTGAAACAGCTACGGATTCATTTATGTCGCGACTGCGTCGCTCGTTTATGCCTAGAGTTAACAGCGACACGGATCCCATCGATATTTACTACTTTACGGCCATCAATGTATTGGTGATTGTCTTCTCCCTGGTGCGCAGTGTGCTCTTCTTCTATGTTGCGGCCAAGAGTTCGACGACGCTGCATAATCGCATGTTCCATGGTGTTACCCGGGCGGCAATGCATTTCTTCAACACAAATCCGTCGGGACGAATTCTGAATCGCTTCTCCAAGGATCTGGGTCAGGTCGATGAGATTCTGCCCTCCGTCATGATGGATGTCATGCAAATCTTTCTCTCAATTGTGGGCATCGTTGTTGTGCTGTGCATTGTGAACATCTGGAATCTGCTGGTCACCTTTATACTGGTCATTATTTTCTATGTGTTGCGCAACTTCTATTTGACGACCTCCCGTGATGTTAAGAGATTGGAGGCTGTAAGTAAGTATAGTTCAAGAATCACTACAAAATTAGATTAATTAATTAATTAACGTAATCTACTGCCTCACTTCAGCTCGCTCGCCGATCTATTCGCATTTGAGCGCCTCGCTGAATGGCTTGGCTACGATACGCGCTTTTGGAGCGCAGAAGGATCTCATTACGGAGTTTGATAATTTCCAGGATATGCACAGCTCTGGCTTCTACATGTTCTTAGCGACCAGTCGAGCTTTCGGCTACTGGCTGGATTTTGTCTGCGTAATTTATATTGCCATCGTAACGCTCAGCTTTTTCCTGTTCTCACCAGAGAATGGCGGCGAGGTTGGCCTGGCCATAACACAGGTGTGTCTGACTACCATGAAACTTTAAACTTTCGAAAACTAACTCCTCTTTTTTTTAGGCCATGGGCATGACGGGTATGGTTCAGTGGGGCATGCGTCAATCAGCGGAGCTGGAGAATACCATGACTTCGGTGGAACGTGTCGTTGAGTATGAAGATCTGGAGCCTGAGGGTGAATTTGAGTCGAAGCCGAATAAGAAGCCACCCAAGGACTGGCCCGATGAGGGCAAGATTGTGTTTGATGATCTGAGCTTGCGTTACTTCCCCGAAAAGACAGCAGACTATGTGCTGCGTAATCTCAATATTGATATCAAGGCGTACGAAAAGATTGGCATTGTTGGACGCACTGGCGCTGGTAAATCGTCGCTGATCAACGCACTGTTCCGTCTGTCCTACAACGAGGGCGCCATCATCATCGATCGCCGTGATACCAACGATTTGGGACTGCACGATTTACGTAGTCAGATTTCAATTATACCACAGGAGCCGGTGCTTTTCTCGGGCACCATGCGTTACAATCTGGATCCGTTCGATGAGTACAGCGACGCCAAGCTATGGGAGTCGCTGGAAGAAGTTAAGCTGAAGGAGGTTGTAGCCGAGCTGCCCAGCGGCCTGTCGAGCAAAATCTCCGAGGGCGGCACCAATTTCAGTGTGGGCCAAAGACAACTGGTTTGCCTGGCACGCGCCATTCTCCGCGAGAATCGCATACTGGTGATGGATGAGGCGACAGCGAATGTGGATCCGCAAACGGATGCGCTCATTCAGACAACGATTAGGAATAAATTCAAGGATTGCACCGTGCTCACCATTGCCCATCGACTGCACACAGTTATGGATTCGGATAAGGTGTTGGTTATGGATGCCGGCCGTGCTGTTGAATTCGGGTCACCCTTTGAGCTGCTCACGGTCAGCGAGAAGAAGGTGTTCCACGCCATGGTCAAGCAGACGGGCGACGCCACATTCGATGCACTACTCAAAGTGGCACAAAAGGTGAGTAAATGCATTACTAACGTGCAATATTATGCCTAATGTGAATCTTGTGTCGACAGGCGCATGAGGACCACTTACGGTTGAAGAAGGATTCTTGACATTTCGCTGTGCCGAAGGCTTTTAAAGACTACATACTTAAGATACTGGAACCAATTACGAACCACCCGGCTGCCAATGCGCGTATCCAAAAGACCTTTCTATTTGCGGAGGCATCCAAGCAGAAATTATTAGGATAGCATAAACACTAAACAGCAGCAGCTAAAACACCAGAAACAACAGCAAAGAATTTTTACAAGAGACATGTACAAATCATTATATAAGCGCATAACTAAATGTTAGTTAAATTGATGAATAGTAGAACTAGACTACGATATGGATGACAATAAGCTCAGTTTTGAGCGCGTAAAACAAAAATGATAAAAATTCTTGCTAAACAGGCGCAAATGAAACACCTTTAGAAGGTTGCATTGCAAATGTATAAAAAATGTGTTCCGTAACGACAATAACGATTATAGAAATACTATAAACTGTTACGTCTAATATTAATGTATGTGTGTTCTTTTTTATAGTAATTTATTAATGTACAGGTACACATAATAAATGTAACGTTTTTATTAACTTTTTATTTGATTTTACGTTTTACGTTTCTACATATTTTCAAATTTTTCACATTTTGGTTAAACAGATTTAGCTCGTAATCCTAACTAGTAGAAGTGCATTTAAATTATCTACCAAGAAAAAAAAAAAAAAAAAGATATTCAATGCATTTAACAACAAAATGTATCTTCCATTTGCTGCGAAACGTAAACTGATATAAGAATGAATTTTAAAATTCAAGTGCTAGACAGCTCATATTTAAATCTAAGAGATCGCTTTTTAAAAGCGCATATATATATAGAGCAGCTGCTGTACACACACGTAACTTCAATTAGGCGTTAGCTTTAGTTGTTTATATATATATATATAGCTAATTATGTGCTATTTGTATTTGATGTACTATATATATATATATATATATATATATATATATATATATATATATATATCAAGTGTGAACATTAGTCTACACCACCAGCGACAGCCAGGCGCCGATTAAACAGAAGCCACCAATTGTGGCATAATGCTGCAGTTCCCTCTTGCCGGTCAGGGCACGATAATACATGCAGCCTGAGAAGAGAATGGTGCCCATGGTCATCAGAACGCCAGTCTGGAGAAAAATATAAGATATTATTAGGCATCTGAACAAATATATTTATATATATTTCATGCGCTGCATTTAAGTGTTAGACAATAATGTGTGGCCTGCGTATTTTGATGTTAGCTTTAGTTGATGGCTTTGAAAAAAAAAACAAAAGAAAATCCCGATAGAAAGCTCTACGATTTACTTATCGAATAAGGCTGAAAAACAAATTATTGAAAGAAAAACTTAAAAAAAAGAAACAAACAAAATGAAAACAAATTTAAGCAGCGTTATTGAAGCTGACTTTTGGTACATTTTTTAAACAAGAAAAGAAGAAAACAAGAAATATGAATTTAGTATTAAGCAAGACAGAAACACATATATCCTATATCCAAACAATTCCTATACCATATCAGCTATGAACCTCTCATATCATTCTCAAACAAATGATGTTACATGTTAGCAATTATCGTATACAAGTTTCGTAATGTGGTATTGAAATTACTTTTAAGCTGCAATTAGTGGTTGTTGAACTTTTAGCTTTAGCTTTGGACAAAACAAAAACTTCATATACAATCTACGCATCCTTATAGAACGTAAATTGAGAAACGCTTAGCAAAATATCAAATCGTACACTCATTTAATTATTTTTTTCATTTTCTTTTAAAAGAAGATTCACTAAGCGAGTGTGTCAATTACATACATAACTATAAAATATTTATATATACATCTATATATTAATGTTGAATATCGAATGCGAATTGTGCATAAGCCAAATCATTCAAAAAGTAACGCGAGTTGTTGTAAATTCCGTTCAGAGATTTAACTTTACAAAATGAGAAATAACAGAAAAGCTTTATGATGCTCAATAAACGATAAACAGAATTTAATCGCTTTCATTTTATGCTTAACCACCGGATTTATTTCCATATTTCTTATTATTATTATTGGAATACTTACAAAGACGGGGTAATGTGCTAGCGGCATACACATTAGTGCAAATGAGTGCAGAAAGTGTATGCGATTGGCAACCTCGGCGAATGCCTGCGATTCCAACTGTTCTTTGGGATCGAGAACGTCCTTTAGAAAATACTTGCAATATGCGCCCATGAAAATGGCCGATGCACCAGCCAAGCCGGCAATGCGCACAAAATTGTAGTTATTGCCAATAATGCTACGCATCGATATGGATACGGGTTGAATTTGCGGTTGCATCGACATATCATCCACGGGAAGTTTCTTGGGTCGAAGTCCCTGCAACATAACAAAAATTCTAAAATGACAAGCGGAAAAAAACGAATACAGTTAGACAATATGCACTTACTAACGAACGGAATATCGACGAGGACGAGCTGATTAGCGCCCGACTGATGGGATTCCCTAAGGTTAAATATTGGAGCGTATCGGAGACCGACATCTTTCTGTATATGCGGCTAGGATGTGCGTTAAAGTGTGTAATATATTGACGCTGTAACTAGCTGCCGTATAATTTTGATACTCAGATTTGCGAAATGCGATACGGCGTTGCCAGAGTGGTGTAGTCCACGCATTACTTGTTATCGATATTCCTTTGTGAGTTTGAATGGAAATTCCAGTGTTATTTTGATATAAAAAAATATATTTACTTAGATGTATTTCTAGTTAAAATTATATTCAGGAATTTTAAATGGAGTGGAAAACTGTAAGTACTCTATAATGAACATTAATTTCGCTGCAATTTCTAGCTATTTTGACATTATTTGCTAACGTCGCTTGAATATTAAATTTAAATGGGATTGTAACAAATGATTTATAATAATTGTATATCAATTTATGTTGATGATTGCATTCAATTAGAAAAACATAATTTTAATATAATAATATATTTAAATAAATATATATATAATTATATATGGATTTAAATGGGATTGTAACAATTAATTCACAATAGTTTTGAATAAATTTACGTTTATTATTGCAATAAATAATGGAAACCTAACTATAAAATATGTATTTCATTATAATATATGTATTAATTATATATTTAAAAGGGACAACAAATGATGGACAATAGTTCTATATCAAATTATATTTATTACATTATTGCTTTAAATCTTACTTATAACTAGGAGCCCTTAAAACCACGCGCCAACAAGAAATGTTCCGCTGAATCGCCACGACTGGCGCGTGGTTTCACTCGCTTAACTTTCTCATAGTAGGACAAAATGTCACGCTCCAATTTGGGCACATCTCCATTGTCCCAGATCTTGACCACCAAATTGGCATGCGGCGCAGACATGGCCAAGGCGAACCTCAAGACCTCGTAGCACAGATTCGTAATGCTCTCCTGGTCGAGCATACGGACACCCGTCGCATTCGGCGCCATGTCGGAGAGCACACAGTTCACTTTGCGATCGGCCAGTGATTCGCGCAGACGCTGCTGCGCAAGCGGCGCTGTGAAATCCATGCCGCCAAAGATTGTCGCACCGGGAACTGCATGAAAATGCAAGAGATCTATGCTGTAGACTGCGCCACGCGGCGCACGCTCTATTTTGCCATTGGCATTGGTGCGCTCAACAGCCACTTGGGTCCAACTGCCTGGCGCTGCACCGCAATCCAGAACCAGATCGCCTGGTTTCAATATTTTGTATTTATCATCCATTTCGAGCAGCTTGAAGGCGCTGCGACATCGATAATTTAGCATGCGAGCCTTCTCCACATACGGATCGGCCAGCTGCCGGGTCAGCCAGTCCTGGGAACTTTTGCTTCTGCCCTTGAGGTTGTTCGGTTGCTGTTTGGCGTGTTGCACAGCATTTTGTACATGCAGAAAGCGTTTAATTAACGATGAACTTAAATTGCCGACCGGTTGCCGCATTGTGCAACACAAACCAAAACAGCTGTTGCGGAGAGCTGGGCACACTACGTTTTTGGCCATTTTTGATTCTTTTCAATATTTTGGTATTTTTAACTAGCCCAACTAGTTCTATGATCGATGTATTAAAGTGTAAACAAACACTGAAACCTTTGACAAAAGATTTAATTCTTAATTCACTTTGCTATAACAATTTGGATATTTATGTTCCTAAGAAGCAATATTTGAAAATCACAACAAATGTTATGTGTGAATTTGTTCAATGGTTCATTTTTTCAGTGTGAACGTTTCTCTGATTTTGCTGCATGAACAAGTTCAGCTAACCGATTTCATTGATGTTCATATGCTCGCCAACAGTACAACACTACGCAACAATGACTGTGTGAAAGAAATACGCATTAAATGTAAACCAATGCAAAAGTGCCTACGGTGACAAATGAAAGCCCAAAGTTAATAGAAAAAAAACCCAAACGGTGAAAATATGATAGATTCGAGCAAGAGCAAGTAATTTGCAAGTGCAGCAACAAACAAACGCAAATCAAGTTTTTCGACATTGCCTTCGCGCAATAATAATGTCAGCAACAACAATAACATCGAAAACAAAAACAACATCAATGAGAATTCGCAAAATGAAATACATCGTTCGTTGTTGCGCGTTTATTTTGCTGTTGAGCGGCGTGATTGCATCAGCAGCAAACCAAACACAAACATCGGGTGCAAATGCCGCCGACTCAGCAGAAGTTGTCAGCACTGACGACGAGAAAACGGTAGGTGGAAAGCAAGTGTGGCATGGAATGGAATACATGGAAAACGCGCAATGCGCGTCTGCATTCACATGAATAAGTGATGGCAATTAATAAAATTGTTTTTTTTTTTTTGTTTTTTGGTTTATATATAGGATTGTACGGACCTTGCCCGCGACGAGGAGGCCCTGATGGTATTCTCAACGCTGGGCGGCGGGCTAACGGCAATCGATCCGATAACAAGCGAAATACGCTGGACAATAGCAGATGGTAATTACTCACACACACACACACACACATGCATACATCAGTTTGTAGTGTTGTAAGGTATAACCCCATTTTAAACCGCTTGTGTTACTCATTGCCTCTCGCTCGCTCTCACTGAAAGAATGTGGGAATGTTACTGAGCATATGGAAATTCTTACATTCACCCACTCTCACTCTCCCTCTGACCGGCACAAGCAAAACCAAAACGAAAACTGTTGCATCGACATATCATTTCGCCATAATTGCTGAAAAGTGCAGCATAAATAAAGCGAATCGCACTTCGATGAGCTCATCACAATAAACAAAAAAAAAATGCATAAAGTGTGCGTATATATACATATACATATACGTATACATATACGCATACATATTACGTATTTAAGCAATACATTGAGTGTGTTACTAGCAGCGACCGGCGGGGAGATGCTATTGCTTAACTCTCGGCACTTCCACTGTAATTTGTGTGTTATTGTTTTCTACTGATAACAGAGTACACACATGCATACATACATGTATATGTATGTTAGTGTGTATTTGTATCCATGCGTAATCTTGACGAGCAACAGTCGCAGCATAGAAGTAAAATTCCTTGATATAAACTGCCAACGCAACGCGATATTTTTGTGTCTGACTTTTATTGTTATTGTTGCTATTAATGTTGTTTTGCTTTATTTGAGCGTAATTGATTTTGTGATTTTTGTTCGTATGGCTTGTCGCCAGGTGGTAAACTCTAACCAGATGTCTATAAGAAGTCATTAAATTCAAATTACACCCATATGCATATAATCTGTTGGATTGATGCTTATAAACAGTATGACATTAGATTCCACATATATCTGTTTTATATTAAGATATTTTTCAAAATAATACATTTTTATAAGTCATCCATATGCAGTGTAAATTATAATTTTTACAGACTGTCATTAGCCATAAACTAAAATAAATAATGTTGTACAGTAAAATAGGTATAGACAGATCAAATAATATTCTTATAGGTATAGACAGATAAAATAATATTCTTATAGGTATAGACAGATAAAATAATATTCTTAAGGGATTTAACTTTTTAATTAATTGTTAAGCTGTTGTTAACTGCGTAAACCAACTTGATATAAATATGTCCGTATTTATTAAATGGCTAACAAAGGTCATGTTTTACACGTTTCAGCTACTTGAATGCGTTTATTATTGCAGCTTGTAAACATTTTTAACAATAACTACAGGGTATTTTCATGGTCCATTGTTAATTTATTGCTTAATATTGTCATAGGAAACATACATATCTTTGTAGTTGAGTTTTATATATTTTTTTATGTTTGTGTTCGCTAAACTGTTGCTATTAATAGTAGTGTTTTATTTGTTTTAATTTTTTATATTGATTGTGTGCGAGAATTTGCATTATCAACTTTATGTAGCTAGTGCCAGTCCCAGTCCCAGTGTCGTGCTTACTATCTTGAAAATCCAAAACAATTTATTATTGCTCTATAATCATCATCCGGTACAATAGTAGAAGCTACGCCACCCCCAAAAAAATGGTTTATTTCGATATATATATATATATATGTATTATATATATATGTATTTAGACTATGTACCACAAATTGAAAATTGTACGCTGTTTTTCTAAATTTTGTCTCATGTTTTCTGAAATATATTCCCAATTTCAATGGAAAAACACATGTGTAGAACATCTGAGCGCGATTTGCTGGGCAATTCAAAGCATTTTAATTTTTTTAATGGTTGAAACTGTATGCATTAAAAACAAGCTAAATACATATGGATATATATATAAATGAGTTGCAATAATTTTGCTAGACATTATAAGCGCTTAAATGTTATTAGTTTTGCTGTATTTTGCTAAGCCAACCACAACAAATCGATGTCAATATGTATATAAATTATAATTTGTTATTGATTTATCGGTCGAGATACTACTAGTTATTACCTCATCACATGTTCGACTAGAGCGCCCATTGCCGCTATTCATTTAGAATCCAGATGCTAATTAGAGTGGCCGGCGAAGCGAGTTAAATGACCCGGCTTGGGCAAATTACTTTGCCACAAAACACTCCGCATATATGCACCTCTTTCTACCATTGCATCTGCCTCCAACTTTAGCGTTTTCTCCTCTTTTTCTATTTCTCTATCTGTCTCTGTCTAACTCTAACTAAAATTGGGCTGTTGTGGGTTAATTATGTGATAAGGCTCAGTTCTCAACAGAAAATGTGCGCGCAGCCAAGTGTTGATAAGTGTCGTTCTTGTTGCTGTCTGCCCACAATTCACAGAATTCTGTTTAATACACCACACACACACATACAGAAACACACAACATAACACATACTAATAGCTTAATATTTGGCCATTTTGAAGCTAGAAAAAATAATGTTTTATCACGAGTAATTATTCATGGCTTGACATTTTGTCATTTGAGTACCTGATAATTACTATTTCTAAATATTTACGTATCTTTCTCTAGCTTTCATTAACTAGTCGTAGATACTCTTCCAAGGCTTTAAAAATTTTAAATTGAAAACTGGAAACTTTTTATCATACAATGTATTATACAATAACTCTTGTAGAAAATGATGATTGCATACTTGTTAAGCCAACATGCACTGGCTATAGCAAATATATGCTCAGGTGTTTCGAGACTTCTTATATCAACAATGTACTCGTGTGTCTTATCTTTGCAGTTTTATTTATTTTATTGGTATTGAAATTATATCATATTACTGGTCTTTCAGATCCACCGATTGTTGCTGAGCCACAGCAAAATGTGCAGGTACCGCATTATCTACCCGATCCCAGGGATGGCAGCATTTATCAGCTCGGTCAAATGGGCAGCCTAAAGAAGCTTCCGTACACCATACCCCAGCTGGTGGCCAATGCGCCCTGTCGCTCCTCCGATGGGATTCTGTACTCGGGCAAGAAGAGCGACACCTGGTACATGGTCGATCCGAAGACGGGTCGACGTGAGAAGGTCATGGGCTTTGGCGATACCCACATGGATGGCAAGGATGGCGAGCAAATTGGCTGGGCCACCTCACGTGCCATCTACTTGGGTCGCACCCAATACACGGTCATGATGTATGACAGTCATTCCAAGGATAAGAATGCTAAGCCCTGGAATATCACGTTTTATGATTACAATGCGCTCAGCGCACCACCAGAGTTGGCCAAAGAATATGGTAAGTGAAAATGGCAACTAACAATTGCAATGATGTTCTAATCTCCTTGTTTTCACAGAATATATTCATTTGACTACAACCAGCAATGGCCAGATAGTCACACTCGATCGCAAAGAGGGCACATTTTTATGGCAACGTGATTTAAACAGTCCTGTGGTAGCTGCCTTTCTCCTGGGTCCGGACGGGCTACTCAGTGTGCCCTTCACCACAGTCTCGGATGAGGCCTATCAGGCCATACTCGAGGAGTCCAAGATTGGCAATGTGAACACTGTGAAACTATTGTAAATACATTTAGTCTCATCTCTATACACAGATTAAATATAATAATTACTCTCTCTCTCTCTCTCGCTGGCATAGTCAATCGCTTTATGTGGGCGAGCATCAGCGTGGTCTCTATGCGCTGCCTTCGCTGGTGGATAAGAATACGCCCCGCATTTCCACAACGCCGCCCATCAAGTTGATCGATGGGCCCGTTGTCGAGTTGAACAAAAATGGCAAAGATAACGATCCACGCACCATTTACATCAATGATGTACTACAGGAGAATCCCGGCATTATGTTGGGCCACTACAATATGCCCAATGATGCCCAGCAGGGAAATTTACATTTGTCGCCAACGCCGTCAACTAGCAAAGATGTGCACAGTTTGGCCACAATACACAACTATAACGATGGCTACGGCCTGCTGGCTAATAATGAAAAGAATGCCGCCGATATTGGTGTGCAAACGGACCCCGATATGGGAGAGATCACCATTGAGCCGGCACGCTCGAACACCATCAATCGCACCAAGACCATCATTCTGGCCAATAGCAACAAGGTGCAGGCATTTATCAATGAGTGGTTCAGGGATCATCCCAGTGGCAAGGTGCATCAAATACTGATTGTTATCGTTATGGGCATGATTGCCCTCTTTTGGTACACGTGCAGCACCATGCGTGAGCTGCAGAAGCAGAGCGAGAACGGCTCCAAGACAATGGCCCAGCAGACGGCGACGGGGAGCAACGGCAGCACTGGCAGCAATGGCAGCAACGGAAGCAACGTGAACGCACAAGAATTGCTTGATCTGGGGAATGGACATGTGCGTGTGGGCAAGATTAGCTTCAACTCGAACGAAGTGCTTGGCAAAGGCTGCGAGGGCACCTTCGTCTTCAAGGGTAACTTTGAGGAGCGCTTTGTGGCCGTCAAGCGACTGCTGCCCGAATGTTTCACATTTGCCGATCGCGAGGTGGCTCTGCTGCGCGAATCCGATGCACATGAGAATGTCGTTCGATATTTCTGCACCGAACAGGATCGACAGTTTCGCTATATAGCTGTGGAACTGTGCGCCGCCACGCTCCAGGATTACACAGAGGGCGATCATTCTTTGGAGCTACGCCAGAATATTGATATGTGGCAAGTGCTCATTCAGTCAGCGGCTGGACTCAGTCATTTGCATTCACTGGATATTGGTGAGTTGTTGAATAAGGGAATATATATTTTCTCTGGAATAAGCAAAATCTAATCTCTTTTCTTACTTTTTTGGCTGCAGTTCATCGCGACATCAAGCCACAGAATGTTCTGCTTTCCCTGCCCGATCCGAAGGGTAAGGTGCGCGTAATGATCTCGGACTTTGGCCTGTGCAAGAAACTTAATTTTGGACGCACCAGTTTCTCGCGTCGTTCTGGTGTCACCGGCACCGATGGCTGGATAGCGCCCGAAATGATGCGTGCCCAAAGAACTGTGAGTTCTATTGAATTTAAAGAGATTTTCAATTGGTATTTAATTCTTTCTTTGGGTTGCAGACCACAGCTGTCGATATATTCTCGCTTGGCTGTGTCTACTACTATGTGTTGAGCGGTGGTCATCATGCCTTTGGTGACACGCTCAAGCGTCAGGCGAATATACTTTCGCATGAATACAATCTGTCTAAACTGCGCGCCGAGGATGACATGGAGCATAGCAAAATTGTAACCATAGATTTGAACATGCTATTGAATATGATTATAACTATTTATAAACCCATAGATACTAGCGGAACAGCTCATATCGGATATGATACACAGAGATCCGCCGTCTCGTCCACCGGCGCGTTGCATTGGCAATCATCCGCTGTTTTGGGAGGAGCCAAAAATGCTCGGATTTTTGCAGGATGTCAGCGATCGTGTGGAAAAGCTACAATTTCATGCCGAGCCACTCAAATCGCTGGAGAAGAATGGACGCATCGTTGTCCTGGACGATTGGAACTTGCATTTGGATCCGATGATTACGGATGATTTAAGAAAATATCGCGGCTATATGGGCGCCAGTGTGCGGGATCTATTACGTGCACTGCGCAACAAAAAGCATCACTATCACGAGCTCACTCCGGAGGCACAGGAGCTGCTTGGCTGCATACCGCACGAGTTCACCAACTACTGGGTTGATCGTTTTCCGCAACTCATCTCACATGCGTATCACGCGTTCAGTATTTGCTCAAATGAGCCCGTCTTCAAGCCTTACTACAGCGCCGACTATCATTATTCGCGTCCCTGGTACTTTGATGCCGACGATGCGCTATTTCCCATGCTGATGCGTGATCCCAAGCCGTTGCCCAAGACGGGCAGTCCCAAACGGAATCCTCTGCCGACACAGTCGTCATTGTCGCTGGCCCAGCAGCAGCTGAAGCAGCGCAAGGGAGCCTACAACTTTCGCAAGCCCATCGTCGAGGATGTAACACCCGGTGTGGGGCTGCAACGCAATCTGGAGCTGGATGCGCAGGCTGTAGATGCTGACGCAGGCAAACGCGATGTGTTCGCCAATTTCAAATTTAGACGCTCCAAAGCGAGTAATCGCAATTACGCAGCTGGTGGAGCCAAGGAGCAGGAGAAGGAGAAATTTGTCAGCTGGACGCTGCCGACGGCCACGGCGGATTAATAGTAAAACCCAACAACAGAACTTTAATAGTTGTAAATCTTTCATTATAAGAATTTATTTTATTTTCTTTTAACTGTAATTAGTATAATTATTTAGTTTTAACTGTGCAATATTTTAATGCAACTATTCCAAACAATTCCCATTCAATTTTCATGTTTCTTAGCTAATTCTATCAAAAACGAAAAAGAAAAAAATCGTACTGATCGAAATTCAAAAAGGAAAGCTAAACCTATTTTCATATGAAATGTATATGTATAAAAAGTCGAGGCATGTGAAAAAAATAAGAAAATGTCTATCGAATGCACGCAATTTAACTGTGATAATTTGATGTAATTCTGTTTAATGCCCAAGTGCAAATTTATATAGGAAATAGTTCAAGTTTTATATATCTATATATTGTATATGTATATTTATGCATTAGTTAAGTGACCCGATGTGGAAATGTGGAAACAGAAGAAAGCGACGAAGATTATCGTCTGGAGCGTAACTTTAAAGTTTAGTTTTACTTGATATTCAAATATTAACGCACTTAGTAATTAAGATTTCGTAACAGCAAACAAGAATTTTGAGCTATGCTTGAGACTATCCCATTCAAAAGCCACATTTCTATTTGATAAATTAAATGAAAAAAATAATAATAAATCAAATTATAAATACAAAATGTTTCTATTTATTTCTCTTAACAAAATTAACAACTGCATTTTTTTTGTTTCAAATGCTTATAAGATTGTGAAATAAGATAACAAATTTGAGCTTTGTGTAACAGATTCATAAATATTTTTTAGTATATCATTTAACAATCATAAATAGTGTTTCTAAGTACTTTTAGCTAACAAGAGATTTCGTTTCTTTAGAAGAAAATCGATTGCAACCAGAATTTGATTTATATATTTTTGTTTGTTTCACTTTGGCGTAGTTTTCATATCAACAGAGTGTCTCTTGGCTATGTCCTTTGTCTAATAGGATGGCTTCTTCAGCGCTACCATTTCGTGATGCAGACAGTGCTTAAAGGCATCCCAGCCCTCCGACTTGGCTATGGACTGAAAGGCAATAGTTTTGATTATTAGTAAAAGCTAAGAATGGACAAAGATTGTTCATAGTTATAGTGTGAAATATTGGGAGATACAATAAGTTGCTGAGACAGAGCGAAAACAATTGTTGCAGTTGATACGAACAAACCTTTTCTTGGGCAACGGTGCGCATCTCAATGAGACCATCATCTTGCTAGAGAATAACAAAAAGCACGAGTATTTGCCACATTGACTAAATTCACACTTTTCACTTCAACTTATCGTTATGGGCATGTGAGTCACACTTGTGAACGGCAACAGCGATTGGCATAACAAAAATATTTGATTAACTGAACAACAACAAGCCAATAAAAAGACGAAAGCAATGACTTGCAAAATGATGAAGATGAACAATAAAATAAAACAATAACAAACTTTAAGATTCATTGAGGTATTCCTTCAGATTAAACTGATTTTATGTAATGATCAAAAGTAATTTATAAATTGTAATACAAATTTGTAGCAAAGATGTTTGCTTTGTAATTAATAAAAATCAAGTTAATTGCAGGAATACCACTAATATAAAACAAAACAAATTTTTTTCAACTGTAACAAACAAATAAAAAGCCAATTTATTGTATATATAAAGTTTTTAATATGATTATGAGCAATAAAGAACTTAGTTAATATTAATAAGTTTATAAAATGCGAGTTTTTAACCAATTGCGTCGTTAAACAACTGGTCACAGTACAGATTAAAGTATGTGTATATTAAATCAATCAAATAATAAAGCTTAAGCACAAACAGAGATTATGGCTTATAAACAAAACACGTACACTTAAATGAGGCACATAGAAAATAACACACACAGTCAAGCGATAACAACAACAAAAGCTGAGATTGTTAATGCCACAGCGCATCGCTGTCAATGTAGAAATCCAAATGGCGACAGACTCTATGGCGCCAGGCTTGGAAGATGGGATAGTCGGGTTCATCGTATGAATCCAGTGCCTCATTGTAATCAAAGAAACGTCCACTTACTCTGAACCCACGATGCAAACGATCCTTCATAATGGCAATGAACTCCTTGTAGTGCAACAGGCCATCGCCATCCGCATCGAATATGGCAAACACAGTATCAATCATATGCTGACTGAGACTATATCCTGTGCAGATTTTAGCAGCACGAGCGAATTCATCTGTTGCAACGAAAATACATTTTGTATATGAAATGTAATAAATATATATATTTTATATTATAATAAATAAAATGTTCTGTAAATTAAGATTTGTACATTTTCCTTCTTTTTTTTAATCAAAACTTCGCTCACCCTTGGATATAGCTCGATCGGCCAACGTATACATGCGCATTGCAATAGTAAAGTCATCCAGATTGTTGAGAAAGTGACAAAAGTCTCGAAAGTCATTGAAAGAGATGCCCTTCTCATCCTTGACGCGCTGCAGCAGACGCTCGAGGAAGACATCATACTCATCCGTGGCCAGATAAGTGTAGCGCAACAGAATCTTGGCAAAGTCCAGTTCGGTTATAAAGGTCTGACCCTTCGAGAACTCATTGAACTCCAGTTCGAGCACCTCCGTCTGCAGATTATCCATGAAGCGATAGAAGTTATCGAAGTTGATGACGCCAGTGCCCCGTTTGCCAAACAGATGCAGTTGCAGAGTGGTGGCCACCACATGACGACGCTGCAATCCTTCTTCATCGTTCACATAATCACGCTGCAATATTGGTAAGCAAAAAAAAAAAATGTAGGTTACATAAATATACGTTTTCCGAATTATATATCAAAACTAGTCGCATCACAAATGACAGGCGCATGCTCGACCTTACCTCGAGTGGAGTTTCAGGTTCGGGATCTTCTAGACCTTCTGGCAGGTTATCGCCGTGTTTTTCTTTCCAAGCGCCACTAAAAATGCGCTCCATCTGGTTTTTTTTTTTGGTTTTCATTTTATTTTATTTTTGTGGTGTTATATACAAAACACAAAGAATGGGTATTGTAGGGTATGCGGGAAGGGTCGTTAGATTGGGAGAGAAGAAAAGTTAGGTAAGGTTTAGTAAGGTTTCCAGTTGTTTTTGGGTGTCGATTAAAGGGGTATTGTAAAAAGAAAAAGAAAAACAAATAACAAAACGTAACAGAATTTAAAAAGCATACAAAATACGTACAAAATCAAAAACTCAAATAAAATCAATATCAATATAAATAAACAGAGCAAAGCTGCTACAGATATTTAACAATAGTTAACGTAACGTGAACGTAAACGAAAACGTAAGCTAAACGTAACGATGCTAAGCTTTTACGTATGCGTCACTCGCATATTTTACAACGGAGAGCGCAGTTTGTGTTTTGCTGAAAGCAAAGCCAACATTTTGAACTTGTTGCAATTTCTCGTAGACTTACAAAACCCTTGTTTCGGGCAGCTGGAAGTTTTTTTATCTGCGTCTGCTCTTCATAGGGTACTAAACGCAGCAGCTACATAACATTATTAAATAAATTATATGATAAGGAAATGATGAATTATTTAAAAAGAATTAAACTATGATTGGCTAAGGCTTACTTCCGGCCGCTAACGCTGGCTATTGATGTTTCAATAGAATTTGTAATTATCTTCAAATAAATAAATAAAAATCAATAACAAACAAAGCTTACAATTTCCTTCGTTTTTGGATCCACATCTTGCAAGGACTTAAAAGCGCCCGCCAAAATGGAAATAATCTATTAAATCAAAGAAGTTAAAAATTATAAAAATAATAATAAAATATATAATTACAAATTATAAAGGGTACATCAATAAAGACACCTTCTCAATTTATAGTTAATTCTACTTACGACTAGAAATTCAGACTTATCCACACGCTGATTGCCATCCGTGTCGAACATGTTGAAGGCAATGCGAAAGCCCGATTTGGGTTCTGTAATAATATATATATATATTAATAAAAGGAAATTAAAGCCTTATAAATTGCCATAAAAGGAAGTAAATATTCTTCTATCAATAAGGTTTCTTTGGTTCTCTACTTACTCGTCAGAATGGAGAGCAAAAACAAATATTCCGTGTATGAAACAATGCCTGTTTGGAAATGCATAAAACAGCTAATTTATAAACATTGAATGCAAATAGTTATTCACTTGGTGCATACCCTTATCTCTGAGATTGCGAAAGAGGCGCGAGGAGCCCTTCTTGACAACTGGCGTATTATCCTTGTATTTATCAACCTCATCGGTGCTGAGAATGCGACGCTTCAAGCGCGCTGCAAGAAATCAAAATGATTATCATAAGGGAATAAGGAATTTGGATTTTAGTACTCACGTCTGGGCTCCTGTTCCACCACGGACTCCAGGAAATCTTGTGGCGTCATATAGAGCTGATCGTCGTACTCAACGGAAGCGAATTTAATAAAGCGTCTCTCGCGTGCAGTTAGTTTGATATTCTCCAAATCGATCTCGTCGCGATGCTTTATTGATAGAAAGTAAAACATGAATCGTTGGCGTAATTTGATATGCTTGCATATAAAATTATACAAATATAAATAATTGGCATAAATCATCGGGCGATTGGATCGCAGTAATTTCCGCCGCTTGCGCACAAAGGCAAAAGGCAAAAGACAAAAACCTGGCAAGACAACAACCGATCGATATCGCAAAACTGACTGAGCGTCTGGTGACGTTTTGATTAATGTTTAAACGCGACTTGAACTGTATGCAAAAATGTATATATGCAAATATGTATTCGAATACGCCGCCTGGCTGTAAACTGTGATATTGATGAGCAAACCGGGCCGCTGGAGAGGATTCCCACGTTAAGCATGGCTAATCAGCCGGGGCCAATAAAGTGCCAAATTGATATGGTCAAAAGACTTCATTTTTTGTTGGCGGGCGGCAAACAAATATAATAAATTGGCTTAAGCTACATAAATCTGACATTTAATGCCACACACAAAAATGGCAGACAGCGTCCGCCCCCAAAACCGAATGACTCAATTTTCAGTCTGGGGCATATGTGACAAAAAAAAAGCATAAGAAAAGAAAAACCAAGTAATCATTTTGAAGTTAGACGTTAGCGACTTATTTATACTCTGTTACCAGTAAATTATCAACTGAAAATAAGTCGAAGATTTCCCTTTTGCTTATAAAAAATTAGCAATTGCAAAATAAATTGTAAATAGTAAATTTAAAATAAAATAATAAAATATTCGTGTGAAACAGTAACATCAGCTTATAAATTACAGGATGTGGCTTAAGATAGAGATTGGGTTTGATAGCAAGAGGCATCTTTTGGAGACATGCGAAGTTAGCTAGAGATTAGATTAGATTTAATGGAAATTTTTCATTTTGAGGGAACATTTCATAGCCAGGACAAGATTTAATTACATAGAGAAACACTGCAGAAATTAGGGTTGATGGAAGAGCTATAGGCTCAGGAGGGGGCAGAATACATCTAACATCTAACATCTAACATCTCGTTGGGCACTGTATGCAGGATCGACATATCCCAAGAGGAAATATGCCCAACTTAAAACATTTGAAACAGAGCATGATAATAAGACAAAGGCCAGTGCGCAATTTGAATGTTAGACATGTGCAACAGCAGCAGCAGCAGTGGCAGTGGCAGCAGCAGCAGCAGCAACGGCAACGGCAACTTTACGCCCACGCAACGCAATTGTATCGCGTTTTAATTCTTCATAACTGGGCTGACATCATCCAGACCAGGCAGGAGCACAGCATGGCAAGAGCAGCAACAGCAGACAGAGCAGAGAACAGGCGCTGCTGCTGCAGGCGCTGTATTTATAGGCAACAATTAAAACTCATTCATCATCATCAGACGCAGTCGTCGTCGTTGTCATAACTTGGCCCAGGGACTTGGCACATGTCAGGGACAACGCTGTGGCCCAAAACAAACCACGCCTTCGTCTGGCATTGGGGCATTCGCTGGGTGTATCCACAATCAAATCACAATATCCAACTCCACACTAGCCAGATCGATTGATAGATAAATTCTTGGCCGTAACTGGCACTCGTGTCAGCAGCATTGCAACTACACACGTTGTCAGGTGCGTGGGCGGAGTTCGCAGCTACTACCAATTACACATATTCGTTAGCCACTTCATCATCTAACCAAATGCACTTTTCATTGTTATTGTTGTTGTTGTTGCTGCTGTTCCGCTTTTCAAGGTGTGTGGCAGGCAGCAAATACAACTGAAATTCATAAAGAATTTCTGTCTGGCATTTATGTTGAAATTAATGCAAAGCGTATCTAGATTGCCTGATATGGGCATGTCAATTAGGGTATTTAGTAAGACTACTCTCTAGTCGAAGGATTAGCGAGCGATGCGTACTAAAACCAATTGAATATTCCTTTCATTTTGATAGCATACGTACAGAATTTGATATGTGTTTAGCCAAGGGCAAAATACCTTAAATGCAGTATTAATCTGGTAGCCACGTTTTGATTAACAAATCGTTGTATCTTTTAAGTATGGTAACAAAATGCGAGCAAAGAAGTGTAGGCCGATCAAAGAATCTAACTAAAAGCAAGCAGTGCACAACTAAGCAGTGCAAAGAGAAGCAGAAAAATGCTTGCCTATTTTGTTGTTTCTGCTAATAAGAGTAGTTAGATAGAGAGAGAGACAGAGAGAGAGAGAGAGAGAGACAGAGACAGAGAGAGAGAGACAGAGAGAGAGAGAGACAGAAAGAGAGAGAGAGAGAGACAGAGAGAGAGAGAGACAGAGAGAGAGAGAGACAGAGAGAGAGAGAGACAGAGAGAGAGAGAGACAGAGACAGAGACAGAGACAGAGAGAGAGAGACAGAGAGAGAGAGTATGTGATCCTTGACTTTAACTAACAGAACTCCAATTAAAAGTGCAACTATTATTTTGGTGAGTGTGAAACTCAGTTGGTCAAAATGTGGGCATCTCATTTCAGTTGCTTATCTCAACGAAGCTTGCAAAGCTTTTTAAAGATTATTGCATCGCAATGTAATTGTTTTTAAAGTGTTTTCTGCGCAAGTGCACGCAGCAAATAAATTATTAATTCCTTTTTATATAGTTCTAAGTCTAGACACGCTATTAAATAGATATAGTCAAATATGTTTTTTTTTTTTGAGTGTTTGGAGCAATTAATTCTGCTGCTGCTGCTGACGATGAGTGCATTAATTTTTATACTTTGATTTTATATTAAGGCCGGCGATCTCATTGGAAAATTCCATCGGTTGCATGGTTTCTAGCCCACCTTAAGTTATGACTCACCCCAACTTTGGATATAACTGCGATTAAGAATTAACTTGGTTTTCTATAATGTTTTCCCAAGAAATACAAATCGACATCAAAAAAACATTGCACGAGCTCTGACAACTGTGTAATTCCCCAAAGCTCTTAAAATAAATATTGGTACTTCACACCCCAGCAAAAAACAACAACAACCAAAATGCTTATCAGACGGCCGACACGCAAAGCACGTCAACAATTGTCAAAGCTGACAATGTCAACAGGTTTGAACAACAACAGCTTGTTGTTGTTGTTCAATGAACTTGAGCACGCAACAACAAAGTAGAAACGGCGCCCCCGAAATCCGATAACGACCGTGATCCACTTCTACAACTAGAAGCAATACCAAAATGAGTAATTTGACCAGTTCTTCTTTTGACCCATCTCAGCAAATACCAATACTAAAAAGCGCAACGAACACGGCGATCAAAACAAAATGAAAATAACAAGCGCACGAACAGCTGATTGCGTTACGTTATAGCAAACGCAACAACTGGCAGCGTAGCATAACGTAAGCTGCCCCAAGCTAAAAATAACTGCGCGAGTCTTTTACGGTCATTTATTGACTTTTCCATCTTACACACACAAACACACACACACAGATGCACTGTTACCAGAATTTAACTGGTCATTACCAGGCTCTTTTTGCTTCGCATTGCATTCGCTGTGTTGCCGGAACTTCGCAATCGAATAAATGCAGCCAATGCCGCAAAGGAAACAACACTGCCGCCCACCAGCGCCAGCAGTCGACGGTTGTTCCTAGGTGGCAATTTGTTGGCAAAGCCGTTGCTGGCATTTCGGCACACAGATTTATACACATTTATAACACTGGGTTGTTGTGTGAGAAGTGCGCTCGTCTTAACCGTTAAGCGCGTTACAACATTTGCCATGATAAAGGCCTCTGCGCGATGCTCTGAAGAAAAACTGCACGAAGTGACAAATAGAAAAACGTAAGAGCAGTCACTTGTCACGTAGATGCGCATAGCGTTGCCACCCAGGCAAAGTAGTGCCCAGTGTTGTATGTGTCGTGTGGATAAATGGCGCGTGTTTGAAATTTATGCGAAATATACATTATAGGTGAAATTATTTATGTTTAAATTATCTATATATTTCCAATATTACAGTAAAATTTAGATGTGATTCCAATTATTTATAAAATAAATTGTTAATTGCTTTAAAAAATATATATAATGGGCTTAAAAATGAATCTAAAATCCAGCAATAAAAAATATATTTCGAAGATGTGTGTTGACTGTGATTGCAATGTTAAATTAGATATTCATCGCAGAGTTCAAAGTACAGTCAATTTGGCATTTGAAAAATCCCGAAATTGTTTGGAATTATTGATTAACCTTATGAGTAAATGCATTTAGATATATTCGCTGGCGTCAGAGCAAACCAAAAAAAAAAAACTGGCTGATTGGACTACGTGCCGAATTTCACACAAATTGCACATTTACGCAAATCACAAAGCTAATTCCAAATCCTGTCAGCGTTTATCGCTGCGGTTCTTCACCCATTCATATTCGGTAAACATTTGACGCATTTTTGCTATTGCTAAATTGTTAATTGGCATGACTCACGGCTAGCAATGATAAGAATCCGGCTAGTAACAGACAGAGAGGGGGAGATATCAACAAAACTGTCGAGATAATTTTTAGGAAAACATATGTATCCCAAATGCAATCTGATTTAAATTAAAGCCGGTTCAGGTCATTAAATTCAATAGAAATGTTCTGGCAAAAAAAAAAAAACAAAAAAAAAATGAAAGAAAAATCAGAAAACCAGAAAAAATATCGATTTCAAGAGAATTGTTCACTTGTCTACACGGGGAGGCGTGAGGGGTAACTTAAGATGGGCCCTTTTGGCCAGGTGGATGCCACCAAGAGATCAGTTGACACTTTAAACCACATGCAACCAACACAAACAACACACATCATCTAAAACTGGTATCAAGAGCTCTATGAAACGCTGCGCATTGTTTTCAAATCTCACAAATTCCATTTGCTGCGGTTTCGTTTTGCTCCGTCCAGTTATGAGCTCGTAAATTATGAAATTCGGTTTTATTTTCATTGCTCTGCGTGTGTGTCTCGAATTTAAGTTAAGCTTTGTGTTTCCTGTCGGCTCGCCTGCATTTCCTGCGAAAGTTGTAAAACTTAGCGGACTAAGCGCCAGTCTTCCACTACGTCTGTAACTTGGCTAAATTGAATTCAAGCGCATCAATACCCATTGGCACATAAAAAACTTCTGTTGACGCCTTCGTCTTCGCCTTTGCCCCAGTCGATGCTTCGGATATGTATGCATATCCTGCGGCTATATACAGTTAATACCATATGTACAATATAGCCGCATAAACGTACAATTTTTGGTAGTAATAAAGTTGTTTCAATTAGCTTTTGACTTGCTGCCGATATGTTTTTGCCCTCGTAGAGGGCATTATAATTCTGTCGTCAGTTTTGTAACGGACTGAGGAAGATGTCTGCTACACCTCAAAAGGGTATCTATGTTCTTGATCAGCATCGATAGCAGAGCCGATCTAGCCATGCTCAGCAATATACATATACTTATTATGGGTACGGAGACGTCTTCTTCAGTGTTGAAGCTATCTTGATGAAACTTGGCCCTTAACTTGCAGACACACACATTGCAGCCGACTTGATTGGATCACTAACCAAAGGAACGATCGGTCGATAGAAGAGAATTATTCTCATTCTACTTTATCATATAGCTTTCAAAGCAAAAACCGATCGGTTTTTTCAAAATTATACAATAGTTTTGATGTCGACAATGTAAGTTCGGTCAACAAGGGTATGCAATCTTTGGTGTGCCCAAGTTAGTCGTTCTTTCTTGTTTTTATTACAATGCTTTTTGGTGCATGAAATGAAGAAACAACCAAAACATGAACATATTGTTTTGACTTGAACAGAAACTTAGCGCCAGCCTTGAGGGCAAACATTCACGTATATTTTTTCTCTTTCTTCATTGTACCCTTATTAATTGGTTAAACTGGGAAACATCATGTTGAGTGAGGGCATGTAACAAATAAAATAAGCATTTATTCACAGTACAACAGAAGACAAGCTAAGTCTATAATGAATTTTTTTGTTTAAATTAGCCTTTATTTTGGCATTTTTGGTATGCATATGTAAAAATCTAAGAACTGCTGAAAGAGTTGGCAAATTAGAATATTTCAGTTTTCATAATGGGTGCCAAGAAAAACAAATAAACATGACAAAAAATGATTGATAAATGACTTTTAGATAAATTAGAAAATGTTGATATTCGAAAAGCACTAAAACTATACATTTATGATATATTCTCAAGAGACTATAAATATTTCTACATATTTCTACAAGCATGAAAATTAGATTTGATAGTTTTAATGCTTTTTAATATCAATATTTTCAAATATATAAACATTTTATGTATAAATATATTTTTCAATTGCAATAATTTCCAATATTTTTAATACATTCTTAACATTCTACCAAAAGCTAACATTTATTAACTCAGTTTTTTATTTAGTGACATCTTAAGCTGAGTGCAGGGTATCTTTCAGCCGGTCATTGCAGATTAGAGCATTTATTTCATGTTTTGTTAACCCTGACTGTTCGAAAATTAATTAGTTTGGCGTTTAAGAGCCACAAAGGTAAAAAATTCCCTCCCCTCAACCTTAACCCCATCGATTAGGTAATATTGGGCTGAAAATGCAAGCTATTAACGCATCATCTAACGGTAAACTTATGAGATTGATATACGAGCTGGTTGCCCAAGATAATTCTGACATTTATGCGCCTGCCTTATAATTTTTTTTACTCTTAACAGATTATTGAGATATGTCAACGTTTGTGGCATTCTCACGAACTGGATGCGATGCTGATCAGATTTGATTTCGATGGTTTCTGATAACACTTGAATGGGAAGAAAACTGCAGGAAAAAAGTTCAATGTCAATGCTCAATGCTCAATCAGTTAAGAAGCATTTTGTGTCAAGTGATTTGGGCAGCAGTTGATGCATCTTTTATATTTGGTTATTTGTTTTTTCGTCTTTAATAATATTGGGGAATTCCGGAGCGCAAGCCACCTGTTGGGCGAGTTCAGTTGAACTCATTGAGTTGCAATTAAAACTGAGGACCACACGCGCTACCTTTAAATCAAGGCGTTGCCTCGTAAATCTTAACGGCATAAATATATGCGGGGATGCATCATGAAAGATGCATCATCAAAGAAAGAAAAACAAACAACGAAAAAAAAAGAAAAAAATATTAATAAGAAAAAAGACAGAAAAAGAAAAGGGTGTCAAGCACACTATATATCGCATTACCTAAGGACGAGGTGTTGTTTGTGTAGCCGGTTTTGTTGCATGTTGGCCCTGTTCAACAGCAAGTTGCCGTACCAGTCGGTATCTAAAATGTTTGTTGCAACATTGATTTATGCGAGTGTTGCTGCTGCTGCTGCTGCAGCTGATGCTGGACTGGGTTGGTTCAACAATGCTTGCTGGCCGTTCCAATTACATCAGTCAAAACTACAGTTAAAAGCGACCAAACATCTGCAACGCGTCGCTCGTCTGTCACATTAGGCCACAGTAATCAGACGCAAAGAGCCAAGTTTATCGCACAACAAGATCTTCAAAGGATTACGGTCTAGACTCCAGACTCCCAGACACAACACTCTTCGGGCTGCTCGTCTTAACGGTTCAGTCTTGGCCGGTTTGTGGCCAACTCTCTTTACTACTACTGGCGCTAGATACACTCGATCGTCGAATATAATATTCTACTATTCTCAATGCTGAATGCCTCTCTTTTGTTGAATGCATTTCTGGGCATTTGATTAAGTTTTGATATGCACGTAACCGGAGACCAATTGCCCCATTGGCCACCAGAGAGCTGCCTTTGCTAGTTGTTGTTGTTTGTTGTTGTTTTCAACTAATTTTATTAATTGTTATTGCCAGCGAGTTCCATAAATTGTTGTCTATCGGGCGATAGGCCGTTCCACTGATTTAGTTAATAGCCGCGATATTGATATCGATTTCGTAGCCAGTCACAATAAAAATTGCTCACATTAAAGCTTCGAGAAAAACGCTTCAGAAGTTTCTTCAGAAGTTTCTCAGAGATGCTCTCTTTCTCTCTCTGTCTCTGTCTCTCTCTCTCTTGCTTCATGCATCATTAGACAGGTGCTGCATGGGAATCGGCCATAAGACAAGAAGCTGCCATAGATAAACTGATAGCCTAAGAACGCTTTGGGTCACAAATATTCAAAAATCTGTGGAATGTAAATGAAATTTCGAAGCATCGACTTATTAATTAGTTGAAATATTTCAAAACAGATTTCACTTAAGAATTTCTAATATTTTCAATGTATTTAAATGTAAATGTTTACCATGTAAAAATCGAAGAAATTTTGAAATAGTAGGCAAATTTTAAATATTTGAGCTTTTTAAATGTGTGCCAAGTAAAAGAAATAATAATTGATAAATTACTTCTAGAAAAATGAGAAAATGTTTATATTTGAAAAGCACTAAAACTATAAGTTTATGCGCTATTCTCAATAGCGTAGAAATATTTTTAGATATTAACATTTCTGTAAGCTTGAGCTCTTAGGCCTTAGAAATTTCAATATTTTTTTTAGCTGGAATCATTTCTTCACTCTTGGGAATGCCAATGAATATAAATCATAATTTCTGGATAAAACTAGTTATTAAAAAGCATTTTGGAATAAAATATATGATTTGAAAATGTTTAAAATTGATTAATTAGGCTTCCACTTCAAGGTTCAAGGTTTCCAGATACATTGTATGTGTTTGAAGGTGCCCTTCATTTGCAACACACTATAAATTGCTCAACACAGGCGATCCCATTAAAAACCAGCGCCTAATTTATTAAATTGACATCGATGGCTGCCAAATTAAAATGTCAGCGTCGTTGACAAAAACAAATCCAAAAAAAAGAAAAAAACCAATCAGCAAGAAGCTAACAAAAAGAGTGTCATAAAGTTGTTTGACAGATTTCTTTGATTCATTGGCCCCATAAATTAGAGGGCACATTTTGGGCGTGCCACAGACGCAGGCAGTTGCAGTCACAGTGGCCCAAACGCAAAGAAATCAATGCCAATGTGGAATGCATAAATATTTTGGCAAATTAAATGAGATTCATTTAACTGTCGTTGTCGTCGTCGCCGTTGTCATCCTCGAAACACCCGCGCCATGGAATGCAGCGAATGGTTTCAGTTTTGCATTCAGCTTTTGCCATGTTGCATGTGTCGAACGCATAATTTTGTTTCAGATCAGTCGATGATGACATTCATATTGGCTGAATTGAAGCTGGCGACAGGCGCCAGTTCTGCCCGAGCAGTTTGCCACATCGTCATCATCGACATCATCATATGAATCACACTGCAACTGCTTAATGAAATGGGTCAAAATCAAGTATCATGTTTACCAGCTGGCACCTGTTGCGCTCATAGAAATATGGTCTTAATGTCAGCATAAATATTCACACAGTAGGCACTAAGTTTTGGCCAAGGCTAAGATCAACTTTGTATTTGCAACTGGCTGGGCCACTTTCGAGCGGTGATTCCATCGATCAATTTGGCTACAACTTCAACTTGGCCATCTTGATGCTGGCCAAACTAACTATTTTATGTGCAGTTTATGGACGTCCAAACGCCCATGGGCGTGAAAAGACCACTAAATTAGAATTAGTCTATCGATCCGATTGCAACACAAGCAAGAAAGAAACGCTGTGCTGAACAAGCCGAAGATGAAATACCCTTGCAACTGCTCATAATAAATTATAGACGGACAGACGGACAGTTGGATATATCGACTATTGCTATTTATGTTGAGTAAGAATATATATATAATTTGTTGCTAAGCAAGGGTATAAAAAGCACAAGTTGGCTGCTTAGTCATAGATTTATTGCGTTAGTTTTACGGCATTACAAATAGAGAAATAAAGTTACAAAATGTTTATTCATTGATACTCAAAGTATGTCAAGTAGTACTAGAGAATGGGCCGACATGTATTCATCATTATTAATCAGATAATCGATGAGAACAGAGTTCAATTGGGATATAGCACTAATACTCAATACCTCCATTGCCGCCGACGTGTTCATATAGCAGGGCCTGCCACCCATATGAATGCTGAGCGCTGATTCCAGTTTCTTGGAGATCTATGAGGGAGAGAGATTGTTATTATCGATACTTTATCGATGAACTGTTATTTCTGTTCAAATTTAGATTAACCTCAAACAAGATTAACCTTTCAACGTTTCACTTCTAAAGTATTTGGACACTAGAGGAATAATTTGCATACCATCTTAAAGTATTTGAACATTTTCCGCAGCACATTCGGGAGCTTCATCCGAAAGCTTTTAACCGTTTGTGTGGCAGCATCAGCGACAGCAGATGGAGTTGAGGGTGTTGCGTACACCTTGCCACGGAAACTGTTCCAGTGCAATGCGACGACCTGACCTAAGTTGTGCCACAGCGAACGTTGCTGCAAGCGAAGCCGATGCAGGCTGCGCAGTCGACTGATGGTCGAGATGTCATTGAGCCGCATCCACAGGTGCAGCAGTGGAACAATGCAAGTGCTGTCCCTCGGCTGAACAGTCGGCTTGGCTACGATGGTCACTTCCGAGCAGCAACTATGCTGTAACTCCTGCCCGGCAGGTTCGCGTTCGGAAAGCCAGCGATGGCGACAACTCCAAACACTTTCGGCGCTTGTGCTATAGCTTCGATTATGCATAGATATTGATATTGATATATATATATAGTATTTACCGCCAATTCTGGATTTGTCGCAATTGCTGGCAAAGTATCTCATGCATCAGCATCATTTGCCTAATAATTTCTCTGTCTGTCTCCTGTAACTACAAATTTTGCTGTGATTTCTAATGAATCTAACGAGTCGACAGGCTTCAGTGCAAGGCTTTAAAGTACAACGCATTTTTATGTATTTATTTATTTTGTAAAGACTCGCGATCTACATTGTGGCAGTTAAGAGGTTCTTCGCTTCGACACACATAAGATGGATACGATTTGGAATGGAATTAGACATAACATACTCAGCATGCTGAGTACTTTTCATCTGGTTAAATATTTTGATTTATGCATATTTAAACTTTCAGGAAACTAGTACGGACCGCTTTGATCTAGTGGCTATATCAATTATTTATGCACTGCAAGCTAAATCAAAATATTTACGAATCAATTATTATTACAGTGATTAGCATTGCCATTGCCATTGAAATTTGCATACGGTTTAATGTTTATTCCGCAGTTGCCGTTGACGTATTTTCCTTGAGTTCGCGATGCTTAAGCATTTTAAAGAATTCTAGGAAATATTTTTTATTTATATTTACGATAAGTTTCCTTAAAAAATCCTAGATATAAATGATTTTGAACAGATGTGCCATGTGAAATAATGATGCGATTGTATCTGAATGTGTACTTTAAAGACTTAAAAATTAATAAGCTATTTAGCAAGTGTGATCGTCGCTATTGAACTATATAGTTATGCAGCATATATTTTAGAGAGCAATAAATATTAATTTCTTTCAGCATTTCTATCATAATTAAACTGAATAATTGAAAGACTGACGTTTGCACCGATAAAAGTCAATGGGTTAAAGATTATTTCTGCTCGATGCAGAGTTATTTTTATTGCAAGTTGTATATATTTATCAGTCTGATAGTTGGCTAAGAACAAAAGACAGCTTTAGATTGTTCATTAACAAGTTGTAATTGATTCGATTCGATTTGAAATGCCTGTCTGCTGCTTAAATATTTGCTGTCTTTGTCGCCAATCGCTGTCAGACGGCAGTTACAATTTTATTAGCATAAATTGTTCTAGCTGCGATATATATATTTTTATATATTGAAGTACTGAGCTGATCAAAAAATTAATGTCAGCTCATGCATTCTGGCTAAATGTGTTCGTCCAAAACAGTTAATTGCCAGAATGCGCATTTGATTGAAATTGCTAATGGCGACAAAGTTATCAATTGATATCGAAATTTATCAATAGAAAAATAAAAGAATAAACAGTTGAGAGTGAAGTTGACGGGTTTGCATGACTTACAGATACCCTGCCAACAGTTTTGTTATGCTTATATATATAAAACATTTAGACACAACTTCATGGCACACTTTTCACTCACCTGCAGAGGGTAGCAAATTGTAGCTACTTTGTGGCAGACACATGACAACCAGATATCATATAATCACTGTACATGACCATATATTTTGTAATTTTATCTGGGACAACCAGAATGATGCGGATTACGATCTGAGTACTTGGCCAGTTTTGCAACTTGACAACAGTTAACAAATCGACAGCTTACATCTGCGAAACGCAACCTTGAAAAGGCAGTGAACGGGCGCGTTTTAAAATGAGCTCGAGAACAAGGTGTAAAATGGGCAGTCTCCTTTGTCAGGATCAGCCAGCGAAGCGTTTAATAATGTGACAGCGAAGAGAAGGGGAACTGGAACGGGATCGAGGCGTCTCGTAGCAGCTGCCTAGCAGCAGCAGCTCATTTAGTTTAAAGCGCTGTGCGAACACCTCGACACAAGGAAGCCGATGTAGCATTGGGATCGGGCAAGGCAAAAGAAGCAGAAGAAGAAGAGGCTACGTTTTAATTAATCTAACATCTAGACAATGGGGTTGCAGTTATACGGAAAAAGGGTCAAAGGTCGGCGGCAACTGTTGAGGCGAGCACATTAAGTCAAGACAAATACTCAGCGGCGCACCGAGTCTTAATTAAGTCATTAGCTCTAAAATGTCCTGCTGCTCTGCGCCTTAATTAATCATTTTAATTGTGTGAGTGCCAGCAAAGTCAAGGACAATAGACGTGCCACACTAAAATGCTGCAGAGGGGCGAGCGTATTTTGTCCATAGTTATTTATAGGTCAGCCCTTAACACTTGGCATGTGCTGGAACCATGCTAAATTGCTGGGCACAAATGTTGAAAATGTGCCTGCACTTAGAATACCACAGAATGGAATGTGTGTTTCTGGGAGAAACTATGTTTTTAGAACAGTGAGCAGAGCTTAAGATGTTAAGAGACGTTTCCCCAGGGCAAAATTGTAGAGGGATTCACTTAGACATATATTATTGAGGTTAATTTCGGCTAAAGAGTTTTCTATCTTTATTCGAATAAAGTTCAATTTATCATTCATTCTATATATAGTAAAATATTTGTTGTATTTACTATTATACAAGTTACTTAATATATTACTGAGATAATAATCTATCAGCACTCTTTATCAGGCGTGCTCCAGTTGTCCGTAGTTATTTTTAGTATTGTTCTAGCAAATATCGATGAAATACCGATAAATCAGAGTTTGACATCAAACGATTTTATTTTCAAATTCCATTTCCTTAAATGGGGGTTCTTATCTCCAGATAGTTATTATCAGTAACTATGACGCAGGCGTCTACCCCCAAATCAAATTGCTTGCCATTTTTGGCCACAATATTAGTCAAGTTCAATGTGCATGTAGTTTACGTGAACCAGGTGATTTTTATAAGCTGCTCGCAGTTGAAAAGATTAGATATCTTTTCTAGGTGTTTCTCTGGTAAATAGGTATTTCTCATAAATATCCAGTTTGAAGTGCATTGCCAGCTGACGTCCAAGCAGCTGCTGGTCTGTAAATTGCCAAATTGGCTAATTGGAAATAATAACATTTGGGCCAAATTGTGATAACCAACAATTGTTCACGGTTTAACTTTTAGTGTCGAGTGTAGAGCCTATGGGATCGTTAAATTATTATATGGCGTAACGTTAGACTCTCTTGACTGGAAAGACCAAAGCACTCATTTGCCTATCCGAGTTCTGATTATGCAGCACTGTTTTAGCCAGTTTAACTAACCTGTTAGCAACAGCCAAATGTTCCCCTTTTGCACGGTATCCCCGAAGCGTTCTGTGCGTCATCGACGGTATTGCCTTTACGATAACTATATATTGGTCAAATGTCAATTCGAATTGATCGGCAAAGTTGTCTACGCGCCAAAATGCACAAACGCCACAAACGCTGGCATCGCGCGCAAAACGCTATAAAAACGCGAACGAAACGCCCGTCACGCTATCATTAAAAAACACATTAAATGTAATATGTTTGCATAGAGAGTAACACACTTTACTAATTTTTCCTTTATTTTCAATTATATAGTTTATTTTTTTCAAATGAAAAATAAAATTATAAAATAATTGGATTTTATAAAAATTTGTTTTTGGAATATCTTTACAATAGAATACAGTGATGCTTTGAATAAACATATGCAAATATTTCGAAACTGTTTCGAAAAAATTAAATTATTTGTAATATTGAAAAATAAAAAAAAATTGGGGGTGTAAGAAAAGCTTGTTAATTCCCACAGTAATTTTTTAATCAATTTCATGCATTCGATTTTTTTTTTTAATGATTATTAAGAATATAAACCATTGCGATAAGACTAATATCAGTGAAGTTTTTCACCTTAATGAAATTCAGCAACAAATTTCTAGAAATTCTTATTACTCAGCTTGAATAATAAAGTTAAAAATGTACACAATTCTAAGAACAATGTGGTCCTAACTGAAGTCGAGCCTACAGCAGTATTCAAATATAAGCTAAACAAACTTTTGCAGTACAAATGAAGAAGTTATCAGATTCTAAGCTAACGCCTGGATACACTCTACATGCAGCATCACAGGTAAATGTCGAGCCACTGCATCAAATCTCAAGCTAACAACCCGAACGGGGGCACGAGCACGCACGAAGCATCGGCTGAACAGGGCCGAATGGCAACGCGCACGTTTGAATGAAATCTTATTTTAGTCACTCGCTGGCAAACGGTTTGACAACACATGCTAAGCGGATGGTCCGCTGACTGCGCCGTCGGCATTTTCATTTTTATCGAAATCGAACTGTTTTTCTTTGGTTGTTGAATTAGGACGTTGTCGTCGCGTCGCGTCGATCGTGATTCTTGAAATCGTTGTTCCGGCTTATTTCATATAGTTTTCACCCACAAAACTTTGTGGAAAAAAAAACGGAAAAAGCAAAAAAAAATATAATAATAAAAAAGAAAAGATTTGTGCAAATGGTGCTAACACTAAGCAACTACTAAATATTATCTATAGAGCATCTTAAGAGTGGGCCGTGCCGGTCAATGCTCGGGATTAGTTTCGAAATCGGCGCCGTTGACGTCGTTGCTCACACAATTCTACACATTTGCCCAACAAATTCTTGTGTGCTCTATAAAAGTTGTAACAAATCGAATTGGCAAGAAACGTGTCAAACCATTGAAAAGAATGGCCATAAATATTTGAAAATCGCCAATAAAATAAATAATAATTATTTAAAAAATAATAAATAATAATAAAGTGTTGTGTTAACGTGTAAAAATAAAATCTTGAATTCTTGCTGCAATCAATTTTCTAAAATTTTTTAAGATGTGCTAAAGTGCAGCCAACACAAAGATAACAAAAACAACCTAAAACGACTTCAGGAAAATTACAAAAAAAAATTACGAAAAAGGTGCGTAAATCTTAGTTCAAAGTTAAAAACCACATAATAAATTTTCGTTACATAAGTTTTATGTTCGTTTTTTTTTTTTTTTTTTTTTTTTTTACAAAACATTGCTTACATTTTCTTTTACAATATTTTTTTGTGTTTCTGTTTGTCTAAACTTTTATTATTTAAAAAGTTCTCCTTGGATTCGAATTTTTGTTGTATTTTTCTGAAATATTTCGCCATTGTTGCTGAAAAATTTCAAATCTTAATAAGTGGTTAAATGTCTGGATTAAGTTCAGTGGGGCAATGCATTTTAAATGTTGTTCTGTATGAAATATGTTGTTCACATTTCTTGGCATTTAAAACAAATTGAAATACTATGAACTTGGCAGTCAGCCGAAAGCAAAAAAAAAAAAAGAAAAAAAGAAGACGAAAATGTTAAGGGTATATTTTTAATAAATATATATGCAAATATGAAAATCTAATGAATATGTTGATTGCTGGGCATTA